TGATGAATAATGCCTTACTCAGGGCCTGTACTGTGAGTGGGGGGGGGGGGGGGAGAGAGGCTAAATACAAACGTATAAGCTTCAACTAACAAGGAAAGGGGATGGGAGCATACCTAGCAGGACAAGCTGTTTCTGAAAAGTGGGAGGGGGGGGGCTAATGCCTCCCCAGCCCCTTCTTCTGCGCGGTTCCTAATACTTCACGCAAGGTAGTCCTTCCTCAATTATTTTGTGTCACTTTTTAATCCTGAACCAGGAACAGCTTTACCTTTGATGCTAATTTTGCTCTCGTACATTTATCCCATGCGGCTTCCAACAGGCGAAGATTATGTTTTACATGACGTTTATCTATCTACTGCTGGGAAATAAAGCCGTTAAAGAAAACACAAAGTTCACGAAAATGCGAACCAAATACAAGTCATTTGGGAATGCATGCTTCAACTATAGCCGTACCTTCCCCCCCTCCCCCCCAAGGTGAAACGAAAGAGGGGAGGGTACGGCTATTCGTAAGCTTCAATTTCCTCCCCGGCGCCATTTGGAATGCATTTAGTCTTACATTAGCAGCATTTAATATCAAACGATAGCGACAATAAATAATCAATGCCTTTATTCGCCTTACACTTTTCTTAGGCTAAATGTTGATACTGACCAATTAAAAATAACACAGCAAGTTGAAAGCCTCACAGTACATTTCGATCTTTAAATATTGGCAGGTGTGCGAGGATGAAACAGATCCCGCGTTGCTACGAGACCAGCTTGGTGGCTACCGAGTGATCAATGCTGCGGTTGAATTCAATACAACATAAATTTTCGGCTCAGGGCTGAGAAGTATCGTCGAGGGTCTCAATGGGGTTAACCGATATACGTAAAACGGCCAAAAAACTTAGCCTTTAGGCGGAAAAAGAAGTTAATGGAAAAAAATTCTTGTCAAGTGACAACAATATACACTAAATGTACGGTCCCGAGGGAAACTAGGTAGTTTTGTTTTCCCAGGGGTCCTAGTGACTTCGTCTCGGGAAACATCAGGACCCTCGGGAAAACAAAACTGTCTTGTTTCCCTCAGGACCATACATTAAGTGTATATTGTTGACACCAGACCAGATTTTTTCCATTAAATTCTAAATATAAACAGGAAATTATAGAAAATTGACTGCCAATCAACTGTCTGTGAGGGGGATCGTATGAATATCACAGAGCCCTTGCTGGGGGATTTGGTAATACAAATTTTATCGTGACGCAAATTGGGTGGGATAAGTCTAAAGCAGCCCCTCCCTCTACGCAGTTCCTAATACTTCACGCAAGGTAGTCCATGCATTAAGTGCTTTTTCATATATCTAGACTTTCCCTTCAACAATCATGTGGCAAAAATATGCTGTTGTATTCGGCGCGCTGGCAACAACTGCACAATTGTATCCCGGTCACGATACATTTGAATTTGATCAGGGGCACGTGACCAAGAATCAACCAGTCACAGTGCTCGTTTTGTTGAGTGAAAGTCTAACAATGGAATGATATAGACCGTTTGGGTAAAATGGCCAAAATTTTTAACCGTTAGCCGTAAAAACCATCACCCCATTGAGACCATCGTGGTCCTTTATACTGTATTTAATTAATCAAAGTAGCCCTTCACAGTGGTGGGATACTGCTGTAATATCTTCCTCGCTTCCGTCCTCGCCGTGAATAAAATTTTAACCGTTAACTTTTCATTTAATGCAATTTTATCTTATGTTACCTAGTCTTATCTCATCAAATTTCACCAAAGCATTTGTTACTTTTCCAATATTTTCATTACCTTGTTGCATTATATCAATTCTGTGCCGGTTTTGTTTGCCCAGCACTTGTATCAACTCCAATACGACGTGATCCAAGAGAATATCACTTGATATTCTCATAACGTGATCCAAATATCCTATGTTTCAGTTCCTCAGCCTGCTCGAAAGTTTTCTTAAACAGCATCCGCATAAAAGCTACTCGGAAACATCTGATTCTGACCGTGTAAATGAGAGGATTAAACAAATTAGGCACGCGTTCACTCGTTAAGAAAGACGAGACAGTGTTTAATTTCCTATGCTAGACGGAAAAGATATTTCCAAAGTAAAGAGAAACGAAGAACCAAAAGTAGGTAGGAGTATAGCACAAGATAACTGTCATACGTAGCAGATATGTGACTTGAAAGGCTTTCTTATTGTTCACCGGCTTCTTCTTCGCTTCTAAGCAAACTTGATTAGTAATGACTTGTTGCTGATTTCGGCGGACTTCTCTATAAACGATGACTTAAAAAGTAAACCGCTGTTGGAATGATTAAAAATGCCAGCAAAACTCTTAAAGTGTTCAGGATGCGCTGAATTAGATAGGTCTAAATTGCAAATAAATACAGGCTAAAGCAGATGCTATCTGCATGATGTGAGCCGATTCGTTCAGCAATATTCACAGCTACTCAAAATTAGCAAACAAGGGAATGATGTGCTCACTTTTCCATGAACAATAATTTTATCATATCTGAATGGTATTTTAAGTGAGCTTTTCTCGAGATCAGAGAACGGTTTAACAGCGCTGAAATTAGTTCACTTTACTAATAATGAACTGACCAAGCTTAAAAAAAACATCGATGCAGTCAACAACGATGGTTTAAGGTCTTGCACTGTTGCAAAATGGCAGCAATGTCCGACACCACCAAACAGATATTAGAATATGCTTCAATAACACACCTCAAATGTCGTATAGGTCGGCTAAACAGATGTGAAACTGATAAAAAAAAACAATTTTTATGGAACAAAGGAGACCTTTGGGCGTCCTGATTGGTCAAAAATCTATCTTCCATTGCGCCGGTAACCCAGAGTTTATTTTATCAAAGAAATATACCGCACTTTCTATTGGTTTACCGGCGCAGTAACCCAGTTTGGAGACCGCTCGGAAAGTTTGTTAATCACTCGCCACCGGCTGGTTATTAACAAATTTTTCTTGTTTCCTCTCATCATCCCTCGTGGGTTGTTACGCCAGTGAACCGATCGAAAGTGCGATCTATTGTTTAAATATTTACGAAACCACGAAACATTTACGAGGGAAAAAGCTACACTCGTTCTTCAATTGATTTCAAAAATAGGGGAAAAGAACGAGTCATCCATCATTTCTTTTCTTATTTTTGGGGGGTCATATTAAGGAGAAACATTCTGTTGACGGATGTGATGGGAATTTTATTGTTTTTATTTCGTTTTTAAAAGTCAACAAGAATTACTTACGTCTTGAAATTAGTTTTTTTTATATGCATTTGCTCCAATGAAGGGTATGTGACAGGAGAGATTGTCTTCTATCATTTCTGTTATTTCCTCGGTAACTAACCCTGGTTAGAGTAAATTTTTTATTTACCCTTTTAGTTTGCAGACCAAATTTTTGTTTTGGTTTGCTCAGGCAGTATCCCATTGAGTTTTTCCCTTAAAATTTGACGACGGACAATTTTTCCGTGAATCCCAGACCTCATGCAACATCTTTCAAGAAACGTATCCAACATACAAGGTGTATTCTATGTTTGTATCTGTAAATTGAAACAAAGGTTCATTCATTTATTTAAAATCAGCAGTTGGGTGTGACGTCCTGTTTAGATGTTTCAATATAATCAGATTTGAGCGTAACAACTTGCGTTTGGAAGAGCGCTCGGCTAATAATTTTAATAAGATAAGATATAATAAGATAATCCACTTCCTGATAATTAATTGTACAAGGAGTGGTTGCCTAGTCTCCTAAGCTGAAACTTAAAAACCTATGTTGGGCAAAAACGAAGATAAAAAAGAATGCTTTTAAAAAGAGAGTAACTTTTAAGTAGCTATACATTTGATCGGTCGTATCTACGTCTTATGGCATTATCAAATTTAGATAACGTAAAAAAGAATATTCCTAACCAAGAGAATATCAACTTGTTTTATGTAAAGTGTGCATGAAAAACATTTGCATTGGCAGCCGATAGAATGCAAATTTGCTAAATGTTTTCAGAGCTAACTTTTGGAGCTGCAAATTTACTGACCAAATAATTATTGAATTCAAAATTTAACATTAAGTGGCGTTGATGATAGTCATGGAATTTTGATCCATCACTTTTTCTGCGGACAAAAAAAAAATCATTCGACTGCAAATGACCTCCAATTTGAAGAAGTCTTTCATCACAATTGGATGATACAATTACAGCATTTGTGAAATTTTACAAAAGTTACAATAAGCCAGATTGAACTAAAGACATTCAGCAGAGGTTTCCTGAGAGGTTTTGTGAGTGAATCTACAATTGTTATGAAAATGATCAGTTACCTGCAGATCCTAGAAACTAAAGGAAAGAACTCGAAAATAATACACTTAAAAAAAATTAATAAATTGGATCAGTCGTACGCCGTAACAAAATATTAAAAGCTTCTTGAATCTATTATTGCCACGGTACCACCTTATCGTAACGATAAACAGCGGGGCAATTCAAGTTGGTATTCCAAAAATGAGATTTTGATCTAGAACAGTCCTAGGTTGAAAAAATATTGCCTGGACGAATGATAGCAAATGTTGAATTCGTTTTCTTCGAACAACCTCAGGCCTCGATAAAGGGGAATTAAAAAAAAAAAAGGGGAAAAAAAAGGGATAAGATAATTCTCCGCAGGTTCGATAGCAGCATGAAAAGAAAAGAGCGAAACATTCTAATATCAGAGAAACAAGGCTCTGGTACTTCTAAACAATTGCCCATTCAGTGCGAAATGTCCAAGGTTACGGACTAGGCAACCAATTTATACCTATAAAATTGAATTTTCTTGGTCTCGTTTATTGATAAGGAAAACATTTTGTCATCTTTTGAACATCTTCCTTACTTCTTTTGCTTTGTCATGGTGTATTGTCGTCAGTATCGGCGTTTCTTTCCGGATATTTTACTTATGACGAATCCCGCTAGGTGAGTTATAAATATCCAATTATTTCCCAATACTCAAGGGACAAATAGTGACAACTGTCACGGCACATGCGTTGTTTGTCTCGGTCTCAGAGGAAAAAATTTGCTGCTCATTTCCGCTCATACTAACAGACTTGTTTACAAATTTCTGAATTGGAGTCAGTTGTCAGCAGAGGAGATCTTTAGGAGAATCTTTGGATGTTAAATACGAAAGTAACAGCCGTGTCTAAAGAACAAAGATTTCATTGATTGTTCTGTCACAAATTGAGGCCGCGCTCGGTTCGAATTTTCTCACACGCATAGTGCCACGTTCAAGGAACACGAATTTTTATTTCGACCTCGTATGATTCTCGCAAGATTTCAAGACGTTTTGCGGCTCCGTTTGAATCTTCATCTACGTGGTCAATTCTCAATGCGTCGGATCGCTTATGCGGGCAACAGAAGTGGGAGTCCTCTTGGCATGGAGTAGAAGCCGTCGACAGTTGTTTAACTACAAGGAACTCGTAATTCGGGTCCCTGTTTCGTTGTGTCTCCTAGTTTTCTTAATGCCTTTCACTCGCACTGCAATATCGGGTGTTGACGGAGAGATCGATAGCAAGTATCGCCGTTGTTGCGGAATGCCACTAAATACCTCTTCGAAATGCTGGACTGAAGCAGCTTGTATTTGTGTGGATTGTGAGAACCGCACGGAAGATACCTCATACGGCATGGAATTTTGTTCGTCTTTTCCTTTGAATGGAATTTTGAAAAACAGAACTATTTGCCAAGAGTGGCAAAGCATAAGCTTACTACAAAAGAAGGACAAAGAGGCTGAAAGAAACTACAATAATTTTGAAGGAATTTTACAGCGTATCGATTGTGGGGAAAACTGGGAAACGTACACATACTCTACAGCATCAACATGCCGCGGCTGTCTGGTAAGTAATTTAAACGCACAAATTTACATTATGTCCTTTTAATGAAGGACGCAAACGCTTAATGTTTGCAGTTCTTCGTATATTTGTCGCAGTCCATTGTACGCTTTATAGGCTAACCTGCTTCAGGACTTCAGCGATCGTTTTTATTTCATTTCCCCGTGTCCGATCACGCTGGTTATAACACTATAATGTGAAAATAACTTTGTCAAACCCTTAGTCGCCGCACTGGGCCACTTAGTTTACGACGATTGAAAAGATTTTTTTTTTCTCACTCCTTGAATTAATCAAATTCTCTGTTAAGAAATTAGAAAGAACAGCGGAGCTCTGCTTTTGTTTATCAGGTTTTTATTATCATTCGGTTGTTTTGATGGTGAACACAGAGCGTGAAAAATCACTGCGACCTTCGTTCGTGACGTCTTCTTTCGGTTCCATAATTTAGGCACGCTCCTAAAAGAGAGTTTGAGGTCTGTGAATGGAGGCAAAAGGAATTAAAACGGACAAGGCGCTATTTGTGCATTTACGTTTGTACCTCCTTTATTCAAAAAGTCTCAAGCAGGTGGAAGGAAATTCAGAACCTCCCTGCTGCTACAAATCACGTCGTATTCACGTTTGAAGCTGTTTTTACGTCGAGTAAAGTACCACAAAATGAGGAAAGTAAATATATTTTTTAATTGTTCCGGCAAATCGTTTTTCCTCGATGTATTTGAACCAAACAACGACGAAATCACATTTATTGCATTTCATGTTAAAAAGGCCAATAATCGACCACAATTTAGAAACGATAATTTTACGTTTTTTCAATGAACTCTTTTTTTATTTTCATTCGTGACTCAAGCGTTCGCGCAGTTTTAACCGCGCAGCTGACATGAATTGGCTTCCTCGTCTCAAACAAAAAAAAAGGCATTCCCCATGATCACTTTTGAATAGAATAGGATTAAAGAAATGTCACAATCGCGGCCTAAAGACTATTTAACTGCATCAACAATCTCTAAGTACTATCGCTTCTAATACTGTTTTAACCTTCACATTGTCTGCCGTCTTTGAAGAACCGCAAGGTCTACACACACAAAGAAAAAATATCCGTGTCAATAAATTCGCTCCTCTTCAACGGCAAACAGATGCACAGCGCATTTCTCAAAGATAGGTTATTTCCATAAAAAATATTGCTATTCGAGAATGCAAAATACGCGAGACTAATAGTACACCCTGCTGTGAAGAGCGCTCTTTTGTTGTACAACAAAATATTTTATCTCTTGTGTTTGATATCCTCGCTAAAAAAATTTTCCTGGGTAAATGTTTATCTACTTAAACCATTTTTAGGAGACTTAGCATAAAACGCTTCTCCTCTTTTCTTTTCCTAATTTTCGCCCCAGCAATCAGGTGAAGTACAATGTTTACAGTGTTTGGCGTGCGTCAAATATTCAGGGTAGAAACTCAAACTCGCGCAGGTTGTATTTGAAGAAGCAACAATGTTGTGTTTGCATTTAATCTTCTGGCGTTCAGATCATTGTTTGGATTCGAGGAGCAATCAGAGTTACGATGTTTGAAATTTCAGCTTAGTCACGTCAGTGTCTTTAAAGGTTATCGATTTTTCTTAACGTGGTTATACACTGTAAATATTTTTTTTTTTGCGGATTTCCTCGATAATATTTGTACCTTAGATTTAGCACTGGTTTGCAAATTTTCCGTATTTGTCAAACTATTAGAGACAAGCTGTCAAACATTAAAATTTTGATAGGATATTATGACGAAGTGCTATTTTCTCCTAACATCAGGTAAATGAAATTTAAGTGTCTTTGTTTATGCTATGTCTTCCATTAAGCTTTCACCAAATTCTCCTAAAGTGAGATGAAAGGAAATCTGATTATTTAGGGAAAAAAAAACGAAAAAAGATAACACGTTTGTAACAGTTAATTCAGAGTTTAGTATGTCACAATATATACTTTTTATTCAGTATATTTGTAACTTGAGAGATTTGAGATTGTCAAATTCGTGTAGCACACTTTTGCTTTCCACTTGGGGAGAGTCTTTCATTAATTACCCCGGTAACATAAGTTTTTTTATTTCATTTAAAAATTGAAAATTTTGGCATCCATGGGGTGCAGAAGTGATAACCCATTTTAAGATTGAAACCTCTTTAATTTCACTTGATTTAAACCTTAAACCACTCAGAGCCACCCACCACATTTAAATGAGTGGAGTCCTAATTTCAAATACAAAATTACTCTTGTCTTCACCTGCCTTCTCCATCAGAAAAAAAGTATAATATTGTAATTTTAATTCGCTAGTTTAAGGAGCACTAAAACACAAATATTATTTCTCAAGTAAACCTTTCAATTTTACAATCCTTTTCTGCTTCAGAAAAAAAATCATTGTGTTATGCTAATGATTATGAGATGATAATCTTATCTTGAACAAAGATCCAATTTTATGGCTTTCCCTTTAACAAAAATTTAAATATTCTCAAAATTCATGGTGTATAGTGTCAATAGTCTTAACTTTCTGTACCAAAAGTACATGTACAATGGTTGCTTTATTTGTCTGTGTAGTTTCCTCTCAAAGCTTTGCAGAGGATTTTAACAAACTCCTTTTTGGGTGAAATAAATAGAGGTAAAGATGCGTGTATAGAGTACATGCATTTTAACCATTAAATTTCAATGTACAAGAGCCCATGGAGAAAAGATTGTTCTAACAATATTGTCAAGAAAAAAATTGCAGCGTCCTGTAATTCTTAAAACAAAAAGCTGCCATTCTGGTGTAAGGATAAGCTATTTACAAGTAAAAATTTAAAACCATATTTATAACAGTGATTGCTATTGTGATATAGAGCCTGTATACTTAATTTCATACTTGTCTATCAGTAAGGAGTTTATGTTCAGCTTTAATGGCTTCTAAAGGTTTAAGGGCAAATATTTAAACATCTGTTTTGATTTGATTTAAGTAATGTTCAGCCTTTTATTTTTTTTGGCCAACTATATTGTATTACTGAACCCCCAGGTTGCTTGTTCCATTTTGTTAATTGTCATGTACTAAGGTTTTACTTTAAATTGGGAAATATTTATAAACACAGGTTCAGAAAATTATTTCAAAATGTACAAGGTAAAAATACTACTCTTTCCTAAATCTTTATTTTTTCCTTGTTCCAGAAAAAGTGTTGTTATTCTTAAATAAAGAAAATTCCCATTCAACTTGAATTATTTTAATTTAAATTTCATTTTTGCCTGACACAGAAATTGATGTACATTGATTTGTTTTTTTTTAAGCTACAGTACATGTTCTTTCTATGCTAAGTAATTTTTTTTTACCATGAAGTAATATTTAATAATGGTAATAATTATCATGATGATGGTGAGGATTTTGAAAATGATCACTATAAGGATGCTTGAAATTTATTTTAAAATGAAGGATGAAATTATTCAGTGATTTACAAAGTATCACAAAAATCTGAGTTCTGTGTAAGGCCTCTTGGAATTTTTTAGCTGATGTTGGTGAGAGAATTACACTCATGTACAATGTAAACAAACCAAATGAATTGTAAAGTAATTAATACAGTAAATGAGATTGATCACAAAGAGTGTATGCTTTAACTGCACAGATAAAATGAAAGGAGAAATTATTTCCACCGTTATACATAAAGTTCATATGGTATTATATAGATTGAAGAGACATTGAATAATTTTTTTATACTTTCTTATTTTGTCATAATAATAATGATGACAATTAGATTAACAATAATTTTCTGTATTGTCCACCCATGCTATTCCAAGTGATTCAAATTATATTTCCTTTGGAAAAATGGTTCTATTGGACAATTTAGTCAAAGATATGTTTTTTAAAGTCAACAGATGGAATAAGAATTATTTTCTTTTTTCAGCATCACACTGTATGATTTTAAACACAGTCTTCAGCTTTTATCATAACTGGTCCATTGATTAACCACCAACACCCTCACATCAGTATGCAAGTTTTCCATACTGTTCTCTATACATTTTTTATAGTAATTACAAATAGAATTTCTCTAACAAATTTAGAGGATCTTGAGTTTGCGATCATTCCCTATATTCTCATAACCTTACTGTTTGATTCAGGGATGATGCTGTTGGAAGAAGTTAGATGCTTATCACTGTCAGGGTTAAAAGTTAGAAATATGTGAGCCAGGATTTTAATTACTCTTGGAAGAGAATGTCTTGTGCAGACTTCACATCATGCTATGCACTATGGGATAATCTCTGATCCTTTTCCACAACTGTATGTGTTACCCCCAACTTCTCTATTTAAAAAAAAAGACTTGAGTCTTTTTATCTTCATTTTAATGTGGGATCTATAACATGAAAAAAATACACGTATCTGTTTGTTGATTGTGGGAGATATGCATCTAAATTGATGTGTCAGTTACAATTATGGGTTGCAGTGGAAGATTTGCAAGATCTTTGCATATGTGTAGGGCATTAATTACCACAGAAAGATGCAGGACTAAATCGTTGTATTCTGGAAAATTGAATTGACAGTGTGAGAGATCAAAAGCCATTAAAAGCTCTACTAAACTGTGAAACATTGGATAAAAATTAGTGTCAGAAACTAGAGAGTTAGTGCACAATACTAATTTGATCATTATTCCCACAGGAAGCCTACAAGAACTGGATTTGCTACACAAAAATATCTGAAGCTATTGATGAAATTGAAGATCATTACAAGACCCACAAGAGAAAGCAATGTTTGAAGTTTTGTGAGACTGTGTTACAGAAGTGCCCTTATCTTCCACCAAACCCACCAGGTGATGAAGACTTGGTGCAAGTAGGATATTCAGCTTTTAACTGCTATAGTGCGGAAGGTTTGTATCACACACTGTGTTTATAAAGGAGAATGATCACAGTCTATGGAGTTAGTTTAAGTATTCTCTGTGTGGATGTTTGGCAAAATCTGGACAGAGAAGTTTAAATGGTTTAATCCCTGAACATACCCTGTTAAGGTCTGAAATGAAAGTAGACTGTGTTACTAAAGGCCACAAAAAATGATTGGGCCAGGGTGTGATCCAGAATGTAGTCCAGATAGAAGAGCACTAAGCAATCTACCAAGCATATGTGGCTTTTCCCTTTTATCACCAATATATTTTTGGATTAAATATTTATGATATGCTGTTACTGTTAGTAACAACTGTTCTTTTCCTTTTTAACAGAATTGATTGAAGGGAATGGGAATGATGAAGATTGCCGATTAAGTTATTTCAATCCAATGGAAAAATGCAAGCAGAGCACAAGACTTATTCAATCAATAGCTACTACAGTAACCCCAAGGACAGTATCAGCCAGTAACTCAATATCAAACTCTACAAGTAATGATCGTAGATAATATTGGCTTTAGGTTCTCTGATTACAATACTTTCCTCTGTGAAAACTTTTGTTATGTAAATTTTTTTAAGATTCAGGGATTGGTAACCATTGTGTGCTATAAATATGTAGCCAAAAACACTGTTAGAAAAATTTTCCTCAAATATATGATATGAGGCAATTACAGTACTGCATAAATTGAGACTCTAGATTAGGTATTGATCCTAAGAAGAAAATTACTCTCGAAAAAATGTTACAACTGCTCTGAACTTGGCTTATGCAACTCTTTACTGAACATGTATATTAGGGACTGACTTCCAATGTCGGCATTTATATTTTTATATTTAGACACATATTTTGAAAGATAGCTCTGATGTTTATGAAAGGGAAGATCTGTGACCAAGCCTTCAGGCAAGAATAATTTGGTAGATCTCATCTTAGCTGCTAAAGGTTTAGAAGGTATAGAAGATGAAATATTTTCTTTGTACATTGTTCTACTAAAACAAGAGGTGTAAATATTCATGTTAACAAGCTTTGTTAATGTTTTAATCTATAAGGACAAATGTCATTAGGTTTCCACATTTTATGTCATTTTAGTTTGTTTTTCAAAAGATTTGTTTTTATTTATGCCATATGGATGTACCCTCTGGGCTTTATACAAATTATATGCTTAGAACCCTTGAGCTCTGCAACACAGTACTGCTATTAACACTTTCACTTCCATGAGTGACCAAGATATAATTTCTCCTTACTATATCTATACAATATCCTACAGACAAGTGATGAGAATAAGAAAAAATGTCAATTATGGGATTACAAATTGATCCAATACCAAATTCTCCAAACTAACATAATGAGAATTGTTTGGCAGACAGTAAGGAGAATTACTAAGGAGATCTTGGGAGTTAAAGGGTTAAAATTGTTTTAATTATTCTTCACTCACTTTAAAATGAAGGGGCACTATGAAATGGGATTAAATATGGAGGAAATTTCATCTAAATTGGTGAAACAACTTATCTGGCAAGAGCTTAAGGAGATGGAAACATACAGTGTGTGCCATTTTTTAAATTAAGTAACAGAATGATTTTTAGCATTGATATTATTATAACAAAGAATTTACAATCATCTAAAATTTTATTTATTTGTTTCCTCACACACAAGCAAACAGTAATTAACAGAAATTAACATTAAGGCAAATTATTTCAATGGTATTCCACTTCATTTTCTGTGCTTATTTTTGAAAAAACATTTATGGAAATTCACTAATTCAAATTGAATTGATTTCTTTAACTCGTGTATTATAAAATAATTATTCTGAACTGTAAACAGATGATATATAAGTCTTGAATATTTGGTGTAATAGTTATAGGGGGTTAAGTTAAAGACTTTCCAGAGCACTTACATGGTGAAGAGTAGTCCATTTTACAGTTGCATGCTTGGTTGCCAAGCCTTTGAACAGGAGTGAGGCTAAGGGTGACCTTGTTATGATACAAATGTTGTTGCTTTTGAAATGTGAATTACTTTGTTATCGTTCTAACTAGATACTGGTCTCTATCACAACAAGATCACCTTCAGCTTCACTCCAAATCAAAGGATTGGCAACTAAGTATATAACTCTAAAATGAACTATTTACAAGGTTTTATTGTGACTGGAGCAGGCACTTTAACTGAAGCCTGTCATCTGCAGTCTAGCACTGCCTATGTGCCAGTTCTCATGAATGGGTTTTGCCTTACAGCCTCTTTTTGTTTTCTCCATTGGTGGCTGCTAATGGAAAAAGTTATTGAACTCTTGGATTGCAGAGTGCTGAATCAACATAATTGTACCAGAATTGACCAGTTAATAAAATATATTTTATACATAATATATACCAAATTATACATATTTCTGAAACAAAAAAGCTTCTCTCTGAATTTGCAGCTTGGAAATTTGGTTTGCTGTGCAAATCAAGCATTTTGCTATTAGGTAATTTAATGACACATTTTAAAGTATCTACTGAATTCTTATATGAAGAATGTAGGGGGTCATATTCTGTCTCTAAAATAAGCCCTGCATAGTGTTGCTGTTTCTTCATTGCATTCATTGATGACAGTATTGTAGGAGTAGTGTGCAGTTGTAGGTTTCAAAATTCTAATAAAGTATGTAAGCTTGTAACATTGCTTAGAAATACAAAGTTTACCAACATCAGCCAGCTTGTTGAAACACTCATTATTTTGTTTGTCCATGCACACAAGCACTGACTATCATTGGCTAAATGTTAAATTCATCCTAAAAATTTGGATCAATGTCCATATCTAAGCAACTGCACATCTACCCCTCCCCCAATCCAACAGTAACCCTACAATATTATTAATTGATTGTCGTTGGGTTACAGGAGGGGCTAGAATGCAGTTGCTCAAATACTAGGACTGAGCCGACATCTTTTATTTTGGTTTACTGTGATTTTACCCATTTTTCTCTCCAGTGGATTGAATGAAATTGAAAGATAGATTCCATGTTGCCATGCTTCTGTTCAATAATTGACCACAGATGATGTCAAAATATAGTCAGAAACAAAAGAGTAATGATGTCAAAATGTGGTGAGAACTAAAAATGATACACAAGGTGCAGCCAAGTGTGTCACTGATGTTCTTACCACATTGGACGTCCTCTGTGATATTTTGCTAAACATAACCATGACAACAATGGATTGTATTTGTTTTATATATCATCTGTGCATCTCTTCTCCAATAGACCATAGGTAAGAACCAATCCAAATGTGTGAATGGAATACTGGCAGGTAAAGAGAAACAAATATGTGTCCTGATTGGCTATGCCAGTAGGAAAGATAGAACTTTCGGATCAATATTAGTAGGCAACTCTAGGCAACTGCCCACCTACCCCTCCCCTAAATCAACCACAGTCAATTGACAACAATTTGAGGTTAATGTTGGGTTAGGGGAGGGGTAGGTGGGCAGTTGCCCAGATACTGATATTGATCCGAACTTTCTTTCCCACTTGGGATCATCCCTTTTGTTACTCAAAAAACTTAATTGCTTCTACTATGGCTTGTATGTACACTTTGGAAATTCCTGGTAGCATTTTTATAAAATATCGCAATTGAATCGTAACGCAGTCCAAATGTACATCTTGAAAACAGTCAAGACAAACGACACAATTTTTCCCATAAAAAAGAGATCCTTTTATACTAAGCTTGTTTGTCATAATGGCATAATGGCTGGATAGTAAAAGATTTTAACCAAGTTTCTGTGTCTTTTTGCTTTCATGGACCTTATTAGCGCTGCAGGACGCACGTTTCTCTGCCCGCAGGAAGATCTGAAACGAGTCGGGGAGAGGTTTGCTGCGGTCGCATCCTTAGCCAAGATTTCATGGCAATTTTGGCTCCCAGGCGGCCTCGTTTTATTCTTCAGTAATGTATTTGCGACTTTCCTATCATTTGCGTGTGGATTTGGCGAAAAATTATAAGTTGGGGCGGTGGATCGTTAACGTGTGGAGAGAAATCTTTGTTTACGTTTACGAACTTAAACATGACGATTTAGATGAATCTTTCGTACTGACGAAGGTCTTTTAGCTCATACAAAATTTGAAATAAGAACAACCAGTTAACGCAGTACAGTAAAACAATTTTATTAATGATACCCCAAATTGCAATCAACATTATGACCTTAATTTTACAATTAAAAAAATCTAATAGCTAACACAAGTTTAAAATATACAGTTCGTAAATGCATTCAAAAGATTATTAAGCTTATTATAGAAAAAAATCTACTATTATTATGTCTTATAGGATCTAATAGTCTAATTAGGAATTTCGATCCGATTCATTTTATCTAACAAATATGACAAAACTAGCGTTTTAAGACCCTGAATTACAACCTAATCGTGTGGCGATGTTTGGATGTCACGCAACACTCTGTTGTGTGACATTCCAATGAAAGACTATTACTTGAGAGGGAAATTAAAATTTTAAAATATATTTCTAACACTGAAAAACAACTGTGCTTGTCAAACGACTTTCCCCTTTTACTTCCCCAAACTGAACATGTTAAGATTTTAACTGAACCTATACGACATGAAAATTGGGGAAAACGAGAAGTCGTTCCGAACTGTTGTCTTTTATGTTTTTGTTATCGTTCTGTTAGCAAAATTTGAAACAGTCTTTCGACTTTTGTGCTCGAATGCTTGGGTTGGAAACTATAAAAATATTTGTGGAAACTAAATACTTTCGTTTGAAGAAAGTCATTGATACCATTAGATTTTCCAGCTTTTAAAAAAGTCAGGGTAAATAACTCCCTGATCCTCACTGCCGCCAGTCATTTTTTGTCTCCTATGAATTTTTTAACCAGAGCATTTGCAGTTTCAAATGTTTCTGTGATGCGAAAAAATGTCAAAGGAAGACGACATTGTGCTCAAAAGTATAGAAACTACGGATTTTGAGATGACCTGTCCGGTTCTAAGAAATATACTTGAGGTAGCCTCATTCGATACGTAATCGATAATCGATCGGCAGCTCGGTGTACATTAGACTAACGGGGAATTGGCGGACAATAGGTGGAGAGTCGGTAAACCATCGCCCGACCAACTTAAGTTTGACCGAATATCGGGGCTATTTATAGTACAAAAGTACTAGGAAAAAACGAAAAACGTCTTTCAATAAAGTTATAATTGTGATAAAGAGGTATTAATAAATGCCGGACAGGTAATCCGTACCGCAAGTTTGTAACGCTTTGGCCACACAACAAACGTTGATTTGAGATTACAAACGAAACTTGAGCTATGGCTTCAAAATTAAACATAAATAAGAGGAAAAAAATTAGAGAAGTCAAGCGGCTAGGCTACTATAATCTCATTAAAATACAGAGATTGTGGAAATGGTGCTACTAAAAGGACGCTAAACCATTCGAAGTTTTGAACCTTTTTTTTTTTTTTTTTTTTTTTTAAATTAGCCTCAAAAACGGTCAAACAGACAAAACAAAACAAAAAATTGTTTTGACTAAACTAAAGATAAAGGCAAATATTATCATTTTCAACTTAAATTCCTGAGAGAAAAGTACTCCAAACTTTCACGTATCACAAACTAACAACCTCAAACACAACTGCAATGCAAATTGGTAGCAAACAATGGTACTTTTCCTAGCAAATACGTACCATGGCAATTGTTCCATGTCCTTGTGACGCAGTATTTTTGTAATGACTATGAAACGTGCTTTCACAAGAACTAATCATTATACTACGAGGTGGTTAAAAAGTAAATACGCTATAACTATTTTTGCTCGCATTTAGTGAGCTTTTTTATATTCCAATCTGGACATTCTTGGCATTGAAGCAGCAGTACTCAACTGAAAGGGTTTAAGATTTGGTGAAACGGCTTTTAACAAGTACAAAACTGTCACAAACAGCTTATTTTGACTAGGAGCATTTGTGTCGAGGCAAGAAAAAGATTATTAAAAATTCAATTTGTTTTATATTGGTCATAGTCAGGTCCGAATCCAAGTTGTCATTATTACCTACGACTGACGTGACAGCCGCTGCGCCGCTGATTGAAGCTTCAGTGACGCTGAAGAAAGTTTCTTCTGTACTGGTAACACTCTGGGGTACAAGGCATGACGACGCTTCTTCTTTTTGCTGGCAACCCGGTAACAAACAGTACAACGGCTGACACGACTCAGGAGATTTCCAGGTTTTAGGGTCTCTGGCGTCTGTGCAACGAACATCTGTCCAACGGTGGAGAGCCAGAAGCTGTATTTGTTAGCGAAATAGTGACAGGTACCACGACCATGGCATTCAAAGAAAGGATTGTGACGGAAAGTTCTGAGACAAGATCCCGGAGAGGAAAGCGATTGACCACTACCACTTCCACCAGCACCAGTATGCTGAAAAGAGGAGCAGGAAAAAAACAAGCATAAATGATGATATATGCCCCAGAAAGCATGTCCTTTATCATCTCCACCACCGAAAAGGACATATACGCATGTGACCAAAGAGAAACCACCTCTTTGGAAATTTGTCTTCGAATGTAAGTCAAGTTAGGACGCCGCCATTTTGAATGTTGTTTAGCAACCTGTAAATGTTCTTTCTACAGTGGATTTAGAAGCATTTGAAAGGAAGGAGAAAATTTAAAAGCGGATCTCAACGTCTCAATCTTCCGTGGATTCTTGATCCGTTCTCCTTGCTTACTTTAAACCATCGACCAGGAATTAAACCATCGACCAGGAATCCAAAAATCTGTGACGTGGCGAAGTCGAACTCCTCTTTCGTCTATCTCCAAACGATATTGAACAATTAAGAGTTAAGCTTAAAGGCATTCTAAACTCAGATAAATAATTTAGACGACAATCTTAGCTGCGAATAAACGAAACTGTTGGTGAATATTATTTATCAACGAGAGGTCGGCGTTTTAATTTATTTAAACTGCCAAAAAATAAGATTTTATTTCAGATCCCATACATTTCTTTGTATCTTCGGGAAGCCATTTTGAAAGTAATCTTTGATTGACGTACGGTATTTGAGACGCAATATGACTCGCATTGCTGGTAATGACCTCCAAATCAAATTTAGGAGATACTAGGAGCTTAAGCTCCTTGAAGAAACAAAGGTCAGTACTGGCATGTTCAATGCACTAAAAACATCGGAACTTTTAAAAGTTCCTTAAAAAGACCGAACATTTAAACAAAGTTCAGCCAATGTTCAACGAGACTGCGTCCCAAACGATCCTCATATCAGATCTGAATTTTTTTTTTTTTATGAAAAGTGTCAAGAGGACCAAAGGCTAGCAGTGGAAGGACATTTATTTCATTAGTTCAACCCTCTTGTGGAGAAAGACTAAGGCCCACTAATTGTGTAAAACCGTGGTTAGGCTTATATTTCGAGTAAATAACCGGCCCTAAGAGGTTCTATCGACAGATACGTGAAACAACCAGTTGTTGAACAAATTAAAGTCCTTGAGGTGTATAAATTGGCCTCCACAAAAAAATACACTAGTCTGGTCCTATGAGCCACTTCAGCTGCTTGTAGAAGTAAAGTGCTTGAAAGGATGCTTTAACTAACGTATTTAAAGTGGCTTACCATCAAGAAGCTGAATCCATTCCAAATGGCTTGCCAGCCGGCAGGACAGTCTGGGTTTTGTGTGGATTGACTATGAGTGGCAACAACAGGCCCAGGTGCCTCACACACAGCACACCTACTGACAAACGGCTCAACAGCGGGAGCACTGATTGGCATCATGGGAATCTGTATATCTGTGGTCAGCCAATAACTGTAATCGTTTCTCGAAGCGTAGTAGCACTGTTGGTTTATGTTACAAAAAAGGTATGGCATGGTGGTGAAACGTCTCATACACGATCCAGACGCACCGAGATCTTGTCCATGAGAAGTATCGTGACCTTGAACGTACAGCAAACTGTAGCCAGTCCACAGTCTAGTCAGATTCAGCGGACAGTCAGGTATTTCAGTAGATTGGCTGTGGACCACCAAGTGGTAACCTTCACCTGTTGCTGCCTTACCTATGATACCCGTGGGGCCTGGTTGACCAGGTAACCCCTGGTCTCCGGGGAAGCCTGGAATTCCCTCTTCTCCTGGAAGTCCTGTTTCGCCCCTTGGTCCTTTTTTCTCTGATGGTAGACCGGGCAGACCATTGTTACCCTTCGGGCCTTGAAGGTTGCCAGGAGGGCCTTGAAAAGACAAAGGAACAAAAGACATCACAAGTGCCAACGTAGTTCACGAGCTTGATACTGATGAATACTATGGTGATAAGTGATGGCTTGGAAATGTGCAAAATAAACAGTAAATCGCTTTGAGTTAAAAAGGAAATGAATGTAGCATCCCCTTTCCGGACGAGGTAGCTGACGTACATTCCTAAACCCTAAAACAAGACTGCTTCGACAGCTCGTTAAGGCTGGGGAGTACAAAAATATCTTGTATTTGTATTTACACGTCGTTTCGTGACTCAAAAACGTTTCTGTCCAGGCTCTCAGCCATATCTGTCTGCCTCGTGGAAAAAATAACTTTCCAATTACCTTGGGGTCCTGTCTCGCCCGGGATTCCTTCCAGGCCAGGGATTCCTGGCAGTCCAGGGCGTCCCTTCTCACCCCTTGGTCCTGGAGTGATGGTGGTTGGTCCTTGTTCACCTTTCGGCCCAGGGTTGCCTGGCTCGCCTGTTGTGCCCTGGCTACCAATGGTGCCATTGCTCCCTTAAGGAAAAAAGAAGGATAAAGTTAACCCTTTACATCAGTATGCTCATTCTCCATACTGTCCTTTATACATTTTCTCAGAAGCTGAAAAGGAGAATTTGTTTAACAATAGCGAGCTGTTTTAGTTAGTGATCATTTCATCTGTTCTCTTGACCTCGATGTTTGATTCAAAGTTGATATCGAAAGGAGAAATTGGATGCCGATCGCTTTTAGGGGTTAAAGGATCTAAACACGTGCTTCGATCTTACACATTTGGAACATCGGGAAAAGGGACACCAAAACGCAGTCCAATGGAATGTCGCGATGAATCATTCGCACGTTGTTGGGAAAATTTTGAAATCTGTGGCGGCGACGGCCACATAGCGATGTTGTACAATACAAAAAATGTAACGAGGAGAACAGTGGCTTTGCACATATCTTTTAATTCTGCGACTCACCCTGTTCGCCTTTTACTCCAATAATTCCGTTAAAACCAGGACGTCCCACTAAACCTTTGGGTCCTCTAGGTCCTAGTGGTCCCATATCTCCCCTCTCTCCGCGAGCACCTGCTTCCCCAGTTGGGCCCTGATCACCAGGTGTTCCTGAAGAGCCTGGAGGTCCATTGACACCAGTAATGCCAGGAAGGCCTTTTTGTCCTCTAAGGCCAATTAAACCAGTCCCACCTATCAGATGCGAGATACAATAACAACAATTATTACCGTGGAAGTTAGACTTAGGAAACCCAGTCCGTGTTCGCGGTTTCCGAATGGAGAGGCCATTCCAACGCAGGTTCCACTAAATATACGTTATTGAACATGCGCGAGTTAAGGATGGCTGGATATTGGCCGAGATCTTTTTTTGCGTCTTTGTGGACCGAGACGAAGTCAGACTTGGTTAACAAAAGATTCATAATACCGTATAGCCAAAAGACTTCGCTTTACTATGAATCAAGAACGAATTATTTATTTCGAGAGTCGGGAAAGAAAGCCAACTTTAACTGTAGCAAAATAAACCCACGAGAGTCGTACACGTTTTCTTTCGACTGTACATCAAACTGTCTATCAGACTCCATCGCCGCTATGGTCCAAAACTTACGAACTTTGTGAATCCGCTCGACGAATGCGGGCTCTAATGCAGGCCATCCTGAGCGAGCAAGGTAGCCAATCAGAAAACAAGGTTCACTTCATATCGTCAAGGGTTATAGTAGTACTTGCTACAACCTGTAGCAGAGTTGCTGTCCCATAAATGGATGCTTCCTCTGGATAACGGTTTCCAATTTCCTTACTCCCTAATTTGTTTATACTCAGTCTTTGATGTTGACCCATCCCATGAAACAATCTGGCTACAAAATCTGAAAGCGATAATCGCGTCATTTAACCCTTCCCACCCCCTAATTGATGGCGGCCCTTTTTTTTACTTTTCATCAAGGAAAAAAAAGTTCTTGTTCTGGACAAAAAATTCCTGCAGAAGTAAAAAATGCACACGACTGACTTCGTACCTGGGGGTCCAACGTCTCCAGTTTGTCCCCTCACGCCATCTTGCCCTGCTTCACCTTCCGGCCCTCCTACACCATTTAACCCATTTAAACCGTCAGATCCAGCTTCTCCCTGGTCTCCTTGATCGCCTCTGGCACCGTCGGGTCCAGGATCTCCTTCTACTCCCGGTTCACCAGAGATCCCTGGCCTGCCCCGTGCACCAGTTTCTCCTGGGGGGCCTAGGGCACCCTGATCACCGATAGCCCCTGTGATACAAACACAAAACAATTGAGACACCTTCTTAACTCCAACAGGTTAAAAACACTCAAAACGCAAAACGAAGAGGCAAGGTTTCCTATGTAGGTCTTCGCATACCTTTTACTATTTTCTGTAAACTTTCTTACTTTTACACATTCCCAAATCTTTTAAGAATTATCTATAAATAATTACGCCATCAGACTACGATTTGTGCATTAAGTATCACGATGACCAAACCTTTCTGAACGTTTCACCGCACATCCAATGTAAGGAATCGAATTGTCGGACGCAATGAACCTACTTTTCTTTAGAAACAAACCCAGCCAAGAGGCCAACCTATCACCAATCACCAAGCCATTAAAACTTAGAAAAAAATACACTAATAACGTATCCGTAAATTCCGAAATTGTTGTGCTGAATGAAGAAAAGTGTAATTTTTCTCTTTGGAACTTAGCAGCTACAAACTCTAAATTCGAGCCCAATTGTATAAAGGGCGGATGACGCTATCCAACGAATAAATCGCTATCCGGCTGATAAGGGATGGTAAAACGCATGGCGTTATCCACCGGATGGAGATTTATCCAGTGGTAGCATTATCCAACCCTCTAACAACCGGGGCCTGGTGAAAAACCCTACATTCTTTTTGCTCCTACCTCCCTGCCCAGGGGGTCCAGTGGCTCCACTCTCTCCCTGTCGTCCCTCTAGTCCTTGGTCACCATTTAAACCAGGCATACCCATTTTTCCATCCGCTCCAGCATCTCCTGGGTCACCAGACGGAAGGGACACGCCGTCTCCCGGCAGGGGACCTGGGTCACCCTTCGCCCCTTTGATTCCAGGAGGACCTAATAAATAACCAAAACCAATTGTGAGTAATAGGAAGATTTTGGCGTCTTTCCCCTGATATTGCACCTCTAATGAAAAAGAAGAAAATAAAGTCATTTTGAAGTGAACGTCGTCTTTTACTTGGCCAGTTTGTTTATTTGAGACTATTTGTAATTTTTACGAAGCCGTCCCCTTAGATCTGAAAAGGATCATCAAGTAACATCGAACTCTCTCTACAACTCTACGTGAAGTAAAATTTTATTTGTTATTCAATTTCCCTTCAACTCCCGGAAGTGTTTAACATGTAACTTCTCCCTATAATGATTTTCAATTATTCAGCATACAGGTAATTAGAATACTCAAACCTATCAGCTAGAAGTTTTTATCTCATCTAATTTACGACTGAGGACGTGTGTAGCAGCTCGAGGGGAGAATTACTATCAGATCTTGTTAATTGAAAGGTTCACTTGTAATAGTTATGCCCTGTCTTAACTTACCGGTTCCTCCTTGTTCGCCAGGTGTGGAGTTTCCTGGGGGGCCTGGCAATCCATCATCACCTCCTTTACCACGGAATCCGTCTAAACCTGGCAATCCAGTTCCTCCTTTGGGTCCACGAGAGCCTTTTACTCCTGGTAGGTCTATCCCAGGTTCACCAAACAAACCTGTGGAAAGGACATAAAAAAAAACTTTCATAAGATTACAGGCTTAATTGACTCTTTTTGAGATAAAAATTTCTTACTAGCCGAAATCTTTTCTTCTAGTATGTACCACAAAAGTGAATACCGCTTTTCCCGCGCGCTAATTGGCTAGTTCGGAAGTAAATAGCAAGTAATATTCACCTCCGAGCAGATAATGACACAAAACCGCGCTTTAAGAGTTTAATTTTCGACCAATTTTTGGTATATTGAAAGAAATAATTTTTTGGTATTTTTTGGTTTATGCTAAAAAAAATTATTCACCTCAGTGTCGTTGAAAGTGGTTGATATTTACCTCTACTTCGGTGAATAATAGTTAACTGTTCGCAGCAACACTTTAAACAGCACTACCCTTACCATACATGTGTCAAGGGCGAGGTCAGGGAGGGGACCTTAAGGTAGAATTGCACCCTTTCTATCGGTAAAACGTGACATTCCATATTGTCGTGTGGCTAGAAAATTTGTGTTTAACCCTTTAACTCCCAGATCAAATTTGTAATTCTTCTTTCTGTCAACCATTATCATGTTAGTTCAGAGAATTTAGTATTGAATCAACTAATTATCCCCCAATTGATATTTTTCTTTATTCTCATCACTTAACTAGTTGATATTCTATTGATATTGTAAGGAGAAATTCTCTCTTGGTCACTCATGGGAGTTAAAGGGTTAAATATTTGCGGATTTGCAGATCATCCTCGACCTGCAAAAGTGGCTTCTGCATAAAAGTGAAAAAAAAAATCCGGCAAAATAAAACGCTGTAAAATGTACCAGTCTAAGTCGAATGAGGAAAAGTCTACATGTAAGTCAGGTGTTGATCTTCATTCTTCGTAAAATCATCTATCGAGTGACTCCCATCTACACAAACTATGCACGTTAAAAATTTTGAAATCTTAAGTTTATTTTCTTGTAAATATTCCACGGGCTAAAAACACCAAATCTTTAACAACTTCTTCCCACTTTTTAGTCAGAACAAATAGGAAGACAGAGAACTATTTATTTCTTAAAAAAAAAATATATTGATATCAAGAGACACTTAAAAACGGTCCAGTAAAAGTACTCCTTTACCTGGCTCGCCTTCAGGTCCGGGGAGACCAGGACTGCCACTTGCTCCAGAGTCTCCACGAGGACCCATATCTCCGTCCATTCCATTAAATCCTGTCATCCCTGGACCACCAATTGTACCTTTAACACATTAAGAGATGGAAAATTTAAATCAGTACGCTACGGAAATATATCTTTTTAATTTTCGCACACTCGATGGAGCTGACGAGGAGTTAGGGCATTGGACTTGAAATCCATTGTTCCCACCTCAGTGATGCCAATCATTTAGTTGTCACAAGACCCGATCAACTGCCAATTTGTCTACCTCCTGCTTATAAGGGTTTTAGATCACGTTCACGTATACGGAACGTTTGTTTCTCAGTTTGCCTATAATAATGGACCTTGAATTTCGATAACTGAAACTGTCGGTGGCGTTATGGGAAACGTCAAGCACAGTCGTTTTTGTGAAAACTGTTCAGTGTTTTCATTTCAAACAATTCTCGTTTTTTTTTTGCTGAAAAAGGCCACATGTTCAATAAGAACGCACCCATAGTAGGTGTGGCGGCAGTTATCAATGACTGTGCATTACTTCTCGACGCAGAATAAATGATAAGCAAGATCCAACTTATGAAATAACTTAAAGGAGACCATTAGTATTACTATCTTTAGCAAAAAAAATAACTGCTTCACCGGAATTCATTCATTTGTTTACCTTGTTCACCGACAGCTCCTGCTTCTCCTGGAGGTCCAGGTGGGCCGTCAGGTCCGACAACACCATTATTGCCACGAAATCCAGGTTGTCCTTGGACACCTTTCGATCCTTGTTCACCATCCAGTCCACTAAGACCGGGATCACCAGGCAATCCCGGATCTCCAGGATCTCCTCTAAGTCCTTTCGAACCTGGAGTTACTAAGCCTAGATGAAATGATAAAAAAAAGGCTTTTCAGAATTTATAGCTCCTTTTGCTAATTTCACCTGTTGGATATTGCAGTTTAGTAAGTTGCAGGCTTGTGGTTAAAAACATCTTCAGCCATGGAGCGTTTTATAATCTGCTGTAGTCTCCGCAGCTTAAACCAGTACTTAAAGCTCGGGAAACCACACCTCGTCGAGTGTCACATACTCGTTCGCGCCAAATAAGGATGTAGAAATCACGCTAAACGATCAAAATGGACCAAGACGGTTAAGATCCTTTCAATCGTTTTCATGGGTTAGCCTTATTTGTGCTAACCCCTTGAGACAACCGGCTGCGAAGGGCTGTTGTTTGAAAATTTAAGAGCAGCCAGTTAATGTAACAATTTTTAAAATGGCGCCTAGTGGGAAACTGAAACATCAGTTTGGCCAGTATTTGTTTCGAGGGGCTTCGATTCTTACGAGTGATTAACATTTACTTTTTCCTTACAAAATCACCCCTAAATCACACATTACGGACACAAGAATTACGAGAATGATCACTAAATAAAGAAATTGTTGATTATAAAACAAATTCTCCTTGTCAGCATCTTAGAAAAGGTGCGGGGAACAGTGTGGAGAATAACCATGCTGATGTTAGGGCGTTAAGTGTTATCTGTGGGTCTTGTTCTCAGTCAATTCTACACTGAATTTTCATCTGCTCAACGGCAACATGTTCCAGTGGTGGATCTTTTCTTTAACCCTTTACACCCCAATGTCATTATGCATATTCTCCATACTGTTTGTTCATACATTTCCTAAGGTGCTGACAAGGAGAATTTGTTTGCTGATCAAAAGCTTCTTTTGTTGGTAATCATTTCCTTCATTCTCACGTCCTTCATGCGTGATTCAGGGGTGATATTATAAGGAATATTAAATGCTAGTCACTCTTAGGGGCTAAATGGTTAAGTTTCATACCTGGGGGTCCTTCATCTCCAGTGAATCCTTTATCTCCACCCTCGCCGCGAGTACCTGGTGGCCCTGTGGGACCCGGATCTCCTTTAGGTCCTTGATTTCCTGGCATCCCTGGGAAACCCTCCGCCCCTTCTCCTCCTGGTTCACCTGGTAAACCTTTTGGTCCCTTCTTACCAGGATCGCCAAGTGGACCTACAGAGCAATAATGGATAAATGGAACTTAAAAACGAAAGCCAATCACTCCTCTTGCATGTTACGATCTTTTATATGATACTATCTCTATGAAACTTTGAAAAATTGCTCAACATTTAAAACTCTCCGTTCTTCTGAATTTTTAATTCCGATGTTAAAATAATTTGAACTGACTTTCTACGAAGTTTAAAAGTTTTCTTAAGAGGTTTCATAAAATTTAAGGTACGTTAGCCACGGGGGATCGCTGGTTTTGCTCAGTAACCCTACGTATTACGTGTCGTTAAATTCATAATAAAATTGGCCATATTGCAGTCTAAGGCCCATCCGAAACACATGCTTCTCAAAGATTAAACAATTTTTATTATAAAGATACTGATGAAATACCAGGATTTTTCCTTTTACTAAAAAAATCATATCTTCATCGCGCGCAGTGAAGATACTATTTTTATATTTCACGTGTGAGGATATTGGTGTCGCCATGGTTACTAACATGATTAGCCAATTACAAGAGAGCTTCCCGCTCGGGCGCGCGGCCGGTTCTTTTGAAATTTCATTCACAGAATGGCTTCGAGGCGTGTAGGAATTTCATCAGTATCTACAAAATAAACATGGCCGCTTGGGGATACGGATTTTATCTTCGAGTGCTGAAAGTATCTCTTCTTCGCTCACTCGTGAGAGATACTTTCAGCACTCGAAGATAAAATTCGTATCCCCAGCGGCCATTGATTATCCTCTATGTAATTTTTGTGTGAAATTTCCTTACTGTCTGCCATATAGTTCTTGTGAAGTACTGTATTTATTCGGCTATAAGCCGAAACCCATTCATTATTACAAGACTGAATTGTTAACTACGGGAAAACTTAACATTTTCTGAAAAAAATCACATTGATTGTCGTAAATGAGGCTTTGACGATAACACATACGCGCGTATACAACAGATACAATGGTGATTTAATATGCAAAGGACAAAAAAGCCTCTCTCTCAGAAAACACACGCGAATTAATAAATATTACCCGTAACTAACTATTCAATTAAAAAGTAACGAATCATAACTCGGATGAATTAATGTAATCCAAAACAGCGAGAATCCTGAGTTTAAAGCGTCCCTCGGCTAGTACCAGAAATGGAAGCGCCGCCATTCCGTCAGCCTTCGCACCAAAACAACAATTGCATATTGTGTTTCTTTACTTTAGCTCGGTTTATAAGTAAATACGTCCCGATTTAGTAGAGTTTCCATGCGCTGGAAAAATTTTTTTTCAAAATCCTTCGGCTATAAGCCGAGACCCCCTCTAGGGCCCAAATTTTAATTCACTTCAGTTTTAATTTGTGTAAAAATCGCTCGGCTTCTAGTCGAATAAATACGGTAAGTTTGGAGAATTTGGTATTGGATCAACTAATAATCCCCTAATTGATATTTTTCTTTATTCTCATCACTTGTCTGCTTGATATTGTATTGATATTGTAAGGGTTAAAGAATACCTCTGCAACTCCTCTCGACAGTGGTTCTAACGAGATTCTGAAGTTCAGCAAAGCTTCGTGTGATCAAAATGTCATCATTGTCGGTCACTAACAAACGCAGCTGATCAAGGTCAACACTCCCAATGGCAACAGCAATCACCTTGACCCCAAGATCTTTAATGGGTTGTATGGCATCAACAAGGGGTACTTGGTCTGGAGCAACATCTGTTCCTGTTTGGTTACCATCTGTTAGTAGAACCATTACCTGTGAAAGAATAAGTAAAGAAAACCAACTGAGTGGAGTCCCATTCGGTCTGTAATCATACGAGTGATAACAAAATCGGACGACCGTACGGCGGAAGTCCGATTTGTTTATCACGAGTATAATAACAAACTATCCGATTAGTCACGAAGTTTTTTCGCGTCGCTTCGGCAAAAGTCCCTCAGCGTTACAAAGAACAAAAGGACTATTCTTTAATACTTAATGTGAGAAGTTGAGCCGGAACAATAGGCCATTTCTTGATACGATTGGCCATGTGTTTCGTTCCTGTTAACCCTTCAACTTCCACCAGTGATCAATTTGATAATTCTCCCGACCAATTCCACACTTCATCCAAAAAAAAAGATAAGAATATACAAAGTTCTCCAAAATGGTGTTCAAGTAGATGAATATCGGATACAAAGAAGTTTTTCAAATAAGATCCTGAGAGTCCACAGGTTAACCCGTTACACCCTAGCATTAGTATGCATATTCTCCATAGTCAGCTCAATACATCACCTTAGGCGCTGACAAGGAGAATTTGTTCAACAATCAAGAGCTTCCCTAGTTGGTGATCATGTTCTTTATTCTCCTGACCTTAATGTGTTATTTAGGGGTGATATTGTAAGGAGAAATAAGATGCTGATATGAGTCAGAGGGTCAAAGGCAAGAACCCCCTACACTCCTGGGCTCAAGCTGAAATCCCAAGTAAAACTAGTCCAGGCCTCCCCGCACACAAAAAGCACACATTGCTGAAGTATTCAAATCCGCGATAAGTGGATAAAAACAGTCCTTGGTTAAAGTTGAGACATTTTACCTTTCTGGATGAATTCCTCATTCCTCCAATTGCTGCAGTAAATAATTCCTGTGAGGCAACCTGCAGGGCCAGATCGATTCGTGTAATACCCTTGGTGTGTGGTACTTTGTCTACGATCCTTTTTATTTCCTCTTTATCATACGATTTGTCAAAAGCTAGCTCCATTTTGGCGCTCTTGCTGTATTCAATGACACCGACATGGGTGAGAGCGGGGCCAATGCTGAGGTATTCAATAACGTCCTTTACATAATCTTTCACCAACTGAAATTCGTTTGGGAGAATACTACGAGATGCATCCATGAGGAAGGCATAGTCAGCGTTTTCCTGACCACACACTGAAGTTAAAAGAGATTGAAAACACAATTGAGAAAATACCGAGATTTTAACTCAAACTGAAACTTCTTGGTAAGCACCAGTTTGACAAGATCCGAGTTCAACATGCGTTCTTCGTTAGAATCCGAACTTTGCTTAAGGTTTAGTAAATTAACTTAATTAAAGCTTAACTGAAATTTGACATGGATCTTTCCTGACGTCATTTCTCACTCAGAGCTGGAAGCCAAGACAACGCCAAACTGAACCGAGACACGATCCCCAAATATTAAAATTACCAAACGAATCTTTCGTAGAATATCGAGGAAGCGAGGATAGGTTATCCGATGCTTTGCACCCGTAATTCCCTCAAAAGATGCAAAATAGTGAGCAAAAAAGTTGAAAAAAATATATATTTCCCCACTCAGAAACTTGCACATCAGGGATGGTTACATGTGATTGCATAATTAAGCTGTGCTTGCTCCGCTTTGCTTTGCAGATCATTATTGCTCTTTCACGCTCACAGATAATGGTTGATTTCAAAGATTAACACTTAAACTCCAAGAAGAGATTAACATGAAACTTCTCCTTAAAATATCCATACATATATCCAGCAAACGGGTCATGAGAATATTCAAACTTATAAGGTAAAAGTCATTATCCTGATCTAACAACAAATTCTTGTACCTAATTTGCAAGGACATGTGTAGCAGTTAGAGGAGAGAATTTACATTAAGATCTTGGGAGTTAAAGGGTTAATGCAGTGTAACAAAAGAAAGATTCAGCTGCTGTACTTACAAATGACTCCTGTTCTTCCCTTCATTCCTTGTGGACCTGGGTTACCTGGGTCACCAAGAGGCCCATCGTCACCAGGATTACCCGGAGGACCGTTTTGTCCAGGTGTTCCCGGCGAACCTGCATCTCCTTTTGAGCCCGGTTCTCCTCTCTCGCCTAAGAAAGATTTGAACTTTCGAGGATTGTGTAATTAAGCATTTTATCCTTAAATAAATTTTGTTACGTTAAAAAGAAACCCTTCTCTCAAACCTCGCACTTAATTTTATACTTTGTTTGTAAGAAACTCGAATTTGTTGTGAATTTGTCTTGCCTTGCTTTGTTGTTTGTTACTTAGTATTGTGATCTTGTGTATTATCTTTGAACTTCTTAGATATCAACATATGAAATGTAAGATAAAACGAACTTAAAGAAATCACAAATATTGCCCTTGTAAACACTGAACAATGTGTCAGCAAAATGATAGGGCCAAGATACGATGCTGAATATGAGGCTATAACCGCAACATTAATAAACTTCGTTACGTGTGGGCTAAAACAAACCTTTAGTTGGGACACCTGGTAGACCCATAATTCCAGGTTCACCCGGAGGACCGCTTATGCTGTCACCAAGCTCGCCCTTAGTTCCCTGATTTCCTTTGGGGCCCTGGGCTCCAGGCTGTCCCGGCAGTCCTTTCGGCCCAGCGGAACCATCCTCTCCATTAGCACCTGGGTCACCTGGAAATCCAACCACGCCGCCTTCACCTGGGACCCCTATTGCGACAGAAAAACGATCGTTAAAAAAACAAGCAAAGAAACAAATGGAAGTTAATGGCGACTTTATCCGTTTGAAACTTCAATCTTGTTGAGAAAAGGAACAATCATAAACAAAAGAACAAAGGAAAGGAAACACCAAAAATAATACCAAAACAAGCATGCTCTCCCCAGACTCCCAAGGCCGTGCTGACACTACGAAGTTTGCATATCGAATCCCCATATTACTCGTACCTATGCTTCGCATATCCACGAGTTAAAATGTCAATACTTGTGAAAGAATATTTCGTGGCTTGTTGCATAAATGTAACTTGTAAACTTCCGGCTGGGAATCGTTCTCTGTTAGGCGACCGCACTAAAAACACCTTGAACTTTGCTAACAGGATTTTGAGCATGTTTCTCAACGCATTAACTTGAAAACACCGAAAGCTATCTAATGATTCATTTGCCAGTGATGAGTCGCCGCGTCAGACCGGCCTCGAACTATTTTCTATACACAAGTATATGAAGACCGATCCAAACCTGAATATAACTGCAAGTTATTTACTCACCTCTAGCGCCTTTCTGTCCGTCTTCACCGTCTTTACCTTTGGGTCCATCTTGACGATCACCAGGTTCACCTGGCATTCCCTTTGATCCATTTCTTCCTGGTGGTCCCTCCCATCCGTCCATTCCTAAGTCACCTTTGGCTCCTCTTTCACCTCTACCACCTATAGATCCCTTTGGACCTGAAAAGAATTCAAATCACAGTTCACCTCTGTGACTTGTCCGAACCAGTACCTGGTGAATACGACTGTCTGCATTTAAAGATAATTTGATTTTGAGTTAATAATGCAACTTGGCCACCGTAAAGTTTTTCAAACGTGAAAGCTGACGTTTGAGCGTTAGTCCTTCGTCAGAGCGGCAAACGTTCAAGACGTCAGCTTTAAAAACTCTTTACAGTGGCCAAGTTACATTACCAACTCAGTTGAGTTGATAATGAGTTAATCTCGTGACAATCTCCACCGGTGCAGCACCATAAGTTTCTTTAGAAACTTAACTCCTTTATTTACTTGTCCGAATTTAAATTCGCTACAGCTTCTTTACGTGGTCATTCCTCTAAGATAGAGCTCACATTGAGATGTATGTCAAACATTCGTGACTGTACTTCTACTACAGCGCGAAAACGGCACTGGAGGTAATGATGTTTAATGCCTTCAGGATAAAACGTATTTCCCTACAAACTAGCTTAAAAATAAAGAAAAGGAAGCTTCTTGCCCTCAGGGTCGATTGAGTGACTGTGCCAAAAAAGAATCTATACATTTCAATGTGCGTTGGCCTGGAAATCGATAGACAGCTTTAACTATGAGGCGAAATTCTTCCTGACAACGTTTTGTAGGGTTAACAGACAACATCAATTCGGTTTCTTGGGTATTTGAGTTTCAGTTTGAAAGACATTAGAGACATAAGCGGTCTAAGAATTCTTTGTACAAAGGAAAGATCGAATTTTATTGGACAGAGCGTACATGCTGTGACTAAATAATGCTCTAGTGAGCATCGTCATCAAGACTTCTTTTTCGGTTTCAGTACCTGGAGGACCGGCGGGTCCAGGGGGACCTTGAGTATTCTCTCCTGGTATTCCCTTTTCCCCGGCGGCTCCCGTACTTCCGTTTACGCCTCTCGATCCTTGAACTCCAACCACTCCCGCATTTCCTTTCACTCCTACTGTACCGTTGTCACCTTTTTCACCGCTTAAAAACCGCGCTGTAGATATGAGCAAGGAAAAACGGAAAATGTAGTGAAAAGTCGGAAGTGAGAAGTGAAAAATGAACAAAATTGAAAAGTGGGAAATGAGAGGTGGTAAACAAAAAATGAAGTGAAAAGTGAAAGGTGAAACGTAGGAAATGGAAAGTGCAAAATGAGAGGTGAAGTGAGAGTGGGAGGTGAAAAGTGGGTAAAAAAGGATTAAAGAAAAATTTTCACACAGTAAGACCTAATCGATAGGCTTAAACACCAGCGGTACATAAACCGTTTCTATAATTAGCAACGCAGAAATGTACGTGGCTCCTGCAAGCCCACAGGTTTGTCGAGAATCATGATACCTCTACGGGCCCTGACGCTTAACCCTTTAACTACCAAGATCTCATTAGTAATTCTCCTTACTGTCTGTCATATAGTTCTTGTGATGTTAGTTTGAAGAATCTGGTATTGGATCAACTAGCAATCCCCTAATTAATATTTTTCTTTATTCTCATCACTTGTCTGCTTGATATTGTACTGAAATTGTATGGAGAAATTCTGTCTTGGTCACTTAGAGTTAAGAGGTTAATCATAAAAACAATAGAAAAGAAAAGGCCTGCATTTCTTGATTTTAAAGCTTGGCCAACGTGTAGAAAGTCACGGTCGTTGATTTTGCCTTTTACGAAAAAAAAAAATGGGTGGGGCATTTGAACACAATTTTCCCCCGGGAGGCGGGAATTTGAGTAAGTTCAGACGTCGCGGGGTGGCCCGGAGGAGTGGAATGTTGAAGCTTCGAATTGATCAACGCATTACAAGAATGCAAGACCTAGAGCAACTAAGGCGATTAACGATGTACGGCTGTTTTACCATCAGTCGGTCTTGTGTTTTCTCCCCTAGCTCCTTTATCTCCTTCGGTTCCTTTTTCTCCTTTTCTACCCATATCGGGCACGGGTACGATGGGACGATCACCTTTGTCACCAGTCTCACCTTTGGAACCACGGTCTCCTGGTAGACCATTTGTACCTGGAAAACCATCAAGACCCTGAAAGGTGAAAGAAATGTCAGCGAACGAGCCACAATGCTTACCCTGAGGAAGGGTAGGTCAGTAAGTTTCCTACCCAAGGACACATCACCGTGACCCCGGAACTTTCGGTCCAGCTCCCAGCATGTGAATACTCTTTCTGTCAAATTCTTGTACAAAGAATTAGTTTTTTGAGATTTGTATTACTTGGGGAGTTACATTAACAATTATAGTGTACCAAGACTTCCAGGGATTATGAACGAAAAATTATTATTAAAAGGTTTAGCCGTTGTTTAACGAAATTGTCTTCTAAACTATCTCGAATTTAGCTGAGTCTTTAATCCCAACATTTATTTTTGTAAACAGTGTCAAGAGGGCCGAAAGCTAGCAGTGGATTGACTTATGTTTAATGAAAACAACCCTCTTATAGAGAACACGTAAGGTCCACTGAGTAAAACCGCAGTTTGGGTTGCATCTCGTGTAAACAACCAGCTCAGTGAGTCTTATAAATAAAGGGGGTACGTTTCTAAACAATCTGTGATGCTGCGTCGGTGGGAGAGTATAATAACTGGTTTTTACAATATGGTTTAGTATAGTATAACAATATGGTTTTTTTAAACTGAGTTGCCAATGTAAACTGGCCACCAAAAAGAGTTTCGTCAAAGCGAAGTGAATCTTAACCCGCCGTCAGGTATTTAACATTCCACACTGACTCTGAAAGTCTCTAAAACAATACCTATCAATATCTTACCGACATTCCGGGTGCTCCCACATCTCCTTTTTCTCCGCTCGGACCACGGAGTCCAGAAGACCCATTATTACCAGCAGATCCACGCACACCCTTTGAACCAGGGCTTCCTTCGTCACCTTGCGGACCTGGCGGCTGATAAACCTCTTCTCTTTCACCAACAGGCGCATCACCCTTTTCTCCTTTTTTCCCTTGGTCTCCTTCAAAACCATTAGAACCCTAAAGGAAAGATGAAGCTTGACAAATCTCTGGAATTTACAGTCTACATGTACAGTGTATGGACCAAAATAAACAGTTAGCGTGAAGTTCCTTAACCCTTTACTTCCTAAGATCAGTATGCATATTCTCCATACAACTCCCTGGACATTTACTAGGGTTCTGACAAGGAGTGGTCAAAATGTTGTGGATTTACGAGGCGTAACGGAATGAGTCCACAATATCAACGTCAAAGAAAACGATTCTTTCAGTACGTGACCATTGTGTGAAACGTTGACGCGAGCACCGTTGTCTGTGCTCTTATCGACAACGGCAAATTGACCAATCAGATTGCGCCACCACCGCCAATTCTGGTAAAAATCCTAAATTGTTACTCGGTGGGTGTGAGATTTTAGAGTTGCAATACCTTCTGTCCAGGTGAACCATCAGGGCCTTGTGGACCACGTTGCCCAGTCGGTCCCTCTGCACCCTTGTTTCCATCTGTACCATTCATTCCAGGAAGTCCCTTTTCACCGGGCATACCTTTAGCCCCCTTAGGACCTTGGGGTCCTGGCGGACAATCAGGACACTTGTCCTTTCCACCTTGCTCTCCTGGTAATCCTTGTTTGCCCCTCTCTCCTGCATTTCCTGGTGACCCTGGAGGCCCCTTAGCACCGACTTTGGGAGGTGGACAGGTAGTCTCTGGACAAAACAATGGCTCAGCTGAAAAAATGGAAAGTAACACAAAATTGTCATACTGTGCGGTACGTTTTTAAAGAAAAATTTATGTCATTTTACATGCGATCCTAAAGCACAGGACACTATACGATGGAAACGCAGTGTCGTTTGACCTCGCGGTAAATACAAGTCCCAAGGATGAGTAGCTTCTGGAGCATCATCTCATGTCTCAGAGCCCATCATCTGCTCCGAAAAATATACAAATATAATACCATAATAACTGTAACATACATGCAGCGTGGGTTGCACACGCTGCTGGAGAAACTAAGAGTATGTTTATGACTAGTAACACAAGCAATGACATTGTTAGTGGTCAAAAGCCCAGAAACATGTCAACAAAACTACCAAAAACTGTAAAAGGGTCAGACTGAATGATCTTTTACCGGAACGTCCAATAATGGTTACTTTGTGAGTCTGAACCGTTTTCAAGCAATTTAAAGGGTAAAGTTGGTCGACTTACGCCAGCCACTTCGAGGGGTAACTGTAATTAGGATATTTAATGTTCAAAGCAGTACAAAATTAGATCTGAACTCCACCAAAATAGCTTTGAAATCGCTTCAGATGCGCACTGTCAGTTGAAAACACAACACTTATGCAAGGTAAATAATATTCATTTTGAGCCAAACTAGACCACCCGTGATTGCAGTTCACCTTTTATCTCCCAGATCAAATTTGTAATTCTCCTTACTGTCAACCATACAATTCTTACATTGTTAGTTCAGAGAATTTAGTATTGAATCAACTAATTATCCCCAAATTGATATTTTCCTTTACTCTCATCACTTACCTGGTTGACATTTTATTGATATTGTAAGAGGAAATTCTGTCTTAGTCATTCATGGGAGTTTAAGGGTTAAAATGCTGTGGCCCTGGTCGATCTTAATGTACTTCAACGGCATATTGAGTTCAAAAATGAAAAAGAAAACAACACAAAAACAGACTGGTTACCTTTTTCTCCTTTGGGTCCTAACTCGCCCTGAACTCCAACAAATCCTTTTTGTCCTGGTGGCCCATCCATACCTTTGGGTCCAGTTACATCAACTCCTGGTTCGCCGCGTGAACCGTTACTACCTTGCGGCCCCTCTTCACCAGGTAGTCCAGGATCTCCCAGCATACCTTGAACACCTGCAAAGGTGGAAGAAAAGGCGCAGTGGAGTCTGCGGACTGGCCATGAAAATATTTTACCAAGAGCTGCTCTCTTCCTCTTCTATTTACGTAATACAAAACAACTGTCACGAATCGTCCCTAAAATTGAGTGAGTGGTGTTAACAAGCTAATTCAACTCTCAGAAACTCAAACTATAACTAACTTTATCCTTCTGCTTGCTCGAGTCAAATTTCCCAATTTGCAGTCAAACATTCTCAATTTCCCCTTACTTTAACTCCTGGTAAGGAAAACCTTTTTCAATTTCCCTGAGTCTGGAGTCAACCGTGATAACAACTTTTAACCTCCATCAAAGTCAGTTCAAATAAAGTAACCTATTCAACTTTGCGAACTTGAGCAGGAAAACGTGAATTGTAATAGGCATCATGAAGAGCCTTTAGAGGAGTTGTGGTTAGTAATACCTCCAGATACCTGCTTTTTCAATAGAGTAATAGAATAAACCATCTATGTAATGAACTGCTAAGATTGAGGAAAACACAAGTGGAAAAGATGAGATGGGTTCTGAATCTGATTGGTTGAGGACACGATGCAGGTTTTCTGGAACAATCACAGAGAACAGTGAAGCAAACTAAATCATTGCCGTGTCCCATAACTTCCCCCGTTTAAAACGGGGAAAGGGAATGGGGAATCAAGGTAACCAAAGGACATTTTACCTGGAGTACCAGGTGCCCCTGGGGGACCAATTGGCCCTGTTTCACCAACTTCGCCTTTGGGTCCAAATACAGAAGCACCTGGAAAACCGGGGGGTCCTGTATCTCCTGGTTCACCAGACGGTCCACTCTCACCAGGACGTCCAGCCGTTCCTTTCATTCCCTGACCACCTGGTGGGCCTGGCACTCCACCCTGTCAAAATAAGAAAAGTATTTTAATAAATATGTATCAACAGTAATAACTCAATTGAAAAACCCTTTCCTTTCAAAGTGATCTGGGATCAAGAATCATGATTTAAATCCTCCCAAAAGAACGCGCCCTACCAAAAATGTCTATTTGCTTAACAACTGGATGTTATCATGAAACTTGCTGTTGTCAGTCCTATTGCAAGAGGAAATTATTTCTTGCCTTGACTAACAAACCTGATCAGTAACAATAATCTACAATGATTGTGAAGTGTTGAAGCCTGTCAGCACTTACTTGGTTGTAGAAGACACAATTGTAAAATTCAGGTGCTCAATACAGTTTTTTTAGTCCGAAAAATTCGTTATTGATCCAGTATACTGATCTATTTTGTAAAAATTTGCATAAGTTGTCTCTCATTTTCCTGTAATTTGGTTGATTTCTCTACACAAACCTTGAAATTGATTGGTTGCTGTGTTTATGTAAAGCTGTCTTATTGGTTGAAAAAAGGGTGCAATTTAGAGCATAATATGGTGCGATTTGTAAATTAAACACACCAGCAAGAACCAATCAGATTGCAAGGAGCATGAATGATTTCAAAATGGATTTAATAAATTAATAAACTTACCCCTCTTTCTCCTGTTGAACCAGTAGGGCCAGCAGGTCCAGGGTTACCCTTCAAACCCTGAATCAAACACAAGTGTTAAAATTTATTAGAGGGAAAAAAACCCATCAAACAATACTTCAAATCTTCAAATACCTACCATAATAACGATGTGATCTTGGATTTTCAAAGGGAATATTAACTTTTTAAACTAAAATTTCCAGTACAAAGGTATGTGTACTGTGGGCAAGGTATTTTCATCAAAAATCCCCATAGTCCTTTTTGATAAATAATTCTTTATTTCAGGTAGTGTTGTTAAAAAGGCATACAAAATCAGGCCAAACCAAATACAGTCAAACCTGTATTAAGCAGTCACCCAAGGGGAATGGCATGATGACCACTTAATACAGGTTGACCACTTGATACAGGTTCCACATAATAGGGGTTTTTAAATAAAGAAATGATAAACAATGGCATTTTATGCCATAATTGACTACTTAATGCACAAAAACTCACTCAAAAATGCTACCAACATTGACTTCAGGTGATAAATATGTTTTAAATTATTCTTCAAAGATTATTCTTAGTTTATCTGAGTGGTTCCACTTTAAGTGACCTTACAATACAGGTAGAGGATGATGCAAACAGGCCATTTGAACTTGGGTCCACAATTAAAAGTGGGTCAAGTCTAACTGAAACATTATAATTGCTGCAATTATGTAGCAAATCCCACAGAGAAAAATGTCATCAACATACCTTGTCACCGTCAGGGCCAGGTCTACCCGGTTCACCTTGAGGCCCAGGCTCACCCTATTGAGAAAGCATGAACATTTTAAATTAAGTTACCTCGAATCCAAAGTTTCTTTTACACAGCCGATGCAAAAGTATCTAAATTCCTTTTTAAAATTAACTTGCAAGAAACTTCTAGTTACATTAAAAGTTCTCTTTTATCAAATTAGCTTTCACTTGTTCCCTTGAGGAGGATTCCACCTCAACTCCAAACAATTTCACAATCTTTACTTGCCATTTTTCACTCATTCCATACAAAAAGGAGTGATTGCACACACTCATGCAAAAGCAGGAAATTATAAAATGTAATTACATATTAATTAGCAGGGTATCTATGTTAATATATATATATCTACCGGGGCACCAATGGTTCCATTATCTCCCTTGGCTCCAGCATTTCCCTGCAAAGCAAGTCAGATATAAATCTTCATGAACCTACATAACCAAACATTATCAGGCCATGCTCCCCAAAGCTAAGACAAGGTGTCATATCTGAATACATTTAACCCTTTACACCCTAACATCAGTTTGTATATCCTCCATTCTGTTCTCCATACATTTCCTAGGGTGCTAGCAAGGAGAATTTGTTTAACAATCAAGAACTTCTTTAGTTGGTGGTCATTTCCTTTATTCCTGTGAATTTAATGTGTGATTCAGGGTTGATATTATAAGGAGGAATTAGATGCATGTCATTCTTAAGGGTTTAAGCATTAAAAGGATTTATTTGTTTCACTTTTCTTTGTTCATAGTTATAAAGACTGTAAACAAATAATCAAACAAGCTGTGACTGCCCTGAAATGACCACACACAAATATATGCATTTCTGCAGCTATGATACAGTGGAACAACTGCTCAATGGCTATACTATGAGAACAGAAGAAAGAATCTTTGGTAGGGAGGTGGTCAATACAAAAAGGTAGGACTGATTCTCCTTCTGGAAAAAAATGCTCATTGCAGCTAATAATTTATGCAACACACTATCAAACAACATCATTAACAGAGAAACCAAAACTTTATGCTCCGAAGAAGTAAAGCTGCTTGAGCAAGAGGTCTAATATTTTACCACGGACAGTGTTCATCAGTCAGTGATTAACTAGTTGTTATCAAGTGGTTATTTTGGCAGTTAAGAGGCACTGTAGTGGCCTTCAACACTTTTCACCCCAACATCAGTATACATTTTCTTTATATGCCTCTCTACACATATCCTTTGTTATTGACTAGGAAAAATTTATTTAACAATCACAGCTTATTGGAATGGTGATCCTTTTCTTTATCCTCATGATCTTAATATTTAATTCAGCAGTATAACAGTAGGAAGAAATTAGATGCTGGTCTCTCTTAGGGGTTAAAGGGTTAACACTGCAGTGATTCTATGAACTGCCAACCATAAATGACAGTGGCCACTACAAAGAGGTGGTTACTAGTGGAGGATCAAGTGTACTTCATTTACCTCATCTCCAGGATCACCCTCTACTCCAACAGGGCCTGGGTCTCCAACTGGTCCTTGCGCTCCTTTTTTACCCCTCTCTGTTGGCGGGTCTCCTTTTTCTCCCTTGGCACCATCACTACCCTACAACAGGACAAATAATACACTGAGTAACCCTTTAACTCCCAAGATCTGATTGTTTAATCTCCCCTCCAGTTGCTATACATTTCCTTGTAATTAGGTTGCAAGAATTTGGTGTTAGATCAATATAAAAACTTCTTCCTGACAAGTTTGAGTATTCTCATTACCTTTTTGCCAGATAATGAATGAATATTATAGGGGGAGAAGATACATGATAATCACTTCTGGGAGTTAAAAGGTTAATAATGGAAATAGGACTGAGTGGAGTCCAGTTCCATCTGTAATCATGCGAGTGATCAACAAAATTAGATGATCAAGAAGCAGGAGTCTGATATGTTAATCATGAGTATGTCTACAGAATTGGAGTCCTGTTACCAATTAATCATAACAGTTACAATTTCAAAAAAAAAAATACATTTGAGACTAACACCAAAATAAAAAATTCCTTCATTTTGTAAATTCCCCATCTCTGAGTGTAAAAAAAATTAAACTGTTCTACAAGTTGTTCATGGGTATTATTCAAGAGGGAGTTGATTAATTTGGTAGAATTGTGCAGCTGATGCTATAGAAGCGCATACTTTGGTTGGTAAAGAATTGCATCTTATCAAGCTATTAAAATCCCTTGTAAAGTGTCTAAAGCAGGACTCTAAATCTTGATTCCAATGACACCTAACAGACTACTAGATCAAGTCTGTCAATTTCTTCTTTGATTCACTAAATCAAGAACTTCATCAAACAAATCTATCCTGCACTGTTGAATGACCTTTGTATTCAAACAGATCAATGTAATCTAGGACAGTCACCTCTGAAAATTCTCTATGTGTGACTCTAAGTAAAGTGAAGCAAGAGACAAACGAAATTTTCTTCTCAAAAAAACTCTAGATCATCCCATAGGCTTATTGAGGGGTACAAAGTGGCATTGTTTAATATCATAAAAAATACATAGACTGACCCTAAATGCTGAATTTTCAGGTTCCACCCCTGACCAAAAAAAGCCCTATTAGTGTATTCAGTTATGAGGGTCAAAGATGCATTTAGCACATAGACTGCTACATGTAAACAACAGTAAGTGGTCTGAAAGGTACTTACAGGAGATCCTGGTTCACCCTTTTGTCCCGTGTTATTCTGCTAAATGCAAAGTAAAATAATTGTAACCAATATCGGTTGTGTCCTCGTGTACCGGTACACAAAAGAAGGAAACATTAACGAACTGCATCATAACTCCATGTATGGTTATGAAAACAAAAGGAATTCCCTCGTGTACCGGTACACCAGGACAGCCCCCCAATATCATTTACTTAACCCTCTAACCCCCAAGATCTCATCAGTAATTCTCCTTACTGTCTACCATACAGTTCTTGTGATGTTAGTTTGGAGAATTTGGTATAGGATCAACTGATAATCTCCTAATTGATATTTTTCTTTTTTTCTCATCACTTGTCGGCTTGATATTGTATTGATATTGTAAGGAGAAATTCTGTCTTGGTCACTCCTGGGAGTTAAAGGGTTAAAGTAGTAAGTGCTACATGTACAGGTGATTCAATTTTGCTCACTTTTGCTGGTAATGGATGCATTTATATAACAAATAGATTCCAAGTTGCCATGCGTCTGTTCAGTAATAGATCACAGATAACGTCAAAATGTGGTAAGAACAAAAAAGTGGCACACGAGGCGCAGCTGAGTGTGTCACTGATGTTCTTACCACATTTTGACGTCCTCTCTGATCTATATTACTGAACGGACACACAACAACTTGGAATCTATTTTGTTTATATAATAAAGAATTTTAAAAAAATTTAATGATCAGGTCATCTATACGTCTGTCCTCCAATAGATCATATGTGAGAACCAATCAGAATGCATGCATAACTGAGCTTATTATATAATTCAGATTAGGACATAATTGTAATATGGTGTCTATTAAAGTAACTACACAAAAAGAGAGCCAGTAACAACAATGGTCACCAGGGCTTCTAGAGTACACTGAAAGTAGTAAAACAAAGTCATATATTACCCCATCTTGAATAATTCCTTTAGGTGGACCAACAATTTCAAATTCGCCTCGATCTCCTTCCTCTCCAGGTAGACCCTAAAGCAAACAAAAGTATAAAAGTGTAACCAAATGCACCCTTCTGAAGAACATGGAAAAGAAATTTATCAGCTCGACCAATTATACCAGCCAATGACAGAGCATGTATACTCTTCATGATGTTCTCTGTACATATCCTATGGTGTTGACAAGGAGAATTCATTCCACAATCAAGAGCTTCTTAAGTTGGTGATCATTTCCTTAATGTGTGATTTAAGGGTGATATTGTGAGGAAAAATTAGATGCTAGTCACTCGAAGGAATGTAGATCTAATAAATTAAGTAATACTAGATATTTATTATTACCAACATGGTTAATATCATTATCACAGTCATTATTATCATCAATATTATTATCATTATTATTAGCTTTCTTTAGGAGTGGAAGCACTAATTATCTTACGATAATCAAACAATAAATCAGGTCCTTGGGGTGGGAGATTTGACAATTTAGGTATATTTATCAAACCATTCCAAAAATAGAAAGAAAAACTAGCTAACTTTAACCATTTTTGTCTGATGTTGTGGATAAATGAAGTTCAGGAGGAGCATTTCTTTGATTCATTACACAGGGTTAGTGTTAGGGTTTGCAAAATTTAGCCTCTCTAAAAATGACAAACTGCATACTTGAGTGCTTTATTTTGGGTAATGTTGAATTACTAGCAATTTTTTGTGTTTTTTCAAGTTAACACATGAAAAAGACCTTAAGCTAGACCCAAATATGATGAATTATTTAGGGAAAAAGATTCTTCAGTTTTATCAACTGAGTTGATTATGAAAATGGGCCACCAAAAAGAGTTTCTAAAGCTGAAGTTATGTGTATTGGCCCTTCATCAGAGCAAAATAGAGAGAAAGCTAGGAGCTTGCTAGCTGTGACTTGAAACTGTGGCCTAATGTACCTTGAGCTGTACATGCAATTGCAATGTCATTAATACAGTAGACAGTTGTCTGGATTTCTTTGTGTCATTGTAAGAAGAATATGTACTTACCATGTCTCCTTTCTCTCCTTCCAACAACAGTAGATCCCCATCAGCTGGTGAACCCTTAAAAGGAAAGTTCAGAAGAATTCATTTGTAATGTGAAAAAAAAGGTGTTGATAGTTTTGAAGTCCAGATCTCTTGCTACAGATTTGCTTTGCTTAATACGTATAGGTTATCCACTGAGCTATAGCTTCATGCATTTCCTCCTTAAAGTTTTTTTTTTCACAAAAGTCCAAAGTTCTTGTTATTGCTACCCTAGTCCAGTTCCACTTGACTTACATCTTCTCCTTGAGGTCCTTGCTTCCCTTTTTCACCCTGCAAAAAAAGAAAAAATTGAAGACACTGAAGCATTCATGAGTGATAAGTATCTATAAAAGATGTGTGCAGATGATACCTCATGTATAAGGGATAAAATAGCATATTAAGTATTAGAAAGTGTGATGAATTCTTAACAGAAGCAAACAATTTGATGAGCCCAATCAACTGTTGCAACTGTTTTCAACTGAATAATCAGCTTGAACAAACAGATCTACAAACTTGTGCTTACCCTCTCACCAATGGGGCCTTGATTTCCCTGAAAAGTAAATCAAAGGTGAAGAATATACATTTTAATTCTGTCTATACCATTTTTTTTTTGACAATAACAGAATGTTAAATGATCAAAATTATGTTGAATTTATTTTGATGAGAGAGAAAACTTTCAGTACACATACATTTGTACACATGTGTACAATTGTTAAATTGCCATAACTTTGTTCATTTTGCAAACCACTTTCAAACCAGCTTTAAATCTGCTCATTTCAGATTATAAAGCACATGCAAGCCAAAAAAGCTTTCTCACTAATGGTTATAAACAACGCTAAAAAATTTCAACCCTAACTATCATACCATTCAGAAGTTAATTTCTCATGCTTGCATGTTTTTTGATATCCATAGCAGTTGCTAGATTTTGGCAATTACATTTATCAACTCAAAATCTTGTCAAGGATATTATAACTCCCATTAGCTAAGAAAAACTGATAGGCAAATTCAAGGAGTGTAGGAATTTTTCTTACAATAGTGGCAAATTAATTACTTACAGGTATACCAGGGGGACCAACTTCTCCAAGAGGGCCCTAATAGAGGGGAAAATTATACTGTGGTTAAGGAGAAACAAATTTGAGACTTGAAGAACCTACCAATTAATACAGGGTGGCTGCTTAATACAGTTCCCCTTAATACAGGTTTGACTGTACTTGTATACTGCTATACTTCAACTAGACATTAACCAAGCCTTCATGAAAGTCCCTCTTGCAAAAGTGTGGCAACAAACCAACATAATCATCCCACCAAACAATTCAGAGGAACACATCACAAAGAGCTTCACAAAACTGGAGTTAAAGCTACAAAACTCCTAAAACTGTGTAAAAATCCACAAGCCTGAGGTGCAATAGTCTAATTACACACCTGATTTGTTGGGCTGAAAATTTTCTGGGGCAATCACAAAGCACAGCGAAACAAAACACCAATGAAATCTCTGATTACTTTCCGATAGAAAATGTGATTTTGAGTTACTATTAGTTAATAGTTACATGGAAACAGTGAGAAGCTTCTATTCCAATTTCAAGAGAGCCAATGAACTGCTCTTAAAGTACTTACTGATGGCCCCATTTCTCCCTTGGCTCCTGTGTCACCCTAACAACAACAAAAAATGAGTTATCAGCAATTGATTCCTTAAGTGAAAAGAAGAGGTAGGATGAAGTAGATATAGAGGCTATAGTTTTTTTTTATATTTAAAGCAATAATACACACCATATTTCCATGAATAAACACCCAGGGTGCTTATTCAAAATTTTATCTAAGAAGAGGAGGGTGCTTATTAGAAAGAAGGCAATTATTTGAGGGGGGCACTTATCAATCTCCTGTACTGATTCCCTTGAAGTTGAAGCATGAAAAGTTATAACTAAAGAGGCAATAGAAACAGGTCTTCCTTGTATCTCTGCTACTTAGAAAGTGAGGGAGGAGGGGGACGGGGTAAGGGAGATACTTATCATTCTCCTGTACTGATTCCCTTGTAGTTGAAGCGTGAAAAGTTATAAATAAAGATGCAATAAAAACAGGTCTTCCCTGTATCTCTGCTATTTGGAAAGTGAGGGAGGAGAGGGGGAGTGCTTATGTGATGGGGGTACTTGTTTGATATTCTGGCTCAGGGGTTGGGCATTATGCAGGGGAGGAGGCTCATTAACTTCAATAACAACAATTATTGTATTTCTATGTGCCAAATTTTGGACAAAATGGTCAAATATGGGACTCTTTCAAATTCAGTGTTTAATGTTTGACATGAGTTCAGGCTATGGGGGGAATATACCCCACAGACCCTCTTCTCTCTTCTCCAGGACCTTCTGTTGAAGGCAAAGTACACTGATTTGTGTCTAAGTTGGACCATTTGAGCGGCATCATTTATGCAGCTAATGCATTACCGGCTTTCCTTTTGTTGCAATAATTGGCCCATCATAGGGGTCACCCTAAAAATAATTTCAAAAAACAATATTAAATTAATAATTTCTGATGCTTGATTACTGATTTAAAAATTATAAACTGACAAATTAACTTTGCAAAGTTTGAGATATTGTTAACACAACTGATAGCACTGCCACTATGAACACAACTGATAGCACCACCACTATGGGGATTTTTTTTCATCATGGACAATGAGAGTAAGTTGGCACATGCAAACCTTTCATTCCCAACATTTGATTATAGATTTCCTTAAAACTCTTTACCATAAGTTTCTCATCATTTTAGCTCTAAGAAATTGATGTTAAACCAAACAATGTATTTTGGTTGTCTCAAACTTCATTGATATTGAAAGTAGAAATTCCTATTTGGTCTTTCCTGCAACAATAAAGGTCAAGGGTCATACCACAGGGCCTTTAGGTCCTTGCTCTCCAGGATCTCCTGCTACCCCTATTGTACCATCTGTTCCTGTGCGGCCAGGTTCTCCCTAACAAGAAAGCATTTGAGCAGTTAGCATGTGGAAAATGTTTGGACATATTTCATCATTGAATGATTGTGATAAAAAAAATTTGCATAATTAGGTCTTCTGTATTACAGGTTTTATTTCCTTATGAATCCCACCTTGTTTTGTTCATCAAGTCATTCAAGTTCTAGGTCTATGAGAACTAAGGCAAGCTACTCTGACTTTCAATTTCAAGTGAGCTAATGAGCCTCTAAACACACAACCAACGTTTGATCTATGCTAAACTCAATGTTAATCCTACTGCACATTCTGGCTTCCCTGACCTGTACCATAAAAAAACTTTTTCATAGTAATCACACTTTTCTTTTTTTTTTCCAAAGCCTAGCCAATATATATTTTCTGATTTGCAGAGATCTTGTAATCCAGGTTTTAAATTGTGAATGACTACTTATCAATGTTGGATGTTGAATAAAGTTACTTGTAAATGGTTTGTAGTTAGCAAAAACAAAAAACAAATACTTTTAGCCTCTCAAACCAATTAGTTGACAGAAGTATTGTACATGTATAGCAATGTTTATTCAAACCATTTTGTTTTTATTATTCAAGTTGTATGCTGAGTGTTACCTTATCACCATCACATCCGCAGAGTCCCATGAAACCTTTTGGTCCAGCAATTCCTGGGACTCCCTAGAAGTAAATAGATCAAAACGATGTTTGATTACATCAGAAGCAGTGGTATACCACACACGTTAAACATTTAAACATGAAAACCATACACATACAGAATGAAGAAAAGTGCTCTTTGAATGCAAAAACTTAATTATTGAAATACCAGTACTTACAGGTATACCATTGATGCCAGGAAATCCAGGCACTCCAATCATTCCCTGCAATAAAAAATTACATATACATTTTAGCACGCAAAGAATTCAAGACAAGGTATTAATTTGAGGGAATGAAAAATTGTATTAAGAAATGTTAGCAACATTTCAGGTACAAACATTGGAGGAAACAGTCAGTCTGTGAAATGAGTACACTGAGAAAGGGTTTTGTTTAAAATTAACCTCATTTCCCTTCTATCTTAATCAACCCTTTCACTCCAAAAATTAAGATATTTTCCACAATGTCTGCCATTCATTTCTTACAATTTTAGCCCAGAGATCAAACTAAATCCTAAAAAATAAAATATTTTATCTTTCTTTTCTTTTTCACACTGACTCCTCTAAGAATGACTATAAAATTTTCTTCTTAATTGTACATCATTGTTCATTTTGATGGAATTTCCTTTACTAAAATCATTGCTCCTTTCTTCATCTTTAACCAGCAGAAATAACGGCTAGTTACATTGATAAAACTTTGCATCTCAAATTATGCTATTTTCAAAGTTGATTAAGAATATATCCTTTGCTTTTATTTTACCTGATCTCCTTGTGTTCCTGTAGGGCCCTGTACTCCAGCCTCCCCCTTAAACAGAAATTAAAAAATCATAAACAATATTAATATGCATTCAAGGTCTAGTGAAACCTACTCTAACAGACATTCCTTTCTGGACATTTCCCATGAAGAGACAAAAACCTATTCCCATCAAACAAATGAAGACTGAAAGAAACTTTATCACTCCTGGTGTGTCTAATCACAAAGAGAAGAGGCCAGAGGATTTCTCTGAGAAGAAAGAACATGACAACTGAGTGCCACACCCAGTGTTTTTATCAAATGTTCCAAAATGCTTGCCAATTATTGTAGGTGTGTCATACCTGATAAAGAGAAGGGGCTCATCAAGAAAGAGGGGAGCAACAAATAGGCCATGCTCTCCTTTCTTAGTTTTTATAAGTAAACCTTTTTGTCTTTCACATAGCATTGTTCAATCAGAGGTTAATATCATATCAATCTCATCAATCAAACTGCCATTCAAAGTCAGATTACCTGAATATGCTCTCTAAATGCCTATGGTAACAGGTTGTTCTCTCAAATGAAATAACAAGGGACACCAAATGTAAAAAATTATCCTGTATTGTGCCTTGCTGCAAAACCATGAATGGGTTATAGGGGAAACAGATGCTTGCAATTTCACCCCCAATTTCTCCATTGCCTCAGGCTGGTAATTTCTAGGTCCACCCCTAGAGCTCATGTAAGCAGCTCACATTGGATTTTTTACCAAAATGAAACAAATCTGGAAACATCACCTTGTAGCCTTTGGGGCCTTGTAATCCATCTTTTCCAGCAGGACCCTAAAGGACAAAGACAAACATGAAATCTTAGAAACATAACAACCTTAAATTAAGGGGTCCAGTCAGTTCATCTCTTGTTTTTGTTTTCATATGGAAAACCATTCATAATTGTTATAACAACAAACAAATGGCAAAGTGACTGAAATTTTATCAGCAGTAGTAATGTAAAGAGGAAATTTTTAAGATTAATTCAAAGTAAAGGACAGGAAATCCCTGAGAAGAAAACAATAAAAAGGGTGGAATTCATGATATTATCATGTATCACTATAACTGGGTAACATTCCTAAAGGCGGCTGCGTGGCCAAGTGGTTAGGGTGTTGGCTCTTTAATTAGACTAGTGGTCTGGGTTCAAGCCCTTCATCCTTCTATTAAATGGATTTATTCTTGGTTGCTGCATGATCAACTCCTTGACTGCGCTATGTCTATAGCATGGTCTGTCTCCTGAAAGTTGGGATTTTTGAACACTATGTTTATTTGTTCATTCACCTAGTCATTCATTTATAAAGTCACTCATGCATACTGGCCCTAAAAAGCCCCCATTGGGGTGGTGATAAATGAAGTATACATACACACATACACAACATACATACATATAATTACATAGGTCATTTTAATTATCTATTATTAGTCCATACATTTTTCTCTCTCCTCAATTTAATTTCCTGCCGCATGCCTTAATCAATATAAAATGTGAACTGTATGACTGTGAATGCCTGGGGCACTTTAGGAAGGGTAAACAGTGCAAATTTTAAAATTACCAGTCACAACAGAGATCAGGGCAGACAAAAAAATAACAAACTATCCTACAGCTGATTAGCACCATAATTCACGTCATCTCTATAACATTTCAGAGATACTTTCCCTGATGTGTGGTTTTCTAAGTTTGACACTCAAGAACTTTACTGCAGTCACAAATTAACAAAGAAAAAAAACTTTCAAGTGTTATTGTCATACAAATTTATCAGTTTGCCATATATATATATATTTGACAGAAAATATTTCTAACTTGAAACTGGACCTTGCAACCAGTGTTACTATATTTGCAATAAGTTTTAAGTGGTCTGAGATGAAGGACTTAAGGGAAGCACGTTCACCTAAGGTGAAAGTTCAAGTATTTAATTGCTGAAAAATGTCCAACTTCCTACATGCACGATATTTTAGATGGTGCTTCCATTCATTCATTTTCATTTGCTTCTGATTCTTTTTCATTCAAATTCAATGATTATAATCAAATCTCAAAATTGACCCTAATTTACACTGACTAAATACAGTTGAGTGACCTTATATCTGTCTCAAGGTAATAGGCAAACATTCAAGAGGAAAAATTTTCCCAATGTTTCCTAAAGAATCTCAGTTTGTTCATTACCTGCACGAAGGGTCACCATTAGCTGTATGAATTGGACATTAATAAATGAGCAAAAAGCTTTGAAAGATTTCAGAAGAGTTACAACACATTTGTTTCAGATATCATTCTGAATGAGAATTAATTAAGCCACCATAAGTTTTAAACCCTTAAATGAGCAAAAGCATCTGTAACACTGATCAAATGTTTAACAATGTCCAATGTTGTTCAATTCTGTATACTGTCTTAAACCAACATGTGTTTCTGTTATCATTATCCAATGCAAAACACATTATTCAATACATGCAGAGCTGTTGCTTAGTATTGGCAACTAACTGGGTGAAAAAGTGGCGATTGCTGGCTAGATTTTTGGCTGGCGATAACTGTGTAAAACATGACAGCAGAAGGGAGAAAGGGCCTTCTTTCAGACTCCGCCCTTAAGCTGCCTCACTTACAAATTTCAGATGGCAGTGTTACTTCCTAACTTCGACCCAGGACATGTCATTATTTGAAAATTTTCATGTAATTCCTTTTTGATTGGATTATTTCAATATTTCCTTTATAATATTACCATTATAACTTTATTTTATCTCATCATCAGTTATATTTCAACACCTGATTTATACTTGTGTCTGTGTCAGTGTTGTTTACTTGTTGCTAAACCAAGGAAACATCACTTGCTAATTCTGAGAGGTTCTAAATCTGATGAATAATATTCATTCACAACTCTTTCTCATGAAGAGAAGCTAAGATATTATTACTCACCTCCTCTCCTGGTGGGCCATTGACACCAGTTTTTCCTGGTCTTCCCTGCAAGGGTAAAAATTACAATTTATAGCTCTCAAAGAAATCAAGGGAATTTCTGCATGAAACATTTTTACACACATTTGAAACCTTCCCTCAAACAAGAAAAAATGCAGTTTGGCATAACCCTTTCACTACGATCAAGGCATCAATATGAAATTATATATTAATCCCCAAAACTGATTTCCTCATTTCAACCATAGCAGTAAATATTCAATGCTAAATCAATCAATAACCCCAGACTGATTTTGTTCTTTCTTCTCATTGCTACCTAGCAGGAAATATATCCATAATGTTGGGAGAAATTTCCTTTGAGTCAATGCATACTAGGAGCAGTTGAGGGTTACCTATAAAGATTTTGGTAGGCTAAGAATCCAATTTATCCTTGACACAACCAAAGGATATTTTGGGGATATGATCCTTAAAGCTGGTATTCAAGGGACAAGGAGGAAGGAAAGTTTATTTGAATCAATTTTCTGATTTCACTTTTCCTTGGACAAATGCCCACCACACATGCTGTAAACAAAGTAAGTTTCTACACTTACATTATAAATGGCAAAATAATGACACTTGAAAAATAATTTTTCATACTGACATCAATATTAGGGAAAGATGTTTTTTTCTCTTGTCATGAGTGCGGGACAAATTCTGAGTACCTGTAAGGAATTGAACCTCAGACCATTAGATTCCACAGTATGATGCAAGGAATCCAAAGGTCTGAGGTTTGATTCCTCACAAGGAAGAATTTTTTTCTTTGTCCCACACTTTTGACAAGACGAAAAAACATCTTTCTCTATTTTTTTACTGGGCTAAAAAACTTACCACCTTCCTTATTCTGTTAACAGACTTCAATTTTGTTTTAAAAAAAACAAAAGTTATCATGAATCAAAGCTATTTTCCATAATAAGATGAGTTACCTACCCTTGAACCTTTGGGTCCCGCTTTACAATTGCATTCCTCATCATTTTGATCCTGAACGCAACCAAAAATAACATAATTAATTTATGTACCCACATTCTGAAGATCTGTGCCTATTTCTAAAAAGGAGTAATACACCTTCTTGCTATAACCTTGCTAAAGAAAAAAGCAAAAAAAATTTAAAAAAGGATTGCAATGTGGCTGTTAGCTAAGAAATCATGAGTGTTCCCAAATACACTGTCAGTTTTCATGAAATATCCACACTTGGGCAAATCATCAAGTAACTAGATGCACATTCCTGACTCTGAAAAAAGCTTATTTTCTAGTGTGTACGAGCCAGGAAAATTCATTCCCTAAAAATTAAAAATAACTTTCAGAATTCTCAATATAGTTTTAAACAAACATCAAACATTCCCATATGGTTTATAGGTCAATTTCCACCCTAAGTAAGTGCAAATTTCTGATCGCTGGGAATTGCATCCATGCAAGACAGAGCATAAAAGTCAGATTATAAAACTTCTTCCAAGTTCAGAAGAGATGTTTTAATATAAATAAGTTCCAAAAATTCAAAGACTTTGAAAACAAGATAATTAAACAAATTACTTTGAATTTCTAGACAAATGCCGAATACTCTCAAAAGGTTCACATGAGGTTTTCTGTAGAAATTTGATCAACATTTGAGTAAAAGTGTCGAGAACACAGAAATATTCATGCATTCTTACATTTGGAATAGTCATTACCTTCACTTGAATGGTTTGTTTTGTGTATTTTACAGTTTGGTTTATTTCTAATTGCCATATTATCATAAGTGTCTTCCACCCTACAAAAATTTTAATCTCGATAAAAATTAAAAAAAGTAATACTCAATTTCAAAGGCATTTTTTGTTCCATTTTTTTTTTACATGACAACTTGATGGCAGTTGGGTTCAAACATATCTTTCACAGGACTGGAATTGAGGACCTTTCAGAAATCCATGCCAGTTAGTCACATACACTACTTATTTTGATTTTTCCAAGCATTTACAGAAATACAAACATTTTAAAGCATAATTTTGTTCGTCCTTTTGACATTTAGTCGATGAAACCTGGCAAACCTACTGAAAATTAATGATTATTATTAATGCCCTTAGGGCATTTGATTGCATGCCGGTCAATTGAACAATTCTTAGTAAATTGTGTCAAGCGCGAAGTAATAAAATCTTAGACCTAACTTCAGGGCATCCACCAATATAACAAAAAAAATGTGGAGAGCAAATTTATTTTTAAACCCAAAGCTTGTTGATTCAACGAAACCATTACTACATTACTACGAGGTGTTTAAAAATATTCAGAAGAAAATGCCTTTCCCGATGTATAAACATCATTTTATTGCACACTTGAAGGATCTTAACCTTGTTGGACGATAAAGTGAAAGAGAAAGACATGTGGTTGAAGTATTCACGGACTGAATGTTACCACGCGCGTTAACTCGCGAGTGAGTGGAAGGTTGGCGTGAGGCGCTCGCTTAGTTTTTCCCCATAGATTTCGCTACAACATAGGCAATTCAGCAATCGTTGTCGCCAAAAAACTAAATTAAGACTATTAGATCAATAAACCTCACCTGTGAATTCGCTATTCTGCAAACAAGGAAAATCAGGGCGAAGAGAGAGGCCGCCCTGTTGAAGAGAAACAAGAGAAAATACAAATGAGTCAATCCGTTCGTAAAAACCAGGGTAAAAGCGACGCGCAACCGTGCACTGAAAATTTAACAAAATCGAGCCAAGTTTTAGCAAACCTACCTCAACCCCATAATGAAAAAATATCAAATAATCCCTAACAAGAGGTTTATGGCATGCAGAACTGAAGCTAGTCCGCGGATCGTTGACACGCTTCGTGGAAAGCACAGTACAAGGGTTTGTTATCCGAGCCTGGACGGCCGTGTCACTTCAAAGGAAGTGGGAAAAGCGATTGTGATGCATTCCGATTCCCCAAGGAGGCGAGGCTGACAGTTGACAGGCACTCGTGTAAACCTCACATTTTAGGGATTGTCAGCAAAGGCGGAGTGCGATGAAGAGGAAGTATCAAGTTTAAGATTGTGTCTGTCCCACCTCAATAACACGCATAACTGAGCACGCCTTGGCGCCGAAAGAATCCCCTTTTCGCGGCAAAATTGAGGATCGGCATGTTTATTAAATAAACCGATCGATATTTCCGGTGGGGAGCAGTCTTTAAACCGCCTGAGCCCCACCAATCGATCCCCAACTGTTTTGCGGTTATATTTATTTAGCGTGCGCATAAAAGAGCTTATTCATTAAAGAAACTCTTGTTGTCAGACACTTTAGAGGGTGGGGACAAAATCGCCGAAATCGCATCAACCGAAAAAATTAAAAAGAAGAGGACTTGAGGTCTTTTGCTACTCATATGTCAAAAATTAAAAGTTATCTTGCCCTTGGATCTTATCTCGTTCTGTCATCTTGCAACAGTATTCCAAATCACCTTTAGAGATATACCAGTTTAAACCAACAGGGGTTCATGTTTTGACATTTTACCCGTCAAAAGAGGTGCTGCAACAGATACAAGTGCGGTTTGTAGAGCTGCTTGAGTTTTTGAGAGTTCTTGGCGAACTGACTCCCTTCCTTCATTCTGTGATAAGTGTATGGTGCTTCTTAGTTTTGGTTGGTAATTTTTGCTGACAAAATGTAACGTAAGTCTTCTTTTTTAATAAAGACCACACACAGGAACGGATTCGTGATTCGAATAAACATATGGGTATCAACACTTTTAGTTTTGAAGTGAAACCCCTAGAAGTGATTACTCCAGTTTAAGAAGAGATGGGCAATAAAGAAAAAAAACAGTTTTCAAACTGGGACTTTCATTACAGTGAGTTCAACCTTAACAAATACCCAAAGATGTTTTTATTTGCTCATCAGATTAGCAGATTTTCCACAAAGAACAATATTTTAAGATCATAAAAAAAATGTGGAATTATCATTCACGCTTTGAGAAACCAAGTTCTGTCGTTTTCGGTGCGTCCGACTACATAATTCACGATTATTCGCGTGCTGAAAGTCAAGCGTGATTAATACGAAAAAGACTATACTAAGCAAACATCACGTCACTTGAAGAAAACTCTCTTGGGCTCTATAGCCCAACATGAGAGTATGCCATTTATATGACACTTCGTTCCGTTCAACCTCAACTTCCCATCAGGAGGCATGCGTCCGTAACCTACGTTCTTGTTAGGTCGTGGCGGACGCAAATTAGGTCAAGCTGTCTGGCATAAGAGAATTATCCGTAATCTTAATCAGCCCTTAGATCAAAAAGCTGCAGAATAAATTATGAAAGTTTCAAAGTTAATATCATTTATTTGACGCACAAGCACGGGGTGTTTATCTTGTCTAGGAGCAACTCGAAGATCACCAGTCAGGCATGACAGCTATTTGCGGTTAAAATACTTGGAGTGCTTTTTTCCGGCTGTCGAATATTTTCTGACGAAAAGCAAATCGTATTTGACGCATTTTGATCAGAATCGTGAGCAGACCTTCCAACCTAAAGGAACTTCCGTGCGACTGAAGAGTACACACCTTAAGTCTAAATCCAAAAATTTCGCGGTTTGCTGAAAGCATGCAATCTTCTCTCCTCTACGTGCTTTGGTGACCGTCCAATTTATGTTTAATCTCTAGCAAGCTCTTCCCACCTTGAGAATGAAAGCTAGCAGAAAATCACTACAACTAAAAAATTTCCACTGTCTACTAAACGTGATCTTAAGTCCCTAACGACGCGCCAGCAGAAATTCTTGAGAAATTTCCGCACAATTATTAGATTAATTTCACGCAACCTACCAGTTGAGAGATCTGGACAGTTGAACCTTTGTTCAATCCGAGTGGACGCGAACCCACCCAATCGCAGAACTTTGACACTCGGGAATTCCACGATCTGTCAATAAACCGTGAAACATTATCACCCGTGACCAAACGTGAAACAAAAGCCGCTTTCTCAATCTCGGAATTTTGGTCTGCTGTCCATTGAGTTACCGATCAGCAAACGACACTTCCAAACTCTCCTTACACTACAAGCGTCGTTAACTTAGTATGTCCAGATAAGAGCACAACGAACGTAGTAACTGCTTCTGGATATATCGATTAGCCATGCGGTACGTGTTGGCCGCGATCTTGTTTTTACATTTGTGTGTTTTATACTCGCCATGGAAGATCCCAATCGAACACGCGCGTGTAGTGATCTCCAGTATTTAACCATCGTTTGTCATCTTGCAGGTTTTTAGTCCAATTTGCCGCTGTTTTTGTTGTAATTTGTGGATTCTATCTGGTGAATCCTCCTCTCGCGGATGCTGCGGTATGTTTGTTCAATTTTACTGTTATTCCTTAGCTTTAAGCCACTCCATCGAATTTTCCACCTCTTCACTAACACTGATCTTGTAGATAATTTAAAACCGTATGTGCTCGGATTCGCATGCCGCTCTCGTAACTCATAGCGTATAATATTTTTTCAGTTAGGCAGTAAAAAATAAACCTAACAAGGCGTATCTCTATGTACATCTAGCATCCTCTAAAACTATTTGGTCCATTATAAAAGTCCGTTTCGCTTATAATCAGTGTTCAAGTAAACATACTGCTCGAAAATTGGGGAATTCGACTCTGACCTCGCGTTTATTCTGCAAAGACTTAACTAGCTATGTTGCCATTTTGTTTGTAAGACCTCGGGCAGCTATGTAGTCTTAATTGTTTTTCCTACAATATTATTATTATTGATTGCACTGGGCCCCGCGGACAACGGGCAGTCGGCCCAAGATTGAACTTCTTAAATTTTCCTCCCAAAATCTTCCTGATTGAGGAGAGTTATCACTAAAAGGACACTTCAACAATTTCAAGCAAATTATAAAGCAAACCTTGATTGCCCTAATTTCGATTGCAAGTATAGTCTCTTTTTGGTATGTTTCATTAAAAGAAAATTATGCTTACAAGCATGAAGATTGCCATTTGCCTCAACTAATTTATTCGGAAAATAACATCCAGAAAGTTTTTTTTTTTTTTTTAATCTACGACGGACATGAGTTTAGAGATGGAGCACGTTTGAGGGACAATTTTTCCATACCGCGAACAGTGTTTGATTGGGTGCGATTTTCACGGAGGATTTCCTAATTGAAGTGACAACGCGCACGCTACTTCGAGAGGGTGCGTGAATCTCTCGCGCGCGCTTTAGGTCGCACAAGTGCGTAAGTGGCTAAGCCGACGAAAGACGGGTGACAGACCTGTCAAGTACGTTGCCAGTATAACCACTCGGCAACAGTTTTGGAAAAAATCCCTTTAATAACACGCTGATAAGACGAAAGCTCTCTTAAGCCTGTCGTAAACAATACAATAGACTAGGTTGAAACAGAAAATTCTCCGTTATGTTGACACCATATGTTTACCAGATAAGTCTCGCTCGGGAAAAATCATCAAAACAGAGACTTTGTTTTGTAATTAGAACTCCACAAATCGGTATTCCAAAAGATCATTAAATCTTCCCGGGAACTGCCCTAAAGTCAAGATCGAGATCAATGATTTAATATACGAATTATAGGATCAACGGTAGGGATCGTCAGTTTTTTTTCCCGGCTAATCACGAAATTTTGGCAAGATTTAGTTGCTATTTTTTATACGACAAGCCGATGAAAGGACGAAAAATTAAACATTCAGACTCACTGAGACCATCTGTGCAATCTATTTTCATATCAAATCGTCAGGTAGCCTTCGATCCTTCTCCCAAATCTATTTCCGGTCATTCAAGCCGAAGAAAAAGTTTCGACCAAGAAAGATTGCGTTTGTGAACTCATAGCAAAAGAAAAGCAGCAGTAACTTATTGTTACGTGACGAACAAGAATTATCGGAAAAGATCGTGAAAGCAATGAATGTCTTTACAAATTTTTTCCTTGGCTCTCGTGACTTCCTAAATAACCCAGTGAAATCGGACTAGTGGTAACCTTCCTTCTTAATTAAATCTTGAACAAAAGTGCGTGAAATCGGGCTTCCGCTGCATTAAAAGGATAGAAAACTCAGAGGCGTGTTAAAATTGATATTCACTTTCTTCTTGGTCATGCAACTGAGATCGCTGATATCATTTCATGAAGACTGTTCGATTGATAGCTTTTACTCGGCATAGCATACATACATACGTTTGTTATGTCTTGGGCCAGGGAGTCAAACCACAAATATATAGGCGAGGCTTTCGCTGCCCTGTATATGAAAGGAATTTTCACTTCCTATGCTGTGAGGGATTACAATTTTTTAAGCACTGTAGCAGATTTGGATGCACACCAAAGACTTATACTTAAGAGTTAAGCAAAGATTTAAGTCCGTTCTTAAGTTGGATGTTGTTTGTTCCAGCTAATTTTAAAATGAATTATACAGTGCTCGATAACAACAAATACAAATGTTTACATTTAAAAGCCATTTTATTAAACAAACAAATGATCATCTTTGCTAAAAGCCCACTCGAAATGTTGGGAATTTTTTATTTTCCTTGAGCATATCATAGGTAATAGAAAGTTCCAATTCTTTGGAACTCTGTTGAGGGTACCTCTCCTAACGAAGGTGTTCAACCATACAACGAATGGCAGCCTTCTTGAATTCCTTAATCTGTACTGGCACTTTAAAAGGAACGAGGAGAATAAACTCTTAACTTTCCTTATCAAGGCAAGGAGTGGTGGTAATAGATTAATAGCTTTGACATTCGAAAAAAGAGGGAATATTAGAATTAATGAATTCCACCATGGCCCACCCAGATTAAGACGAGAATAGTAATTAGTGTGAAAGCTGTTAAGAGGCTTTTCCAAATTTACTTGTACCGAAAAGAAATACCATGTAGTCTGTGGCCTTAAAAAAAACTGCCAATTAGCAGGGAAAAAAAAAATTATACTGCAGCTTACCTTCAACATACATCCTTGCTGTGATATAAGCATTGTAATTATGCTTTCTAGAATTTAAACAGCCACAGAACGTACAAGAGTTTCACCTTTCCTATTGATGACTACTATACTGAGGTTTCTGAAAACACAAGAGAAGATAATTTTGAAATTTCCGCAAATTTGCCCAGTGTAATATGAAAAAAATGTCAACTGCTGAAAATTGGGATGTGAACTCTTCAACTATAATGAATGGTTGCTTATTGGATCACTAATAAAAACTTAGATTACTTGATGAAGTGTACCTGCTATAACACCCTTAAGAAATCCCAATGCTCACGAATGAGGCTGAAGTGTATTGATAATGTTGATGATGATACACCCAGTTACATGTACTAAATCTTAGCCAGCTCTTAGTTGTCGTGCTACAGGGCATCAAAAATAACCATATTCCTTTGTATTCCTATAAAATTTATGACAAGAGAGCAACTTAAGCATAATGACTGCTTGCCCAATAAGTTGTACAGTGATCTGAATGCAAGATAAAAGCTTTTCTCATCATTCATGCCGATATTAATTTCATAAAAACTAAGGAATAATGAAAACATGATGTTTTAAAACAAGAGACTTGAAAATTAAACTAATTTCTCGAAGAAAAAACTGCAGAGCATCAAACCATCAACACAAAGACTACTCAAATATTTTCAGAAATAGTCTGATTTATCTATAATATCATATGAGGCACTTTTTTTGAATTAATATGCTCATAATTCTTGGGTGATCAGGGTTGTAGCTAAGAAATTAAACTCCGAGAAAAATTTCAAGTGAAGCAGTCAAAAGATGACATTCATTGACAAATGGATGGAAGTGCATAACTTCAGAAATATCCTTTGTGTTTAACAAACAAAGCAATCACCAGCCACAAAATCCAACTGGTGGTTGCCTGTTTTTCATCCAGCAAATTTTGCTTGCAGCCAGTGCCAAGCAGCAACCCTGAATGATTCCAGATGTTAATTTCCACGCAGTTATAGTAATAAAGATAATTTAATGAAAGTTATCAATTCCGTTGATAATACTAAACTACCCTGTTATACTCTCCCACTGATGCAGCAGCACAGTTTCTTTAAATACATCCCCTTTAATCATATGTTAACACTATTACTTGATTTTTGCTTCAACAGTGCCAAGGATGCCAATCATGTGTTCCTAAATGTATTGGAGAAAAAGGTGGAAGGGTAAGTTCATTATCAGTTTGATGCTTTTCTCAGAAAACATAATAACTCAATTTAATTATTTCATATTATTAATTAACTTGATTAAGAATTGGCAACATTTATTTGGCAGTACAAGTGATTGAACATTAAGTGGTTTACTGGTATATCACGGAATCCAAAAATCTATCCCTGAAGCCCTAAAGAAGCCACTATTTCAAAAAAACTATAAAAATCTAATATTGAGTATATTCATAGACCCTTCCCACTTCCAAAAAAAAAGACATAGAAATAAACAAGTAACTTCCAGAAATTGAACTGTTTTTAACTTCTTTTGGAAGAAGACATGAAAGTTGTAAGAAATTTAATCAAGGTGAAGTTCCAATCCTATCAAAGGATAAATTGAAAATTGAATTATACAGAGAGCAAAAATTAATAGAGTTTTAACATTGTAATCCAACCTATATCTAACACCCACTCAAAACCGTTATATCATGGAATCCAAAAAGCAAGATACATCCCTGAAGCTGTGAGGTAGCCACTATTTCAAGACAAACCATAAAAATTTTAATATTGGTTTTGTTCATATACCCTCCTCTCCTCCAAAAAAAACAGAAATAAATGGGTTACTTCCAGAAATTAAACTGTTTTTAACTTTTCTCAGGGAAAGACATGAAAATTGTTAGAAAATGAACCAAGGTGAAGTTCTAATCCCATCAAAAGATAAATTGAAAATTGAATTATACAGAAAACAAAAAAAATGGAGTTTTAACATCGTAACCCTAACTACATCTAACTCCCACTCAAAATGAAAACCAAGGTGAATGAAAAACATTAGAATATACCAGACTGGTAAACAGCACTTTCTGTGTGCACTGATTGGCTAGCTCAGAAGTGATTGACAAGTATTATTCACCTCCTAACAGCCAAAGATACAAAATTGTGACAATAACAGAAGTAAAACAATGTTTTGGTTCTTATGTGGTAAACAATAAAACAATCATTCACCTTTGTAATGGTAAATAGAAAGCGGATTTTTCTTTTTCACTTCATGGCCTGGTAAATATTCACTAGTTATTTCAGAGAATGATTATTTAATATATTGTGATTGACTGTTTGGAACTAGCTGCCTAGCAATACACCCCAACCACACTTTATCAAGACCTCATGTACATGAAAATCTTTTTTGGTCCCTCCACTATCTGCAGGTAAATAATTTTAAAATACTAATGACTCCTTATGCAAGATCTTGGACATTGGATGACAAAAATTGCAGTAACTGTCTCTGCAAAGAGCCATTCTACACATCATGTTGCCAAACCTCTACTGGTTTTGGGGTAAACACAGGGAAAAGTTTGCTCTTTATAGTTGCATTTAAATTGTACCAATCATGTTCCTCACTTTAGGGAGAAAGAGGAAGACAAGGATTTCCTGGTCCACCTGGTTTACCAGTGAGTAAAGTTTGAATGTTGTTATTTTCAGGATTATTCAAAATTAGGAGGGTTTTGCTTTTAAAATTCTTTCACATGCATCAATGTAATGAATCTCTTACTTGTACTATGAGTGGGAAAACTTGAATGGAATTTTAAAACATTTGGCCTATTACTATAATGGATGTTTGGCAGAATGCATTCTATAGTGCTCAATGTTATTGATTCTTCATTTATCCCATGGGTTGGAACTCAGATTGATTTGTTTCACAGGAACAAACATTGATCATATATCTGAAACGCCCCTTAACTCTTTAACTGCCAGAAGTGATCAAATGAAACTTCTCCCCATAATATCCTTACATTATCCAGCAAATAGGCAACGAGAATATTCAAACTTATCATGTAACTAATTACAAGGAAATGTGCAGCAGCTAAATGGGAGAATTAACAATTTGATCTTGGGAATTAAAGGGTTAAGTTTTCAACTTTACACCATTACAACTCTCTGGATCCCAGAAACACAAGCTAAATCAAGTATGTCAAAAACAGATCACTGAAAATATTGTTTATATGTTGACTTCGCAAACAACAATTCAAGAGCGTCTTTATAAACAAGTGTGTCAAGTTTTCAAAAGCTCTGAGCTACTTCATCTTCAAAACCATACTTCCTTAGAATTCAACTGGGGCCAAATGATATTCGTTTCAAAATCAAGCAACAATCAATACATGAGGAGCTTACAAAGCCATAAACCATACTTCCTTAGAATTCAACTGGGGCCAAATGATATTCGTTTCAAAATCAAGCAACAATCAATACGTGAGGAGCTTACAAAGAATAACTCCTAAGAAAAATTAGATGAATGGCACTCACCTTTATCTATTTTGTAGGGTTTTCAAGGACCAGAAGGTCTACCCGGTCCCAGAGGTGATAAGGTAAGACTCAGGAATTCTGAAATTCTTAAATGTGTTGTTTTACAGCTTTGAATTCCGATCAAAGGGAATCAACTCTTCTTTGCTTGAGTTGCATACGATGCGATCGGGTGATCCATGCCTTTGATTTGAGAATATATTTCGCATCTTGAGTTTGATCAGGCGTCCACCAACTATTTCATTGCCTATACCACTACTGTTTCTTTGATGATACATCAACAATTATGGTTGGAGTTTCGATTATCTCCTATGTAATTTTGATGAGGAGCTAATTTCTGTTTCAATACCCGTGTTTTTCTCTATGTTCTTTTTGTAACAACTGATGCTTCAATTAACTGGAACCTTTCAATTATTCTTGAAGTTTTATTTTTTATAAGATTCACTCTCTTCTATACTTGAACCTTTCATATAGCATACTCTATTTTCCATTCTGTTCTTTGCACATTTCATGACAAAGAATTTTCAAAAATAAACAGGTACTCAAGTATGGAATCATTTCCCTTATTCTCATGACCTTGGTGTTCAATTTAGGGGTGATGGTGGAAGAAGAAATTGAGTGCTAGTCAACCTAACCCTCCCAACAGATAAAAGACAGGAGTTTTTTGTTGTTGTTCTTTTTTAATTGTTCAAGCTTGTTGTTCATCTTTTAACATTTTCATTCTTCATTTCAGGGCGGTAAAGGTGAAGCAGGCCCAACTGGTGAAAGAGGGCCAAGAGTAAGTACAATCTTTACAGGAAATCTCATTTGTTTACCAACAAACTGATTATCAGGTGTTCTTTTCTGGTTGTACTGCAGATCAATTAATTGGCCACTGAGATTTTTCATGTATTATCAACTACAGCCGTTCATTAAAAATATGCTAAACCTTGAGAGAAAAACAGTGGTGAATTAACTTTATGATATGCAGACAAAGGTAGAAAACTAAATTGATTCTTAAATTGAAAGCATTTTATAAGTAATTCTTTTTATTAGTTGAAGTTCACATTCATTTTTAATCAACATAAGTAAGTAGGTGCTTGAGTAGTTCATCTTGAACAAGGCTTAAGAGAGTTTATCATAATAAAGATGAGGCATTGAAGTGATATCAATCTTTATACTTCAGGGATGTAAATTTTTTAAACAATTTCTGTTATACATTTCCTACAAGTTTGGCAAATGAGATTTTAGTGCTGAATCAAACAAGTTTCCCTTAGTTGATTTTAACCCTTCTTATTTATCTTTCTTATTAAAAGCTTGTGAACTAATATTTAAAAGAGATGTTTCTTTTTGGTCATTCCTCAGGGTGAAAGTTTTAATTGCACAAATATTTTCATGAATGTTAAGCTTTGACAAGTAACACCAGATAATTATGTGTTCATTTCCCTCTTTTGTCCAATAGGGACGAGTTGGTCAACCAGGTTTTCCAGGAGCAAATGGAAATCCAGTAAGTTCTGTCAAACCTCAGAGAACATTTATATGGAATATTAAACCATAAATTCAAAGCTGGAAAACATTGGGATTTACTTTCAAAGTTTCCTTGTTGATTAAATCATGTTTTTGCTTGCTTACTGTCCACTACCGTAGTTATGACTCTGAAAATCATCACTAATAGTTAAGTGCTAGGAAGGAGTTGGAAAATGTGTGAGAGCGCAGAAGGGTGCCGGCCACCATTACTCACCATTACACTATTGATATGTATGAGGAACAAGAATTAATTAGTATTCATCAGTGAAAGAGAGGGAAGACATACCACAAGTATGTGAGAGTCATCACACGTAAAAATAGCTGAATAGCAAACAGAGAACTGTAAAAGTTTTTAATCCATAGGTAGGACCCCCTGACTATCCTGCAAAGATTTATCACCTCAGAGTGCAGCACAGTTATGTCTTAATTCTAACTTTGATTAAATACATTTAGCCACATTTAATGGTTATTTAATCATTTTGTTTATTTATAGGGTATACCCGGTGAGGATGGTCCTCGTGGTATGATGGGAGACCCAGGCTGTAATGGAACAAAGGTATGTAGTGCATTAAGTAACATAATATTCCCTGATCAGACAAGTTTACATACAAGTTATGAACAGGCAAGCATACTATTGAATTTGATTAGACAAATTTACTAGCTATGTTATAACACTTTTTGTAATACCCCTAATCTGTGAAACCTGTATTAAATGGTCAACGGCAACCCCAGTCCAACCTGTGTTATCCCATGCGTGATCACTCAACACAAGTTGGACTGCAGTTATAGTAAACTGCATATAGTCTAAAGTTGGTATTTGTTAGAAGCAGTATACTTAGTCAATTTCTTGGTTTGACAAACTAATGGCCTTGACTCACACAGTTTTAGATGGACATGTATCTTTGAGTTATTTAGACTGAGTATGATATGGTAGGTTTTTGTTAAGAAAAAAGAGAGAGAGAGAAAAAAAACAGGTGCATGTCAATAGGCTTTCGATTGAAACCCATCCTCTAAATGTAATTTTACCCCAAGACTTCTGATACTCATTCACTTCCAATTCTATCTGGCAACAGGGAGAGCGAGGTATCCCAGGAAACCCTGGAAACCCAGGACCCAAAGGAAACACGGTACTTATATTATTTTTAAATGAAAACCTCCAGATGGTTTCATCATAAGTATGTTTTTAAGTCCTACTTACAGAATTTCATGGTAAAGACTTGGACAAAACCATAGCTCACCACAATTTTACAGAAAGTTGATTGTCAGTACAATTTGAGGCTTGGTAAGTATCAACCAACAAGTCAAATTGCATTGTGGTCCTTGAGGCAGATATTTTATTTGTTAAGTAGAAGCAATATTGGAGGAGAGTATGTCAAATGAACAAGAAACTAAATGTTTTCTACTAAACAAAATGCATTCACACCAATAGAGTGGATTGTTGGATGAGCTAAAAATTACAGAAAAACATTGGTTTCAATTTAGAGTGATATCATTAAGAACAAATTGTGTTACTCACAGTTCTCTAGAAACTTGACTTTCTATTTCCATGCATCTCTTCTGAATTGTCCTTCCAGGTTTATTGTTTGAGACATACATTTATACTCATGTGACGTCATTAGTTATTACTAAAGAATACATTTTTTCCTACAATTTTGAGGTGTTTTTCTTGTTGGTCCCCAGGGCTTGCCTGGCAATGTAGGAATGAAAGGTGAAAAAGGTTCATCAGCCACTGATGTTGTTGGAGCTAAGGTACAAGTATATCCCATGATTAACCCTTTCACTCGCAAGATCTCATTTACTAATCCTACCTTACTGTAGGTCATAAAATTCCTATGGGGTGTGTAATAAAATAGAGACAATGTTTTACCAGTCTAATGGTTTTAACAACCTGATTCCTAAATATACAAGAAAAAGAGTGGTATACAAAAATGAATAAATAAGCCATATAAGCAAATAAACACAAAATATGTACACAAAATTATTTAAACTAAAACTATGCAGATTCCAAGTTTGTGGCATGTCACCTAGAGAGGTCTTTGCACAAAGTATTTTAATTGCACGGCGTATTTTAATTTGGGGTTACAACTGTGTGCTTTTGGAGAATGTGGTAATGGATCAACTGATAATCGTCTGATTGATATTTTGCTATATTCTCATCACTTGTCTTCTTGATGTTGTATAGAGGTTGTATAGAGAAATTCTGTCTTTGTCACTAGTGGGAGTTGAAGGGTAACGAAGACAAAGTCATCTTACAAGCAAGGAGGCCTATCCTGGATGTTTAGCTACATGTTTTACTTGCCCCCTCCTACCCCCGGGTGGAATGCCTGTCTATGACAAGATTACACCCCCCAGAATTTAATTAAATTTTTGCGAGAGTCATTTAAGCCCATTTGCCGGTCATTTGAAAGGTGGTTAGTGATAATCCTGGGTTAAAATTGTATCTAGGAATACTGTATGATGTTTTGAAAACTCATTTGCAACCTTTTTCTCTTCTTTTCAAAGGGAGATACAGGACCTCCAGGAGAAAGAGGAGATGCTGTGAGTATTTTTTATCTAACTCTTTCTTGCATAGGAAGATGATGCATTGTTACTGACAGATACTCTCCTTTTTTTGATAAAAATTTTTGCACTTTCAAAAAGTTTTTCATCTATTCAAAGTTAAACATTATAACTATAGGCAGAAAATCAAACTTGCCAGGTATGATAACATATTCAAGAAAATTATTGATATTGTAAATATTGATTAATTATTATGGTAATTTAATTGAGTGAAGTGTAATTTGGTCTGAAATCATACGCTTGATTTCAAAATCAAACATGTACACAGGGCTAGTTTGATTTGAAACCACAAGACAGTATGATTTTCAATTACCACTTTATCATGTCCATTTTTAAATTGCAAAATTCAGTCACTCAAATACAGGTTTTTTCAGTTTTTACAAATATTTTATTGATTCAGCACTGAGCTGGTTTGGAAAATTTGATTTGTTACTTTAAACAAACCTCAAATTCAGATTGGTTGATGTGTTTTAGTAAAGATTTCTAACTGACTGGGAAAAAGATGCAACTTGGAGCTAAAAATGGCTAGATTCATGAATAAATTGCACCAATTGGAGCCATCAGATTGTAAGAAAAACCATTGATTTCAAAATGGATGTCATAAATGCAGCTTAACAATTGTTTATAGGGAGAGCGCGGGGACAGAGGATCGCAAGGTGGCCAGGGACCACCCGGAGAGAAAGGGGAACCTGGACCACCAGGCCCTGATGGAGCAAAGGGAGAAAAGGTGAGTCTATCTTGCTAAAAATTAAGAAACAGACTTTGTTGCATATACTAATCATCACATACAGTGTTCATACATATACAAACCTCAGAATAGCCTAGGTCACCATAGAGTCTCAGTCTATAGCTCACTTGTGAAGAGCATAGATGTGGAAAGGTCTCAAGTTTGATTCCCTACAGGGAATCAGAACTTTTCCTTTTTTCCCTTGCTTGTGACAATTAAATATTTTGAAGTGTAGGACTTGAGTAGTTTCGTGGTATATTCTCTTGACTATCCTGTTTTTGCTAGAAGTGAATCAATTTGAAGGGAGATACTAAGTAAACATATTTTAGTTACGGGTTGTTGTTTTGCATGTTCCTGCTAGAAGTCAACCAATTTGAAGAGATACAAATTTTAGTTATGGGTACTATGATGGTTGTTTGTATTAAGATAACAAGCAGTTAAGCAGTGCTTTACAAGTTAAAAGATGCACCCACTACACGGCTGCAATTGAAACACTTGTCTAATTGATGGTACTTAAACAGTTTTTATTTGGTTGTTGCTGTAGGGAAATCAGGGGATTGCAAAACAAGGAGCAAAGGGAAAGATGGGTGAACCAGGTGTGAAAGGAGAAAAGGGAAAACCAATGAACATCAAAGAAATTATAGCATCAAACCTCACTGTAATCACAGTAAAGGTTGGTGATTATTTACTTTGTTTTCTCAATTGCAATCTTAAAATTGACAATCTCAAGATTGAGGAACACTTAATGAAAAATTGTTGAAGTACAAGATGGGTACAGAGTGCAATGGAAATTTGGAAAACATGAATAACGGTGAGCAGCTCTGTGTGATGTTTTGAACAAACTTCAACGCAGGATGTATAGGATTAACAACGATTTAATAAACAGTTGAAAACAGGCATGTTACATGTGATCATCACTGGAAGCCATGATGATGTTTTTGTTTTTTTTTTTTTTATGAAAAAATCCCATAGTTCTTAGCAAACATCCAGTATCAATAACTTTCAGTTTATGTGAACATTAAACTCTGCAACAGAATTTAGTTTCTATTCATACTCATTAAGGTTATCTGGATATGGCTGAAGGAATAAATTAATATATGAGAATTCTTGTGAATTGTTTTCAATGCTCAAAAGTCGTTATTGTCAGCTTTAGACCATGGACCAGGAGCACTAAGTTATCGTAAAATGTACTGCTTGCTGCTGGACAACTGAATACAAGTTGCCATCTTGAGTAACTCTTGCCGTGAATTGATAATATGGCCAGATTTTTTTTCCATTTGATATGGCAGCCAAATTGCTTACAACTGGCAGTATTTAGTTTTAGAAATGTGTACATACAGAGCAATTCTTGCAGAGGCCTTTGGTTTAACAACTTGTCATCTGATGTGTCTTAAAAATAATGGTTAAGTGGACAAAATTTATTTAATGATGCACATTAGAATCACTTTCAAAGTATTTAACTTTCAAAGTTCTTTCCATATTCTAGTAGCTCACTGAATCTATCATTTTCTGGCATTTTTAATTATTACATGCAGTAAACCAGTAACTTCCATTTCAACTGTAAACTTGCAACTGTTTTGACCTTTAAACTATCTTTGGTGCAAGGAGTTATTCATTTGCTGCATCTTCAGACCATAGATTAGTTTGGTTATTTATAATTATCAACTGAGTTGATAACGTAAATTGGCCATTGTAAAGAATTTAAAACCTGACATTTTGAGCATTAGTCCTATGTCAATCGCTCCTATGAACAGCTGTCACTCAAAATGTCAGCTTTTAAACTCTTTACGGAGGCCAATTTATGTTAGCAGCTTAGTTGATAATACTAAATTACCCTGCTATACCCTCCCACAGAAGCAGCAACACAGTTTCTTTAGAAACTTACCCCCTTTATTCATAGATTAATTTGCTTGACTGTAATGCTGATTTACATTTCCACCACCATGCTTTAATGTTTTATTCTTTCTTAAGTATGATAGTTCATTTCAAGAATTAACTCTTCTACCATCTGAAAGTTTCATTTTTTCTAAAGACAGTTAAATAAAGTAGAATGATTTCTTTTTTAATTCCAGGGGATCAAGGGAGACAAAGGTGAACCGGTAAGCATTACTTTACTACTGAGAAAAGATTTTCAGGCTTGGAAATAAACAACATGGTCACTTGAAACAATGTACATGTATTTAAAGTGGCAATTCTAACTAAACTAAAGGAGCTATAGCCACTGCGTTTTCAAATGGTTGTCAAATCATCCCAAAATCTGCTCAGGTTTGTTTTGAGCTTCAATCGTGGTGCAATTCCATTAAACTGTTGGCAAGGTTTGGCTACCAAAAAATTTAATAATCAGAGATTGAAATTACGTGGCAAGTGACATACTACTGAATAATACTTAAGATCTTGTGTATTGAATAGGCGAGGTTGTTAAGAAACATGGTCATTTTGCACCTACTGTTACATGTTGGAGACCCCATTTTTGAATCAGTCAAACAAAATCACTACAACCGGATATCACTTACTGCTAGAGGCTGCATGGAGAGATACTTGAGATAATATCCCTTAAAATTACAGAGAGGGCAATTTTTTTATTTTAAATTTCTAGGGCCAGTCTGGTAGCAGAGGAGAGAAAGGAGAAAGAGGACCATCCAACCCTGTTAGTGTACTATTTGTGTAATTTGTTTATTTTTCCTCATCTTTAATAAAATTAGTAGGATTTTTTTTTTTATTTCGTGACCTCTCTATATGTGGCAAATTAAACTCAGGTGCACGTTTCTGCTAGCACTTGATTCAGGTTACTCCAAACTGATGCAATTGCATGCTCTTCAGCAAAAAGCCAGGTCATGATCAAATGCTGCATTAGAAGTACAGATGTATTCTTTCTGTCGCCAATAATACTAAATACACAAGTGTGTCAATTACAACAGTTTAAACTTATTGATACCCAGTTGACTCATAACCCTTTAACTCCCATGAGTGACCAAGAGAGAATTTCTCTTTACAATATCAATACAATATCAAGCAGACAAGTGATGAGAAAAAAGAAAAATATCAGGTAGGAGATTATAAGATGATCCAATACCAAATTCTCCAAACCAACATCACAAGAACTGTATGGGAGATAGTAAGAAGAATTGCTAATGAGATCTTGGGAGTTACAGGGTTAAGAGAGGCTGTGCCTCATCGTTGAAACCATGATGCAAGTTTGTACCTACTGAATATTTACACATTTTAGTTATTATTGCATCTTTGACATGAAATTTCTGACTCAACTCCTCTTTAGGGTCCCGAAGGTATCCAAGGACCTACTGGGCCACAAGGAGACCCTGGTCAAAAGGGAGAACAGGTAAATATCTTCAATAATAGAAATCAAGAATTGGTATAAAATTATAGAATCCTGAGTTCAAAATTTATTTGACTGTTATGTCAATTTTATTGTTTGTATTTTTTTGGACTCAAACCTCGTGTAACTTTTCCTTAAATTTGCTCAATATTTTGTAATATTACCCTCACTACTTATAACAAGTCTAGACCTCTCAGTGATTTCAAATCAAACTACAGTCAAACCTGTATTGAGCAGCTCCAAATTAAGCAATTGCCCTGTATTAAGCACTTGTTTACAAAGTTCCAACATTTGTACTTCTTAACTACTGTAATTTTCACTTCTATTGAGCAGTCACCCTTTAAAGAGTCCAAAAGGCCTTTGTGTATTTTCTTCCACCTGTATTGAATGGTTACTTTAAACAGGTCTACTCAGACAAATAAACTAAGAATAATCTTTCAGGTAAAATTTGATCCATATTTAAATCCAGAAATTAATGTTAGTAGTATTTTTGAGCAAGTTCACTGGACAATTATGGCATAAAGTGACATTTTTTTAAAAGTTATTATTTTTTGTCATGAATACCCCTATTCTGTGGAACTTGTATTAAGCAGTCACCCTGCCATTCCCTGTAAGTGACCACTAAATACAGGTTCAACTGTACCCTCTTTTTTGTCATGTTAGTCATTTCTTTCTATCCTCTGGTGACTCAAACCTCATGTGATCATTAAAACCCGGCCTTGAAGGTTAAATTTGAAGAAGACTAATTGAAACATCTAAATCTACAAAGTTATGGATTAACTTTTTTTTAAACCCATCCCAATCTATATGAATTTTTTTTTTGTCTATTCAAGGGTTTCAAAATAAGCCCATGACCGCAAGAGTTCTGCCAGCTACTCGATGACAAGTTGCCAGTTACTTTGCCCAAAATAATTACCTTTTGGCTCTTAATTAACCCTTTAGCCTCAAAGAGTGACTAGCATATAATTTTTCCCTGTGATATCACCCCTGAATCACACATTTAGGTCCCAAAAGTGAAAGAAATGATCACCAATTAAAAAAGCTCTTGATTATTAAACAAATTCTCCTTATCAGCACCTCAGGAAATGTAATGAGGACAGTACAGATAATATGCATATTGATTAGAGTTGGGGGTGTTTAAGTACATTAAAGTATAAAGAGTGTCATTGATATTTTAGGGAGAGACTGGTACAAGAGGAGCTCCAGGAGAAGATGGTCCACAGGTTAGAGATTGTGTTATTGTTTTTTTTGTTTCTTTTTTTCTGTTACCTTTTAACCCTTAAATCCTTGTGGATAAAAAGAATCTAATTTCTCATTGAGTATTGCTATTGAATACTGCATAAAGGCTTATGAGAATCAAGGAAATGATCACAATCTTGAACAGCTCTTGATTTTTAACTAAATTCTCCTTGTCATTGCCTTTAGGAATATATTAAGAACACTGTGGAGAATATGCATGCTGATGTTAGGGTGTAAAGGGTTAATGTACTAATAGTTCTTAGGCAATAACTGTAATTGGAAATCCTTCCACTATAAACATACTTCCCTTCTCAACAATTCTTTGTCAAGTTAGTTTTAACAAAAAAATAGTTTTTGTGACCAAAGTCTATTAATACTTTTTCACAATGTTTTATGAATTGCCTTCTTTTTTGCATGGACAACAGCCTTCTTTTGCCTGCCCATACATTTTTCTACTCCAAGAGAAATTAAATTGTGTTTGGAAATACTTTGTTGATACTTTGTTTACCATGTTGATAAAATCATTGTGACAAGAGTCTATGAGTCTCTCTCGTCAGTTGTCCCTGGATCCTTTTTTTTTTTCCTTCTTTACATGGGTTGGGGCTATCTTTCCTGCATGCCATTTATTTTTTCCTCCATAGGAAATAAAATGTTGTTGATAGTTTAAGTGTAAATTATTAACAAGATTTTGTACACTTTGGTTTTTAACATCACAGGGACCTCCTGGTACACCAGGAGATGAAGGTCCTCTTGGAGAAAGAGGGGCAACAGGAAATTCTGGTGATCCTGGAGAACCAGGCTTGAAAGGAGACAGAGGAGACAGAGTAAGTTTTAACCCCTGAGAGTTAAATTTATAATGACTGACTTGAGAATTTGAAAGGTTGGTGCTGATTCCTGGTGTCCCAATGTGTTTTAGAGGTGTCCATCCTAAAAAGATGTGCATGGAGAGAGAAATGATGTCCTTTGGTCAAACCTTATTACCACTTATTACTTGGGGATGCCTGTGGCAGCCCATATTAAAAATTTGTTTGATTTTCATCATAGTCAAATGTGGAAGTTAGCCATGTTAGCCATGTACTCCTGCTTCTCACTGAAGTTAAGCCCTGTTGGCGGGTTTACTTCTTGGAACGGTGACCACACATAATATCCCATGCTGTTGACTTTTTTTTCTTTTCTTTGTTTTTGATTTCATTTGTGTAATTTTACATTTCGTATTTTCCACATAAAACCAGAGAGACTGTAGATGACGGTCTATTGATTGAAACTTATCAGCATGAAATTAATAAAGTTGTCTTCTTTAGGGACCTGAAGGAGTTGGACCACCAGGCCCTGATGGCCCCAAGGGTGACACAGGGCCTCCCGGTTTTCCAGGTGCAGGAGGACCAAAAGGTGACATAGGAAATCCTGGTGCCACAGGCCCTCCAGGACCACCTGGACCACAAGGAACACAGGGTGACCCAGGACCTACTGGACCTCCAGGAGGATTGGGACTTCCTGGTAATAAAGATTAAAATGATTACTTAAAAAAATTGTTGCTGTAGCTCCGCTGCCAGCAGACACTTAGGTTACAGTACTTAAAAATTTCCATCAGTTGTAATATTGATTTGGCTGGCTAGTACTACCATGTCATCTTCATTCCTTAACCCTTTCTACCCTTACATCAGTATGCATATTCTCCATACAGTTATCCAAACATTTCCATAGGTGCAGACAAAGGGAACCCCTAAGAGTGGCTGCCATCTTATTTCTTCCTACAATATCACCTTTGAATCAATCAGTAAATTATCACTAACTAGAGAAGCTACTGGTTAAACAAATTCTCCTCGTCAGCACCTTAGGAAATGTTTGGAGAACAGTATAGAGAATACCCATACTGATTTTAGGGTGTAAAGGGTTAATGTATAGTTAACTTTGTATGTTATTATTTTATTTGTCCCTTAATTTTAGTTTAACTGAGAAAATATATGAAATGCACAGTGCTCTAACAGATGATCTTTCCAAACAGCTGGAAACTTGTAAATGTTAATGATCCAAACGTGATCAGCCTTCCAGTTTCTCTAATTCTAAGTTAAAAAAATTAAAGCTTGGAAAGGTTAACAAATGCCAGAGATTAAAAGTGATTAATTCAGATCAGTTGCTTGTAGAGTTTGCTTCAATAAAACTGTAAACAGGTAGAAAAATGATAATAAGATATGGAATTTTGTGATTAGGCAATCCTGGGATGAAGGGTGCTACTGGTAATCCAGGGCCCCGGGGCTTGCCAGGTCCAAAGGGGGATAAAGGACCACGTGGAATCACTGTCATGGGAGGTCAAGGCATGGATGGAGAACGTGGACAAAGAGGAGAGAAAGGAGACAAGGGAGAACAAGGATTTCCAGGCCCACAAGGTAATAATTAATAATGGTAATAGGGTTTAGGGTCGAATATGGTCTGTAATCATACAAGTGATGAACAAAGTCAAGATTTTTTAATGGTAAATATGATTACAGACAGAATTGGATGACACAAAGTCCTGTTACCAGTTGATCAAAACAATGACAAAATTTGAAAAAGAAACTAGACATTGGTTATGTGTTTTTTTATTGTTTTCAAAAAACAACAGTTACAACAGTGCGACCATGTACTAATACAGGCATGACATATCAACTTTCTTATTTTACTGTCCAACTTCAAGCATGACACACACACTCCTATTTTTGGGCTGGTGATAACCAATCATGTTCAAAAATTTTCTTTATAGTTTTGATTAAAAGTAATGTTGCCTGGAAACTTTGAGAGTGAAATTGAATTGAGTAGTTATTGAATAGTTTTCTGAGGTATCAAATTTTAATTTTAACCTGATGTCATAAGAATGTTTTTGAAGCAAGATTGGATGCCTGGAGTAGCTAAGAGCTTTAACTTTTGGAACCAACCACAACCACAGAGTTGGAAACTAATTCCCAAATGCACTAACAAAACATCTAGCAAGCCAGAAAACATTCAGCAATCAAAAAGAGAGAAATGAGAAATTTTGTTTAAAACAAAATGTTTTGCTCTCCAAGGTGATAGCGAAAATGGTCCCCCGGGAGAAAAAGGTAATCGAGGACCACCAGGGTCTCAAGGAGAAGATGGCCCAAAGGGGTCCCAAGGTCCCAAAGGTGAAGCTTGTGGTGACTGTCCAGAGGGCCCCCAAGGTCCTTCAGGAGAAGATGGTGAAAGTGGCCCCCAAGGGCCAAGTGGTACCTCAGGGTCACCAGGCGACCCTGGACCTCAAGGTGACCCAGGGGCTCCTGGACCTCAAGGACGCAGTGGACGTGACGGAGAACCAGTAAGTGGTGCATTTATGGGCTTATATCTGTACAGCTCAAAATCATTTCAGATGGGTTGATCTGCTCAGCAGATTTTAGCTTGACCAGGTCTTATTTCTGATCAGTCAGAACATTGAGAGGAGTAATATAGTTGTAATAATACACATGACAAGGTTAAGCCCATCTGATTGGCTGAAAACAATTGTATTTTTCATGTAGCACAAGTGCAAATTGCAAAAAGCTTGCACATACTGTCAAAATTTTTGTCCGTATTGACTTTCTGTGATGCTTTTTTCACATAAATTATTAACAAGTACCAACATGATTTATTGTGTAATTTGGTGTGCACTTTTAAATTTTCAAAGACTACAAATTGCACTCACCCTATGTGTTCATGCAGTTTTACTGTCCTCAAAAAATTTACTCAACCAACACCAAATTGCACTCAAAATTAGGTTATACCTATACTAATAATACTGCAAAATTCTGAAAGTAGTTTTTCATCAATAGGATCTGTCACTCTAATTAGCATGTTTGGTTGTGTGGGTGTCACAAATATAAAAGATAAGAACTTTGTGTTTCAACATTGTTGCAGTTTTCTTGACTTTTTGATTGTGGAAAGGAAATTTTCTCTAAAAATAGTAACAGGTGTGAAAGATTGCTGAGTTTAAAGATGTGTGATACATGTGTGGGACCTTATGAATTGCCTGTTTTAATAATTAGCAACAGTTCACGGCCTGAATATCATGCATGATTATTCAATATCGCATAGAGTAAATGTTCTCTTTGACTTGTAGGGTCTGCAAGGTGATCCTGGCGAAGCTGGAGCTCCTGGGCCTAAAGGTGAAAAGGGAGAGGTTATCAGAGTGGTAGGGGACAAAGGGGAGAAAGGAAAACCGGGTGTGGAGGGTATCTCTGGTGATCAGGGTCCTCCAGGAGCAGAAGGAGCACAAGGGCCACCTGGACCCAAGGGGTCTACCGGACCTCGCGGACTTAAGGTTTGTCCTTTTCATATTAAAAAAAATGGTTGCTATTATTCATTGTGGTGAAAACACTTGTCTCGAAGTACAATTTGTTAATCCCATGATGTAGTCACTTCCCATTGTGGATTGCAATGTTATGGTTATTTACTGCTTGCCTCCTTCAAGCAATACGGTCAAGTGGATTTGTTGTCATATGAAGCATTGTGCTTAGTTGTAATTGGCTGATGTGTTTCTTCTTCTTTCGTCCTCCAGTCTGCCTTCATTCGCTCGATCATGAAATATTTTGCTTTGTTTTGTAAAAGTTTCAAAGTTTTTACAGACATTGTAGATGAGGATATTTGGAATATGAAAGGCTTCAAAGTGTGTTTTAAGTACTTGTAAGTCCAGAAATTTGTTCAGTGTTCACTAGGCCTTTTAGATGTAACTTTTTCCCTTAATATATGGGATGCCTGTGGCAGACCACGTTAATAAATTGGCCATCGTGCTCAGAAGTGGAAACTAGCCACGTGCTTGTTTAACCAAGTACTTCTGCTTGTCACTGAAGTTAAGCCCTACTGACTGTTATTACTACTTGGATGGATGACTACACTTAATATCCCGTTTTCGTTTTTTTTCTTCGTCTTTACTTTTTCAATTTCATTCCTGTACTGTGAATAGGCAGTATTAAATTTCTTATTTTCCACATAAAACCGGAGTGAAGGTAGATAACAACCAACACATCCCAGGTTAACGCCTCCACGCTCCTTTTCTCATTTTGCGAAGTGGATTTGATTGTGTCAGCAGAAGATTGTTGTAGTGACCCTTGCCTTCACTCACTGCTACAATTCATTAACCCTTTAAACTCTAAGAGTGACTAGCATCTAATTTCTCCTTACTATATCAACCCTGAATCAAACGTGAAAAGTCATGAGAATAGATGAGATGATCACCAACTAAAGTGATAAACTCCTGATTGTTAAACAAACCCTCCTGGTCAGCTTCTTTGGAAATGTACAGAGAACTGTATGGAGAATATACATACTGATGTTAGGGTGTAAAGGGTTAATTAATAAGTTCAATCAAGTATGAGGATTGTGTTGATCTATTTTGTTTTCTCCCCGCTTGATTGTTTCAGGGTGAGAAAGGCTTGGATGGAAAGGATGGGAAAACTGGCGAGACAGGTCAGAGGGGAGAAAAAGGAATGAAAGGAGAGCCAGGAGAGGTTGTAAATGGGCCTAAAGGGAAAGATGGTGAAAAAGGCGATAAAGGAGATTTGGGGGCTAAGGGCGAAAAAGGTGCGGCTGATATTTCTGTTTCCTAATGAGAGATTTGTTACTTTTCCTCTTTTCTGATATTGCATCAATTTCAATTGCAATACAATTAATTCACACTTACAGAGCGAACTTAAATCAGGATAAATTGGAAGAGTCACTCAACAATTTGTTTTTCTCTATGTGTTTATCTTACTCTTAACATTCATTCCATGTCCGTAGGACAGTAAATTGCAAATACTATTAAGTTGCTGCTGCTGCTGTGAAGTTACTGCCAAGTTGAATAATAAAAAGATTCTTATGAATAGGCAAAACAATCACTACACAACAAATACTCTCATTTATTGGACAGTCGGAAAAAAAGACAACACTGAGATATGTGATTAGCAGACCCAATTTCAGGCGGACAAAGTCTTGATTTTGTAGTCTGTTACTGTGAGAAAAACTCCTATTTCAATAGACACCTCTATTAATCAGAGAGACACTAACATCGAGCCCTTCTGTGACCCAAAATCTGTATTTGGCAGACACTTTTTAGGGGAAATTACTAGATCTAAATTCATGTCCAACTCCCTTTGAATGGTGTACAAAGTGATAAATGTTTTTTGTTTTTCAGGATACTTTAATTTTTTCACATGTTTAAGATAATTGTTGACAGAAGTAGCTTACTTGCAAAATTTTACGATTGGAAGATGTCCCGTTTCGGAAGTATACGTGATTGAAGTTTCGTTTCGAGGAAGAATTTCGCGACAAATTAGAGATACGATGCTGGAGTAAACGTGCTTGCGGCTCCTTTGGTTTGTCCTTTGGCGACATTTCTGACACATCTATTTAATACGAAACCATTCGATGATGAAATTCGAAGCCCCCTCGCAATGGGAAAGAGAGCTTACACATGACAAAAGAGCAGTTGAATAAGTAGCCATTGTACACGTTGGCGCTTGACCGAAAAGTCAAGCTTTCTATCACTGAATAATTTACTACAACCTTATTTCTATGGACACCTTCCATCTGGCAGAAACTTGCAAGGCTTCTGTGTGTATTCTCTTAAAAAGTTGCACTGTTCTTATGGGTTAAAAATTTAGCATTCACTTTACTAGTTATCAAGACGCTCAAGAAGCCGTGGGCGTTTTCGTTTTTTCACACACAGGAGATTGTCTTAACTTAGGACAACTTAAGAACATGACGAAGGGCGAAAAAGGCGAGCCAGGTGCCACAGGCTCCCCAGGTCAAGAGGGAGATAAAGGAGATCCAGGACCACAAGGAGAAATTGGCCAGAAAGGACAGCAAGGAGAAATAGGAATGACAGGAGAGAAGGGAGATGGAATTCCAGGGCCGCCGGGACCTCCTGGTCCTCAAGGTCCCAACGGACCACCAGGTCCCAAAGGTACTGTACTGTTTCATTTATATAATGGGTCTATTCTGTGAAACCTTAACGCCTTCTTTCCCAATATTTCGGTATCAAGTCTCCTCGTTGTTTGCCATTTATTCTAGCATTGATAAGTTGATGCTTGATCAAGCAATTTACCCTTCTCGTCACCTTTCTGCTTGACAATATGATGACATTGTAGGAATAACTTACTTATTGTTCTCTCCCTGGATTGGAAAGTGTAAATTTGATCCTCTCCTTAAATAAGTCTCCTTACTACTTTTTAAATAGCCGTTATACTTGACCATGCCATTTACTGAAAACCAACCACAGCCCTTATTTTTGCTACATTTTTCTCAAGCTTTTGCCACTTCGTAGTTTTTAACATATTACTATTCTTTTGATGTCAGTGCTTTAAACCTTAACTCCCAAGATCTGATTGTTAATTCTCCCTTCTAGCTGCGACACATTTTCTTGTAAATAAGTTACAAGAATTTGGTGTCGGATGGAAATAACTACTTTGACCTGATAAGTTTGAATATTCTCAAGACCTGTTTCGCTGGATAATGTTTGGTTATTGTAAGGAGAAGTTACATGTTAATGACTTCTGGGAGTTAAGGTGTTTGATTTTTTTTTTTAACTGCAAATCAGTTGTCCATACATCGAATTTCTCCTTATACCATCACCCCTGAATCACATAATAAGGTCTTGAGAATAAAGGAAATGATCACCATCCAAAGAAGCTCTTGACTGTCAACCCTTTGATCCCTCAGAGTGACCAGCATCCAATCTCTCCTTACTTATTCACCCCTGAATCAAACATTTAGACCACAAGAATAGAGAAAAAATGATCATCAACCGAAGGAGCTCCTGATTGTTAAACAAATTCTCATCATCAGCACCTAAGGAAATGTGTGGTGAACAGTAAGGAGAAAATGTATTCTGATCTTAGGGTGTAAAGGTTTATACAAATTCTCCTTTTCAGCTCCTCAGGAAATGGTGGTGTAGAGATTAGTGAAGAGAATGTGTTATGGTGTGAAAGATTGACAAAGAATGCGCATTTTAAATTCTTCATTGTCGTCATGTTGCAGGTGACACAGGAGCCACAGGTGACAAAGGTGCCCTTGGCGCTGATGGTCCTCCAGGTAGCGATGGTGGTAAGGGAGAGAAGGGAGACATTGGGCCTCTCGGTAACCCTGGGTCACCCGGTAGTCCCGGTAAAAATGGAGCCCAAGGGGACCCTGGAGAAAGAGGCGAGCGGGGTAGCGATGGTCTGAAAGGGGAACCTGGTGAAAAGGGGAGTAACGGCCAGGCTGGCAGTCCAGGTTTGTACTGTAACGTGGATTCATTTGCGATATCACGCGAATAATGTTGACCAACTTACCATCTCTCTTAATCTATTTACAAACATGACTCTATCAACGTTGCTGATCTTAGCAGTATGCAGATCGCGTGTCAAATGAATTCCGTAAAAAACCTCGCTCACCGTGGCTCAGTGGTCGAGCATCGGAGCGCGGAATCTGAAGGCCTCAGGTTCGATTCCTCATAGGGACTCAGAATTTTTTCTTTGTCCCACGCTCGTGACAAGACGAAAAACATCTTCTAATGTTGACCAATGTTTCAAACTCCAACTGTTTTGTCTGCCATGGAGACTAGATATGAATTTGGGCGACAAACTATCAACTTAAGTTGCCCTCACGGTGTACGGTAGTCATGAAACAAGTTTTAACGTTTTTATAATTGTGGTCTGAAGTTTAAGCGAGAAAGATGTATCTATAAAATATTATTGATGTCTCTCTATCCTTGATTGCCCCAGTATTAAGTGCTGAGATGTCGCATGAACCTCTAAAATTTGAGATCCAGCCACGCGGTGGTCAGCGACATAAGTTTGTCCTGTACTTTTGCCAAAATTTTGAACGGTAACTGACAGTTTTTGTTTTTTGTTTGGTTTGGTTTTTTTTTTCAATCTTTTGTTCTGTTAATTATTTGTTGAGACGTGGTAATGCTCAAGCGGCAATTTTAACTCATAACCCATATTTTTCAGTTATTTAAAAGCCATATGGCATGCCTAAAAATTATTTACCGGACTTAACTTTTCTCTCTCGATTTATGGCCAAAGCTCAAATCACGTGGCTTTACATCAAAGGGTAATACGTGGTTGGTAACGTACAGACCGGACTTAAACTCTGCCAATAAGAGTTACTTACTTTCATAGCTTTGTAGAAGTGGAATTTGTTATAGTTCTCTGTACAATGTCATTCGCATGCACTTTTCATAATCAGGAGCGCCAGGCCAGACAGGACCTCGAGGATTCCCAGGAGATAGAGGAGCCAAGGGTGATGCTGTAGTCGGACCACGTGGTCCTTCAGGGAAAGAAGGGCCTCAAGGTATGCGAGGAAAGACAGCAAAATAACACAGGTTCTGGTTTTGCTTTTCAGCTTCAGAGTGTAAGGAGATCGACTTACATTTTGAACATTTGCCCTTTGTCACCATAATGCATACTTCTTGGAAAGGGCTCCGCCAGGAGAGTTTGGTGCACAGCCACGGTTTTTTTCTCACATTCAGAACTCAAAATATTAGCTATAAATTGATTAAGCAGCCAGCAAAGTGTGAGCTTTTTCACTTTAACCTTGACTTCGCCTAAATCACGTTGACTGCTGTGTCAAGGCTAACTATTTTGTAATGTTAAAAGGGGTAAGTTTTTAAAGAAAATGTGTTGCTGCGTCGGTGGGAGAGTATAACAGGGTAATTAGGTATTATCAACTGAGTTGATAACTTAAATTTGCCACCGTAAAGAGTTTCAAAGCTGACTTTTCGAGCGTTAGCCCTTCGTCACAGCGAACTCTTGATAATACTAAATTACCTATTTTGTAATGTTGTTGCAAATGTTGTAAACGTTGTTGAGCGTTGTTCCTGAGCGGTCTTTGAACTCTCAACTTTTTTTTTTCCTGGCAGTCTTACACTCTCCAGGCCCCTATTTACGTCTCAGCTTGGGTTTATGTTCTGCAAAGTTCAATGATTTCATTGTTATTGTAGGTCAGCCCGGACAAAAGGGTGAACCAGGACCACCAGGAAGAGACGGAGACCCAGGAAACGACGGCGATGTTGGAAACCCTGGAGAGAAAGGAAAAGAAGGAGCTGCCGGTCCAAAAGGTGTCGAGGGGCCCCCAGGATTGAAAGGAGAGGTTGGTGAGCCCGGAAATATCGGAGAGAAGGGACTTCCAGGAATCCCAGGAGGCCGTGGCGATCAAGGCGATAAGGGCAGTCAAGGAACAGAAGGAATTTCAGGGCCGCAGGGCGTAGAAGGTTTGTGAGCGACAGTTCCCTTTAGCATATTACCTCGCTGTACTCCTTTGCAGCCGCTTGTTGTGTAGAGCATTGTCTGACCTTCCTAAGAACGGCTGCACTGGGCATTACTTCAATTCTTGACTTGGCCTCAACAATTATGAATAATGACTTTTGTAAAATGGCAAGGTGGTCCTGAGGAAAATTCGAGCGTTCTGATTGGTCCTTACTTGGTCCATATTTTTGCCATACGGACCGTTCCCAAGGAAATGGTCTTAAGCCATGTTTTATCCAAGTGACATATAAAGAACTAGTTACTAACCCCGCTCACTCGACCCCTACTGGGGAATGTTGGCCCTCGTTAGTTTTTGCACGGACCCCGCAGTGTTCGTTCCTAACTGTCACGACTTCGGGCTAACACTCCCCAGTGCGGCCCTCGCGCTCGGTTCGTAAGAAGTTTTCATTCGGGTGGTATTTGCAATTTTTCCATTTGGGTTGACTGTGGCGTTAGATATAATGCGATGTTCGGCTGCGCAATGGGTACGCAACCATATCATCACCTGCGCATTGATTAAAGTTCAGTGGTAATCCATAAGCAGGTAAACTAACATGTGAAGTTTTATATTTGTTGCTCTGCAGGTCCAAAGGGTGATGAGGGTCCACCAGGCAGACAAGGCTTCCCAGGCGTAAAGGGAGACTTGGGTATGAAAGGAGAACAAGGTCCACCGGGAAAATCAAATGCAACAGTAATACCTGGAGATAAAGGCGACAAGGGAGATCGCGGCCCTCCTGGGCCACCAGGAAGAAATGGTAACTGTCGTACATCAACGTTCCTCTTAATGCTAAGGAATTTTTTTCTCATTAAAAAAAATGTGCGGCTTCTTGCTCTTTCTAATGTGTTAAGTCGACATGTAAATGTTAAGTCACTTTATAACAGAAATTCTTAAAACTGTGTGGGCTATGTGCAAGAAATGGCCAGTACTTTGCAAACTTTGCGAGGAGAAATATTTGGCTTTGGACCTCACATTTCAACGGAAATTATGCCTCAGGCATAAGCAGTGAGTGTTACAAAAACATCATTTCAGAAAGCAAAAAGAGCCCTGGGACAACCGAAAGAAAGAAAGAAATTATTTGTTATATTGCTTTGGTTAGGGTGTCCAAAGAGCAAACTGATGGTTAACTATGAAAGGCATCTTGTAAAAAGAAAAAAGCGACTTGTTTTTGATAAGGGTCCCTTCTTCTCAGTGTTGATGATAAGTTCATTTTTCTGTCCCAAAGGTGAAGATGGTATTGATGGAGTAGCGGGAGATATTGGTCCCCGTGGTGACCCAGGGCCTGATGGTGCACCCGGTGAACCTGGACAAGCTGGTACGCCCGGTGTACCGGGAACATCAGGAGACAAAGGGGAACCAGGACTCAGAGGACCTGCAGGGAAAGAGGGCCCTAAAGGCCAGAGAGGACCCGCGGGCCCACCTGGAGAACAAGGGCCACGGGGAGCCGTCGGAGACAGAGGCGCACAAGGTGAGAAACAACGCAAAGTACCATTCATTGTGTTTATCAACGCCAGATTGGCCGGAATTGGAAACTTATCCGTAGTAGATTTGTACCACCAGATTTAATTATTCGCTCTTGATGTCACTGCGAGATAGCCAGTACGGTCTTCGCTCTTGTCAAGAAGAAATCTAGGGTTTATAATCTTATCGCTAAATAGTTCCCTCACTTCTTGAAGGGAGCTATTGAACAATTATTTTCCACAGGGGGGGGGGGTAAAAGGTATTTACCGAAAAGCGAAGCGATGAGATACCTATTATCCGGTTACCTCTGCTTTACAGAATAATTGTTCCAGTACATACCAAACTAGCTAATAGCAGAATTTCTTACGCATCAAAATTCGCTTTTTAACAGAGGTTAAACTCAAACAACATCTTGTTCTGCTTGCAGATGAATAATCGTTGCCATTCATCTCCGAGCTATATTGCAGCTAGTAGGCATTCGAAAAAGTACTATTAACTGGTCTGATTTATACCAAGTTGATGGTGTTAACATTCGCGACATCCAGGATCGATTATAACTTTTATTTTGATCGAAAATTGAATGCGAGCATGCATAAGACCAGAAGAAAGTGGTGATATGAATGAAAACAAACAAAAGGGAAGGGAAATTATTCTCACATATTGCTAAAGCCCGACTCGGAGAATTTTAAAGAGAGTGTTGAAGGGTACACTGGCAAAGCATAACTCATTTCATGTCGGTCTCTTGACATAAACACTGATCTTTCGGTTGGAACTCTATATTCTGCTTAGTACGAAATGGTAACTTGGTTAGCTGGAAGTCTTCTCGAAGGAAGTTAGCTATCTGTGAGTGGGTTTTTTTTTTTCTCAAGTGAAGTTAATTAACTGTTAATGGGTCTTTGGAAATGCAAGGTCCAAGAGAAAGTAAAAAAAAAAACATAATAGTGTACAAAGCCTGGTTTTGACTCTCTGTACGGATATCATTTTGTTGCAGGAAGTAAGGGTGATGTTGGCCCACCTGGAATTGGTACCCCTGGGTCCCCAGGGGACCCTGGTCCAGTTGGCGGTCCAGGAGCTCGTGGAAATGATGGAGAGCCGGGGCCGAGTGGAAAGGATGGAGCACAAGGACCTCCAGGGCCTCCTGGCTCCCCGGGAGATAAAGGTACGCAGGCATGAATGAAAGGGTTAACCCTTTAACTCCTATAAGTGACAAAGACAGAATTTCTCCTTACGATGTCAATAAAATATCAAGCAGAAAAGTGATGAGAATAAAGAAAAATATCAGTTAGAGGATTCTTAATTGATCCAATACCAAATTCTCAAAACTAACATCACAAGAACAGTATGGTAGACAGTAAGGAGAATTACTAATGAGATCTTGAGAGTTGAAGGATTAAGGCCCAGTTCTGACGTCGTGCTTCTGCCGTGCAATTAGGTTCGACTATAGCACGGCAAAAGCACGATTCTGATTCAAACGTCAGCCTAATACCGTGCGATATTCAGCATTTACTGAAGCAACCACACCGCATGCCCCTTGAAGGGGAATTATTCTCGTGACTCCCCCGCGGTAACGCAATTCCGCCGACATACATTAGTATAATTTATGAATTTTGTTTGGCATGGTAGTGGTATGACGTCTGAATCACTGTCGTGCCAGAGTCATGTAGCACGGCTCAGTCTGTCGAACTTAGTTGCTTTGCCGAACTTAATTAAAAAAATTTGATTCAGATGCCGTGCTTCTTTCTGTCGTGCTTTAAATTCGGCACGGCGTCTGAATTGGGCCTAAGACAGCTACTTCCAAATGGTCAGTTTGTCTTTTCTTATACCTGTTTACTTGAGATGTATCGACATTTTTAGTAGAATTTCCATGTTAACAGGATGTGAATGGTTAAGTTGATTTGCTGAACAGTAAAGGAAAAATGGAAATAAGGAACGTCACCAATCAAATGATGTTGTTGAAAGCAAAGGGGATAGATTCGATCAACTCGCAGAGATCACTTAAGTGTCTACGGAGACTTCTCATATTCAGATGAAATACTGATAGGTGTTGCTCTCAAAAAAGCAACTACTGATAGGTGTTGCTTTCAAAAAGAAAGCTCATAGTCAGTTCCTCGACAACGAAACTTTAAGAAATATGTTTATAAGGAGGTTTATTGCTTTCGCGATAAACTCAGTAAAGCATATGCTAATAATGCTTTGAAACTCTCTCGACCTCACCCATAGCATCTGGCCCCACGGCACACGCTTTCGAATTGTATCCCACATTTCACTTTTGTTTTGGTGTAAATGATTTTAATGCCACACAATGTCACCTACGACTATTATAGGGCGAGAAAGAAAGAAATGTCGAGTCATCAAGTGGGAGAATTTGTCCACAACTACGTCTTGGCAGGGAAAGGATTTAAGGGATTTTTTTTTCTTTTATACCGTCAGGTAATGCAGGGCCTAAAGGCGACCAAGGAAATACAGGAGAAACGACAGTCGTTCAGGGCCCCAAAGGGGAGAGAGGTCAAGCTGGCAGAGATGGTTTGGATGGCGCTGATGGAACCAACGGTGAACCCGGATCCCCTGGACAGCCTGGAAACCCTGGACCGCCAGGGAACGTAGGTGAGTCTTTAGACCTAATATTGAATGGCGAGCGAGATTTAAGTGTAGCGTAAAGCGAAACAATTTCCGCGGTAAAAATGGGCAATACCAAGTAACTACTGAGACTTCTAAGTCAGAGCCACCCATATTGTAGCAAAAAAGACGCACGACGTCTGTAAATCCCATCCTAAAAATGTCTATTTTTCCTGGTGTGTGAAAGTTTGTTTTTTTTCCTTTACAATCTATAAGTTACCCTTTCTAGGCTCAAACATGAGTAATAATTGAATAATTGAATGAAGCATAACACTACTATCATTTTACATTCAGGTCTGCCAGGTGACCCAGGTCCGATAGGTCCTGCTGGTCCCCCTGGTGATAATGGTTTGGCGGGAGACCCTGGCCCTAAAGGAGAAAAGGGACAAGAGGGTTCAGCCGGGCAGCCAGGAGTCAAGGGTGATACAGGTATTAAAGGTAATGCAGGCCAACCAGGTCAGCAGGGAGACCAGGGGCCACCAGGAGAGGCAGGAGCGAATGGCGAGCCTGGGTTGAAAGGAGAACCAGGACCACCAGGTACAAATACAACTTACTATCATCTACGGCAGTGGGCCCCGTAATTTTTGTTTTTATTTTAATTTTTTTTTTCATACATCCTTGCTGAAACCTGTCGACAACATGTGGCTCATTTTGTGCGGCATTAGATTAAACTCGCACTCTTAGTTTTAGCTTCTTTCAAGGATATAAAAAGACATAATTTCAGAGGACCTTACCTCATCTCCTTAGTTCTTTATAGAGGTACTTCAAGTCCCTTGGTCCGACTCACGTAAAGGTACCCCTTCCAGATAACTTACCTTGGGAATTCCTTTGTGGAAGTTATTTGAGTTGCTCAGAAAGTGAAACTCTCAAGGAGACAATTTAACTACGTTTAATGACTGAATTCATTAAAAATAGCTCTATATTTGCTACCGGAGAAAAGTTTTAAAGAACTTCACTAAATAGTTTTTTGTCAGCTTTAGGTACTTGATTTTTTCATTTGCCGCCGGCTGGCCCCAACTGTTTGTTTCTCTAACGGATCGTACTTTATTCCATCGAAGGACCAAACGGTAGCCCTGGAGAAAATGGAGCAACTGGGGCAAACGGAGACCCTGGTCAACCTGGTCCCCCTGGGGATGATGGTGCCAAAGGAAGCACAGGACCTGTGGGACCGCCAGGACCTGCCGGACCCAAAGGAGTTGGAGGAATGGAGGGTTTTCCAGGAGATCAGGGGGAGCCAGGAGACCCTGGGGAAAATGGTATTACTGGTCTACCCGGAGAGAAGGGAAATGATGGATTTCCCGGAGTTCTTGGCGAGAAAGGAGATCCTGGGGCTACTGGTCCCCCAGGCCCACGGGGTGATCCTGGAAGAGGAGAAGGTAAGATGTCTTTTTCAATATCTTATGAATATATATTTTTTTCCGCCAGCTTAAGTTACGAGTAGTAACGGGTGACTCCGCATGATCAAAAGTAAGAAGTCATCAAAATATTTGATTGTTGACATAACTACGTCGTCATTACCATACGTTATCTAATTAACACGATTTAACCGTAAATAAACCATTTCCAGCGATAAAATTAACCCTTTACACTTTAACATCAGTTTGCTTTTTCTCTTAACTGTTCTCTATACATTTATTGAGGTAAATTGAGGAGAATTTGTTTAACGATCAAGGGCTCCTTTGGCTGGTGATCATTTTCTTTATTCTCGTGACCCAAATGTGTGATTCAGGGTTGATATCACAAGGAGAAATTAGATGCTGGTCACCCTTAGGGGTTAAAGGGTTAATGTATAATTTCTTTCTTTTCCAAATGGGCGGGCCCCGAACAGGATGGGAGAAGGGAGGGGTGGTGTAATCTCTTCCCTCCCCCTCCCCCTCCCCCCCCAAAGGAACTGAACCTTTCAATCCCATTTTCTTCGACGCGTTCCCCGTTTTGTTGACTTTTGTTCTTTGCATTTTTTATTCATGTTTACGAGAAATGAATTAAGATATTATTGTCTTGTCACTATTTCTAACGTTTCTTATCACTTTGAGAATTATGTGACTTACATCTCCTCTTTTCTCGCCTTCCAAACACTTTCTCTGAAATCGCGAGATGTTGGCCACACGTACGAAAAATTGTGTTCATTCCGGCACAAAAATAATACGGATATTTGTTTTTACTTAGTCAATAGTCAGTGCGGAAGTCTGACATGACGGAGATTCGTTTGATCTGCAATTTTAGAAAAAAGAGCCCACAAGATTCATAATTTCTGAATTCTCGGAAGCAAATTGGTCCTCGCTTCTAATCATTGTAGTACATATTTATGTAGTCTTCATTGTATGTAGCGAGGATGCCTGATGGAATAGAAAAAGAGGTATTAAGTACGCTTGAGTGAATTTATGCCTTTTCTCCTCTTCTGGTGATTCAGACTTTTACGAAGCATTTTCTACGTATAAACAGCTCCCTTTATTGGTAATCATGAAACCACTTATAAATGTGTTTTTTGATTCTAGGAAGTCCCGGCGAAACAGGTGAACCTGGCTTGGATGGAATTAATGGGCAGGATGGTGAACCAGGTCCCACAGGGCCCCGAGGGCCTCCTGGGCCTCAGGGTCCGAAAGGTGATGACGGAGCCCCTGGAGTCAATGGATTAGATGGACCCATAGGTATGTGTCCTTTGATACGAAAAGGAGCTCTATTTCTCAATTAATGTGGGTTACCCCTTATACAACGTCCTAATATAGAAGAATGCTGCTGCGTTCCTTTCTTGGAAAATTGCCTCTTTCTTTTTGGTCGTCCGAGTAGTAAGGCAACGAAAAACTGGATAACGATAACGTGAACATAAAAAGGTAAAAGATTGACGATTACTGCTGATTTATTGACAAAACGAGCTTATAAGTTTGTCTTTTCTCATAATCTGCCTACAAGATCACATATTGGAATCGCAAGGAGAACTTGCCTGTGAATCACTTCTCGGGGTTCACGGGCGAAGTCACTTGCCAGCACCAGAATGAAATCTACAGAGTGGTCTTTTTTACCAATTTCATGGCAAAGGATTCCGTTTAGAGGCTTTTGAAACATGTGTTAAGGAAACCACGTCAGTCTCTTTGATACACTGCCCAAACAGCAAATACTAAACTGTTCTGACCTTTGAATGAGTGCAACTCCTTAACTCTTTAACTCCCATGAGTGACCAAGACAGAATTTCTCGTTACAATATCAATACACTGTCAACCAGTTAAGTGATGAGAATAAAGAAAAATATCAATTTGGGGAAGATTAGTTGATCCAATACTAAATTCTCTGAACTAGCATTATAAGAATTGTACGTTTGACAGTAAGGAGAATTACAAATTTGATCTGGGAGTTAAAAGGTTAACCGGAAATGTTTCAAGCGGTGGGTAATTTGGGCTTATTGGCAGGCATGCTGGTAAAAGGTTGCAAGTGCAACCCTTAAACACCCAAAACTGATTAACAGGCAACGTCTCCCCATGATATCTATACATTACCCAGCAAACAGGTAATGAGAATACACAAACTTATCAGGTAGAAGTTGATGTCTTGATTTAACGCCAAGTTCTTGTTACTAATTTACAAGATAATTCATAGCAACTAGAAGGGAGAATTAATAATCGGATCCCACTGGAGCGTCTTAATTTTGATTCAAAACTTACTGCATACGACACCCGTTCAGCCATTGAAATTCAAGATACTACATCCTCTGCCAATAAATCAGCATTCAGTAGTTCTCACCTGGCGACAAAAAGAGAAATAAAACTTTCAACCGAGTACCACTTGTCATCTACATTCCTCTGTAGGTGACAAGGGAGATCGAGGCATAGCTGGACAACCCGGTCTGCCGGGAGATCCTGGTCTGCCAGGTCCTCCAGGAGAAAGCGGACTTCCTGGACCCCCGGGTGAAGCAGATTTCGGATTTTATGTGGTGCGGCATAGTCAAACTGCAGAGCTTCCTGATTGCCCAGCCGATACGGTATCGCTATGGGAAGGCTACAGTTTGCTTTACGTGCAGGGCAATGAACGTGCTCACGGCCAAGATCTTGGTCAGCCCGGTTCTTGTCTTCCAAAATTCAGCACCATGCCTTTCCTGTTCTGTAACCTGAACGAAAACTGTAACCTGGCCTCGAGAAATGACTACACCTTCTGGCTGTCGACACCCGAACCTATTCCCATGATGCCTGTGCAAGACCAAGATGTGAAGCCGTTTATCAGTCGCTGCCGTGTCTGTGAGGCGCCAGCTATGGTCATGGCTCTTCACAGCCAGAGCATGGTTGAGCCAGATTGTCCTGAGGAATGGCAGCCACTCTGGAGAGGCTACAGCTTCTTGATGGTAAGTGTTTTAACCCCTTGCGCCACGACATTAACCTCTAAGAGTGACTAGCATCTTATTTCTCCTTACTATGTCATCCCAGAATCACGCATGAAAGTCATGAGAATAGAGAAGATGATCACCAGCTAAAAGCAGCTCTTGATTGTTAAACAAATTCTCCTGGTCAGCCCCTTCGAAAATGTATGGTGAACAGTATGGAGAATATACATACTGATGTTAGGGTGTAAAGGGTTAAGCCATGGTTTGTTATAATCTCCACCCTTCCCTCCCTCCCTCAATCTCGATAGTAATCTAATTGTGTTATTCCCGACAGCACACAAGCGCCGGAAACGACGGTGCTGGCCAGCTTCTTTCATCCCCAGGCTCCTGTCTGGAGGACTTCCGTACCAGTCCTTTCATCGAGTGCCACGGTCGCGGGACATGTCATTACTACGGTAGCACGTACAGTTTCTGGTTAACAACCGTCACGGACGAGGAGCAGTTCCGAACACCGACATCAAAGACGATTAAATCAGGAAACCAACGAGAACACGTCAGTCGCTGCACTGTTTGTATGAAAAAGGTTTACAACAACAATAATGGAAACGGAAATGGGGGAGGAGGTGGGGTCGTGGATCCCATCGTCGACCCTGTAGACTTGCCAAACTAACTCAGTATGAGCAGTATTAGTATAGTAATGTCGAAAGTTTTCTTTTTTTATTATTTACGTTAAGCAATGTAATCTCGTTCTTTACGTTGCTTTTGGATAACGCCGTTATTTGAAATTCTATGAAGGGAGGAATGCGATTCACTTCCAAGGTCAGTAGACCTGTTATTGGATTATTGTTTTTCAAGTCTAAAATTAAATTTACCAATATTAGTGATAATGCCATCTCACCTTTTTCCACAAAGGTTGAGTGAGTTTAACTGTTTCTGCGTTATATTTGGTCAACGTTACTCTTCAAAATCCGTAGACGATCACCTAGAGGATTAAAAGGCACATGACCTCCGTGTTTATCAGACCTGTTACTCGTAGCTTGTTTTCTTCATTTTGTGACATTCAGGTCTTGATTGTTAATGATATTCATCCTTGATGAATCTCGCGATCAAATTGGTTTTACTAAACATCAATTTTGATGAACGCTATGCGCGTTCCTTTTGATTTTTTTATCAGTATTTTTTTTTCAGATAATACCCAAGTTTTAAAGCATGTCCTCTTACGCAGTTTCAAAAAAGTGATTTCCCTCCGATAACATCAAATCCCTTTTTTTGAAAATTTGCGTTAGCAAGAGGTTTGCTTTCTAACCGAATTGAGGGGGAGCCTTTCCGCTCCGCTTTCTAAAACTGCTTGTTAACATGTCAAAAGCAAATTGCTGGTCTGTAATAACATAAAAATCAATTGCTATGGAAGAAGAGAGAGAAAAAGAACGCGCTCTCCCCATCATTCTCTAGATGGTTTTTTTTTTATTTCGGTACCGTAGGCTATAGGCTAGCGAGGAACGACAACGGAATGTTCTAAAAAATAATTGAGACTAGTGAAGTCTCGCGTGACAATTTTCTTAGGTCCGCCCCGGTGGACCTCGGTGGTCTGTCGTATGTCGGAAATTTCTTTAAACTTTGCACTGCCCTCAAAAAAATTAATGGTAACAGTGATAAAGTCAGTTGAATACCGCTAAAAAAGAACTATTCATCCGTCGATAAAACGTAACATTCTCAAGATGGACTCGAATCAAGTTTGCGACGACCTTGATTTGCGAATTCGCATCCATGGAAAAATGGTAAATTAGAGAAAGGGTCGATTTTCCGCCCTTGGATCACTCTCATAAATTCAATTTACTTAGTTTTGTTTAGTTTTCCATAATGGAATTCTATTAATCTTTTTATGCTTTCTGCAAGAGACTGTTTCATGAGGATTATTAGTCAGTAGCTCGTTTAGTATAACTTTCTGGTAGACGGCTAACAATGTTACTTCATCTAAGAGCCTCATATAATTAAAGAGCATGTTTTTAAATATAATCTCCTCATAGTTTACTTGGATGGCCAACCACAGAAATTATATGAATAGTGTTAGATTTGTAGTGCGATACACGAAGCTAACGTTTCTGTTAAGAAATAGTCTCTTTTGGTTTCTCTTTTATAAATACTCTATATTTTAATGGGTGGTTGGGTATGAACTTTTCTCTCTTTTAAGAAATTAAGGGATTAGGAGTACAGAGTATTATTTTGTAATTTCTGTTTTAGGAAATGCTTTTCTTTTGGCACAAGTAATCGTGGGACGTCTAGTATGTTTTAAGCGTAGTTAATGATCACAGAAAACCAGTGTAGAGTTCTATGATTTAGCGCCGTATTCACGCTTGCAATCAGTCAGTTCAAGGCAATTGGAACCATTTCAACTGCTAATGCAGAGCTCGAAGCGTTTCCGTGACATTGATCTTAGAATGATTAAGTTGCTTTTCGCAAGCTGGCACGCCGTGGAATTTCGTCGATGTTTTGAAGAAAATTTTAAAGTTTCTTACGAGTTTGATTGGGTAGGAGAGAAATGCGTTTAGACAGTACTTGATCAAACTACACGATCAAATTCTCGTTGGTTAATGACGTCTTATCCACGGCAAATTTTTATCAGTTTAGAACAAAAAAATTTGATCCACTGAGTAATAATTTCTAACAAGATCTTTTACCAAATAAGTTTCCTATTGTTATTATGTGCCAAAATATACAATGAATTTAACCAAAATAATTAAAAAAATTATAAAAAAGACCGAGTTAGGTTCCAAAATAGTTTCGCTTTTTTAATTACATAAAATTCAATTACAAGAGAAGTGACTATATTTTTATAAGCTTTTTTTTAGATGATACGGAATTGATATGTAAAGCATTTGTAACCATACTAGATTTTGAAATTAAAGTTTTTTTTAATAATTATGAAGATGTTGTGTTAATGAGAAGAATACGCACCTTCGTAAGAGGTGTATGGACTGAGAGCATCGAACTATCTGTACCTATGACTGTTTAACTGGGGTTAAATGATCGTGAAATAAACCGGTAGATAGGGGTCGACGCCCAGAATGTCAACTTTACTCGCATCAGCGGATCGTTGTCAGTATCTCAGCAACTGCGCACCTACCCCTCCCCTAACACAACATTAGCCCTAACTTGTTATTAGTCGACTGTTGTTGGGTCAGAGAATGGGTAGGTATGCAGTTGCCAAGATACTGGCATTGATCCGCATTTGCTTGCAGTACCGCGTGCGATTTGTAGTGTTGAGCAACGGGACGCGAAGATACACAACTCTCTCCTTCGTAGAAGCTCGATGCCATACATCCTCTGTGAGGAATCACTGGAGCGTGCCCTAATTCCCTTCGAGCCTCTTCCTTCCCCCCGGCCCTGCAAAAAAATTACCACTTGTTTAACAGCCTAAACCAGCCATGGCGCCGTAACCATTCTTTAAGCGCCGGCTTAAAAATAGATACCACTTTATATTGAACTACATAAGAAATTTATTTCTGCACCCTGACAAGAATCGTCCATTTAATAGCTTTAAGGAGTTTCGGCTATTGACTCGTATTGGCAACTGCATCCGGGACTTTGAAGCAGGCGGGCATGGCAGAGGATAAACATGGGGTTTACCTAAATTTATGGGGCGCCCCATATAAATATGTCAGTGGCTTTGTGTCAAATTTATATTAAAGCAAAAAATACAAAATTTACACAGCGGGCCCAACTATCATTTTAGGAACTTACAATATCAAATGCGTCTCTTAGTCGTGCCAGTTACGGGTGAGTCTCGACTACGGAAATGGTCTTGTTCGGGAGCCGTTGGAATGGATGCCAGCCTCAATTATAGCCTTGATCGACATGCGTAAAGAGGTATTATTTCAAGTCCTTTGTGGTTTGAAACTGGGCACAGAGTTCTCAAAAGGCAATACTTAAAATGTTTGACTGTACACCATTTTTTCATAGGTTGTGACTTTCACTTTAGAGGAGAGAGACGTGCGATTTCTTTTTATGAAAACATGCATGATTCATTTACTTTGAGAAATATTCCCCTGAGCAACCAATCTGCAATGCTGTTTGTAATATGGTCAGTGGTGAATATCTGCACACTGTGCGTTGCGCACCCTAGTTTGGCGGGCTGTTTTCAAGATGGCCGACAAACTTCTGTGAAAGAGCTATATCTGGGCTCAACTTTGTCTTGAAATGGTAGAATCATCCATAGACAATTCAAAGACCCCAGCAGCTCTTCTACACAAGCTATGCTGTCGGCTTCTGGGAGACGACAGTGATTCAATAGGTACAGTTGAGAAATCAATACAGTTTTTCGATCGTTCGAAATGAGACTAGTGTCATGTCATTTGTGATATCAATATTTCTTTCCAATGCAGCCAAATCGGCCGCGGTGTCCGAGCACTTTCAATACGCTCTTAGAGTTGTGGGAAGGTAGGTAATGCTCGGCATGGTATTTTTTGAAGGATAATCGAAGATCCCTGAAAAAGAAAAGAAAAATAACTCATCACTAGTTGTACAAACTTTTGCAAATTAACATCTCTCGATTTGTTCATCGTCAATATCAGCAACCGACCTTTGTTCTGTGATCAGTTACTTTTTGCAAAGATAAAACAAAAATTTATATACGGAAGTAGAAATGTGGTTGGGAAAGGTGGAACACGGCTCTCTCAAACCTGCAGAATGACCTGTCATTAGACTACGTTACTGAAAAGTTTGCAGTTCGTAGAGAAATGTTCATTTCAAATTCACTAGTACCAAAGCAATAAGAGAAGGTTTCTAAAGATAAGGCCGCAAGGTACGCGTAATTCAGGGTAGTTTGTACAGTTTTCAGGGTGAGTAGACATACTGCCTTCTCATCCAACTTGACAAAATCAGGCACGTCAGTTTTTTTGTACTCAGAACTCGACTTGGGCACAAGAACTTAAACGGAGATTGATTTTTGAGATTGATAGATGGAATTGTGTTTTTTTGTTGTTCTTGAAAATATCTAAGAGTAACTTAATTTTTTTTTTATCTTGCGACCTTGTTTCAGCCGTTTCACCCCAAGTATAGCCACTGATGAGTTTCGTGTTGTGGAAAGGATAAAAAGAAAATGTAAGAATATTTATGATCATATCTCTTCTCTGTTAACCAAAATGATGTTACAATTTTAATTCTGTAGGACAATTTTTTTGAGAGAAGATTAACAAAGATCATCTAGATTTTCTCTTGTATGTTTTACTTATTGATTGCCCTTTCATTTTTTTTTATTTTTTTTCATGGAACTTTAGTGCTCAAAGAGAAAAGAGAAGTTGACATTGCTATTTTCTCAGAGTTATGCCGCAAACTTGCCTCCCAGGTAAGAATACATGTTCTTTTCTTGACCAATAAGTCTTCATGAACCCAACTTACGACACTCAAATGACAAACAACTCCCCAGTTGACTCTGAAAATGACTTTCTCTCAGGTTGTTGAAACATTAGTCTCTGTTCCTGTCAATAATTGTTTTCCAAACTACTCTTACCTAGGCAATAAGACTTCATTGCAAAATGAATGAAGGGGGTTAGGTTTCTAAAGAAACTGTGGTTCTGTGTTCGTAAATTGGACACAGTGAAGAGTTGAAATGCTTGAAACAACAGCTTTGAAACTCATTATGTTGGCCAATTTATGTTAAATTACTAAATTACCCCTTCATTACCATTAACTGTCACTCTTGGGTTCAAACTGGGGATTAAACAATACCAATACCAATGTTGATACTAGGGAGAAGTGACAAAGCCAGCAACATTGCATGTGGCCTGTATTCTTCTGGTCATGGTGAAAGGCACTGAGCAGTCACCCACAAATAACTTACCAGTTTTTAATAGGGGTTTATATTGATTGAAATATTTTATTTGTTGTGGTTGATCAAACCAAAGAGTACTGAACAACAATGACCATGTACAATGCAAGATGACCTTGTATTTGATTAAGCAGACCATGTGACTGACACATCAACCAATGATGTCATAGTATCTTAAAGTGTTAATTAAATAAACAGGTATTGACTCATCCTTATTTCATACCACTTGCTGTTTTATTATTGTTTTCAGCCTGTTCTTCAAAACAGATGGGCCATCCTTTACTTCTTACTGAGTGTCAGTGAAAATTCCTCTAGTGATCAGTCACATGGTCAGGTAAAAAGGAGTAACTTATCTTGTAAGTATAGGTAATAACATGATTTTGAGGGAAATTTGGTGTTAATAAGCAGGAGTGAATTTTCCAAAGATAACAAAATTGCACGAGCCTTTAGGGTAAGAGCAGTTTGTAGTCTTATTATTAAATGAAATTGCAGGAGAAATCATGTCATTACTTGTAAATAATGTGCATGTAAAAACATTGCAGAAAAGTCAAGACAGATGAAATTTTGAAAGCATGTGCACGCTGTTTGTAATGTGCACTGGTCTTATAACTTTACACTTGTGTTACATGAAAATGCACTCATTTTCAGTCAATCAGAAGTGCATAATTTTTTCATGTACATTATTAAGTAGATTAATCATTTGTAGAGACTTAACCCTTTTGCTGCCAATATCTTAATGAAATTCTTCCTGACTGTTTGTCATATATTTCTTATAAAGTTTGTTCTGTGGTTTGTTGTTGGATCAAGTGATGATCCCTCAGTTGATATTTTCCACTTTCCTCATAAGTTGTCTGCTTGATAATCAATTGATATTGTAAGGAAAAATTATGTCTTGGTCTCTTATGGGAGTTAAAATGTTAAAAGTCTGGTGGTCCTTGCCTGCTTGATTTGGACATGTTATTTTCACAGTGCTTCCTCACCAAGAAATGTGAGCAGCCTTGTTAATGCAGCGTAATCCTTATAAGATCATATGGACTCTACTTCATTAATGAAAGCTCTAGAAGGATACCATAGAGAAAGTCTTCTATAAGCAAACAAGAAGCAATGTCAAGCTTCGGTGTTCATTTTCAAGGAGGTAACCCTTGAGAATATCTCGGCCAAGCAGAACTAGAGACCTAAATCACAGTATTTCAGTTTATTTTCTCTTTTAAGTTGTTATGCTGGTAGATCAGGTTTGATGTTGCAACATTGTATGACTGTGTGTAATGTTAGTAAGAGTGATTCTTTGTAGTCTGCAGGAGTACCATCCTTCTTTGGTCATGGGCTTCCAACCTACCAGACATCCACCCCTGCTGTGTCGGCACATCCATCACTTGCTGCTTCTAGACATACTCCTGGTGTTTTGTCCCTGACTCATGCTACTAGCAGCAGCAGTGGCATCAGTAGCATTCCATCAAGGTCATCTGGTCCTACCCCTACGCCATCATCATTTGCTCCAAACCTTGGACCAACTCCCTCAGTGCATTTTGCAGATGACAAAAGAACACATCAGGAAAACGATGGTTCTCGCTTGGCAAGCCTTGTGGTGCAGTCACTCAGTGTGACACAGAATAAGGTGTCCATCAATGGACAACCAGGTTTTACACCTGGAACTGGCAGTGTGTTGCAATTCATGAGTTATGGGAATGATACCCACAATAGTAAGTTCTACTCTTTCTTGGTATGGAATCAATATCAGTGCAACAAATGAAAAACAGTTGTTTTATTAGTTCACTCCATATAAGTGCTGAATCAAACCTTAACAGGGATGATAATTTTATTGTTAAGAGAAATTAGATGCTAGTTACTCTTAAGGGTTAAAGGGCTAAGAGGGAAACAATCTTGGAACCCTTAATATTGCTTTTGTTTCAATATTTTTGTACTTGCTCACCCTTAGATGGAAAAAAATATTTTTTTATATTCAGCATCACATGAAGTATCTGAAGCTGCCCTTCTTCGAGAGATAATCTACATCTTTCAAGGAATTGAAGGAAAAGTGATCAAGCTTGACCAAACTAATGATGCATACCGCATTGATTCAAAACTTGGAGTTCCCAAAGCTGTTAGGGATCTTGTTAACAAGCTAGCTGAGCTTGGCTGGCTCTTCCGCAAGATTCGCAAGTATTTAGATGCTCATGCAGGTGACAAAGCTATGGGTTTGGTTGGTCAGAGCTTCTGTGCAGCACTGCAGCAGGAACTCACAGAATACTACAGATTATTGGCTGTTCTTGAGGGGCAGCATCAGGTCGGTGATGCAGGGTTTGTGGGGGAAGGTGCTAGTGGAAGTTTGACCCTTCGCCGACTGATGGTGTGGACATATGACCCTCTGATGAGGCTGAGGACTCTTGCTGCATTAGTTGATGCTTGTAAAGGTAAGAGTTTAGAGCCAAAACTTTTTTTTGCAGGGATGAACATTATTGGAAAAATTGCATAGAAATTCTTTGTAGACCAAAAATGTTGTCACCTGTAAGAAGCAGTCAGCAAGTCCCTAAGGACTATTTCTTGTTCACATATCAATATTAAAACTTATTTTAAGAGTAGTGATCACAGTTCAAGGGATGTCACAAAGTATAAAACTGATATTCTTCTGTGTTATCAAGGGGTAATGTTGTATAGAGAACTAGATTCTAGTCAAAAGGTTAAGTACTGAATTCTATTCACAGGCAAGAAAGGTGGAGCCTTATTATCAGCACTTCACTCTAACATGCAACATGGTGATCCCTTTGTCAAGTCACTTGTCAGACACACCCTTAATTTGGTATGTATGCATGTACAGTGAATTTAGCCTTCTTGGTACAGCTGTAGATTATTTAGCGTAAGGAGCAACTTTGTTAATGTTTTCTATGAAAATTTTAGTTTAATTTTGCATGTAATTAAAAAGTAACTACCCACTCCAAAGTTATCTGATCGCACAGGTGACTTTTGAAAGCTGGTTCACTAACTTAGAACAGACTTCCTTCAACAGTTGTCTCCATACAAGTGAATTATTTGCTCCATTTACTTTACAAAGGAACCCAACAGTATGACCTCACTTTACCAATAGATCCAAACCAACCAATCATGATCAGCTTACACTAATAGAGTCTCATACCTAATTATATCACAGTTAAACTGATCAATCAGTTAACACAAACTGGACTTATAACACTTGACTGAATCTGATGGTGATTCCTGCTCAAGTTATTGAAATGTCAGTCACTACTACTGACAACAGTCCTTCTCAAGACTTCACTCACCCAGACAATCAGAATACAAGAAGAATTCATGTATAAAATACCTGCTCATATACAATTTCCTTCTAAAAGAATTTAATTTAATACACCCATTTTACCTTAGTTACTTCTTCATCCATGAAAATCTTATTTCCACAAATCAAATCAAACCAAATCATGGTTGCTGAAAGTACCATGTGTGAGGATTGACCGAGGCATAACACACAGTTGTTAAACTCAAACCTCTAGATTTGAAGTATGACATAGAAAGTTTCAAAAGATAATAAATCTTTCTCTTTTTCAGGTTGCCCGTCCAATCCGTCTTATTCTTGACAGGTGGATTTATGAGGGTGAACTAGATGATTTGTATAATGAAGTAAGTACTCTTTAGTAACTACATGTAGCAGGCAATAATTTATATCAACTACATGCATTTACTAGCAGAGCCTAAGGGCTGTACAGGGCAAAATTGGCTCAAGGTTGTAAGAGTACAGACCAAGCTACTGCTCAAGCAAGCAGGGTTAGTTATTAGTATTTGCATCTCACTAGGACTAAACTTGTTTTGAAAAACAAACTTAACAAGGAAGTTTGCCACAGATTTATCTTTGCAAATCTTATTAATTCACTATACCTCTAGGTAGGGTTATGATGAAGTATTCTAGTTGCCAATTTGGCGGCTAATTTTCAGGATTTGTTTGCCAAAGTGAAAAATTTAGTCATATTGGCACCTGTATTAGGTGCAATTTCACGCCTAGAGTAAAAGCTCATTGTCCAGCAGTAGTCCCCTTCCCTTTCCTCCCTCTTTCCACTGTTTATTCAGTGTGACGGGTGCCTGTTTCCCTTTCCTATGTGGGGGCTCATTGCTGGGCTGCAAGGATTTGCTAGCCACAGGAGCAGTTTCCATCTAAGAGCTGGCTGCCAATAGTGGAATCCCCTGGATGTCTTAGGCACCTAACCTCCACTTAGCCATGCAGTTGTTAAAAACAGTTAAATAATATTATCTGCTATGATTTCTTAACCCTTGAACTCCCAGGATCTGATTGTTAATTCTCCCCTCTAGCTGATACACATTTCCTTGCAAGTTAGTAACAAGAATTTGGTGTTAGATCAAGATAATAACTTTTACCTGATAAGTTTGATTATTCTCATTACCTGTTTGCTGGCTAATGAGTGGATATTACAGGGAGAAGTTACAGGTTAATCGCTTATGAGAGTTAAGGGGTTAAAGGCCTCCATTCACATTTTTCTAGTTCTTTGTTGCTGTGGACTACGACACTAAAGATGACCGTCTGTGGTATGAGAAGTACAGTATCAGAAAACCGATGCTGCCCTCATTCATTTCAATGGAACTTGGAACAAAGGTATGTTTCAATGCAAATGATAGACATACAATTAAATTCGCATAGATGTCATGAACTAGCAAATGTTACTAAAGTTTAGAAGTTTAAAGTCACAAAAGTGTTAACTTGGATTGAAGCCATGAAAATCTGGTAACAACATACTGTATCCTAGCACCCCATGATGGCAGTGGGACACTGAGGCTATACGCAAAAAAGGAAGCACTCCATTAAGCCATGAATTGTTCAAGAATATCAAGTAATTGTGATGAGTTAAGGAAATGTCATTTCATTTATCCTAAGATTCTAAACATTGGAAAGTCTATCAACTTCATCCGATGTGTTTGTCAAGATCGAAGCCCAATCAGCGGAGAAGATGAGAAAGCTCTAGAGTACGGCAGGTCACAAGAAGCATCAGGTACATATTCAAATCCTCTCTACCTCTGTAAGCATTCTGATCTGCTGGGGCATAGTTAAGTTTATTGATATGTATTACAACATCCTTCTGAAGTTTCTGGACTTTTGTCATTTGTGGTGATCCAGGATGACTATGCCAAAGACTTGGCATCCAAAGAAAAAGATTGCTCTCAAGCTTGCTTTAAACTTCAGTTACAATTTGGCCATAAAGTTTTTATTTTAGTAGCAAATGAGGACTTGTAAATGTAGGTCTTTTCCATTTCGAACACTTCTTTGGGCTCCATGTTGAACAGAAAAAAAAAATGCCAGTAAGTTGTTAAATGTGGCTGAACCAAGTGATGAGGTTACTCAGTTTTCTCAATTTGACAGAGTGTTTTGCTTTCTTTTTTAGCTACAGCCCAATTAACAGCTGATGAAGAGTTTGGAGGAACGGCCCTTGAGGAAACAGTGGACACAGCCTACAGGGTAACAAGCAAAAGACTGCTGGAGATTTTCTTTTCCAAGTACAAGTTCCTTGATCATTTAAGGGTGAGGAATACTTTAACCCACTAATAAATAAACAATGGGAGCTGAAATGAAAGGTGGTCTGGGAAAAATTGGTTCTCAGAAGTAATGACTGGACACAGAATCATATAGTCTTGAATTTTGTGATCTATGATAAATAATACACGATTCATTAGAGATCTAATTTAGTGAGCGATTCTTGAAATTGCATGCAGGAAAAATGTAATTACAATTCTCAAAATCCAACTGGTCACAAAACAAATTTCTAACCAGTGCTATCCAATCAAAACTATTCCAGTTTATGTAGCAGGTCAGCAAAACAGGTCAGCAGATCAAGCTGAAAAAAAAATAGTTTCAGAACACTTTAATGGGAAGGTGTCATTCCTTTTCAACTGAAGATCAACTTACTTAGCAATTACGCCATTCACATGTCAATCAGGGGGTTAATTATCAAATCAAATGTTAGTAAGTTAAATGTTAATTAATGAAACAAAAGGGTTACCTGTTGGGATACAATTATCTTTGTTTTACTCTGATGCACAACATAGGCCCTTCGACTTTATCTTCTTCTGGGACAAGGAGACTTTATCAGGCATCTTATGGATCTTCTTGAGTAAGCTTTTTGCACATGATATTGTTTTATAATTATTTGTAGTTGGTTTATTTTGATTTACTCTCAAAATTGTTTGATGAAACATTGATTATATTTGTCTCCCTATAGGTCTGACTTAGCCAAGGCAGCCAGTACACTTTACATGCACAATTTGACAGGTGTGCTGGAGACAGCCATCAGAGCTACCAATGCACAGTATGCAGACCCTGAGATTATTGAACGCCTGGACTGTCGACTGCTTGAGGTAAGGCACCCAAAAATTACAGGGTTACAAAGAGCTGACCTTCAATTCCAGAAGATCTTTTAGCCTCCAAAGTATTGAAATACCAGAAATGGCTAAAAGTCAAAGTCAGTGTAGAAGCCAGGTGACCTATCCTGTCAGTGTTTGTCCCAGTTTCTGTAACAGAGTTGGCACCCAGTGTTTCATCAGATTTCCCTTATTCAAACTCTTAGGCAGATAGAGGCTTTGTGATAGTGAATTGTCTTTCTGAAGATCACAGCATGTCTAGAGCCTAGCTGAGACCTTTTGATGTAGATTCCAGACCATTTAGTTTTTGTATCTACTCAGCTATTAGGTAGATTGTTTCGTTTAAATCTTTGAGTGTAAATTTATCTGTGGTCTGTGGTTAAATTTGTACATGTGAGCATGCCAATCCTCAAAACATGATCTAGATTTAGGACAAATCTTACACCTGATTCGCAACTGTTGGGAAAAACTGTAATCCTCGTGTTTAAGTTTTTTTTTTTTAATTTCATCCCTGCCTATCCATTTGTTTGTGCATTCACGCATCCATTATTCTCAGGAATCAATATCCGTACCTGAGAAAATGCCCATCTTCTCCTTCCCTAAACCAACCTTAACTTGTTATCAGTTGACTGTTGTTGGCCTGGGGGAGCAGGTAGGGTTGTAGGTGCTCAGATACTGACATTGATCCATTTCTTGCTTGGCTTGACTGTTCAAATGCTTCCCTTCAGGCTCATTTTCTTCTCCTTTTTTCTTAATTTTCAGGTGTCTCCTGGAGACACTGGCTGGGATGTATTTAGTCTGGATTATCATGTTGATGGGCCAATCAGTACTGTAAGTAAACTGCGCTGTTAAAAAGTTCCCCACCCCCTTTGTTATCTTGCAGTAACAATTCATCATCATGGAGAACTTTTTGATTGAGGGTCGTAAAACCAAACCAAAGTAATCACAATGGTAAATTCGAACGAAGGAAAATTCTTTGAAAAGCCAATGAGAATTCAAAGGAAAAACAACCAAAGTGCCTAAAGCACGGGAAAAATGCAAGCGACCTACAGTATTGTGCAAAAGTAATGCAAACACCTGTCGACGAAATTTGTGGCTTTTCGACGAATTCTTGACCGAAACGAATCTTCGACGACATTTCCGCGAATTTTCGAGGCATGTATTGTTTTGAACGGCTCGCACTTTCGGCGACAAATTCCTTGATGGCGTAAATGCGACTCGAAATTTCGAGCGAAAATTCGTTCTATGTGGCGAATTTTCGGGGCGAAAATTCGTTGTATTGTATTGTTCATTCTTCTCAAAAAGATTTGGTTGAATTTGTGGTTGGTTACTACACTATGTAATACTCCCATAAAATTTCCCGCTACGATTCCAGCCTCCGCGCGCCCTGTATTGTTTGCAACCATGGCAACACTCAGTATATTAATTGTGTCGATGCGTTTGGGATCATTTATGTACTCTACTTTTGATAGTCATCATGGCAAAAGTTTCAAATTATTCTAGAGTTAGGAAGAAACTCCCTATGTTCCCTGCATTCAAACTTATGTAGATATTTAATTTAAATGATAATTTGTCTTCTGACCTGCTCCGTGTGTATGATGATTTGTGTTTATCAATAATTTTGTTTTGTTTTTATTATTGTTTTCGCTTACGTTTTTGTTTTTGTTTGTTTCTGTTTCTGTTTTTGTCTTCGTTTTGTTTTCGTTTTGTTTTTTTTGTTTGTTTTTCGCAGCAAGTTAAGAGTACGTGACATTTAGCGCGATGCAATTTCAGGTTTTCACGCCAGAGTGCATGATCCACTATCTAAGGATCTTCAATTTTCTGTGGAGAGCAAAGAGAATGGAATACTGTTTGACTGAAATGTGGAAACAACAGATGACAAATCGCAAGATGTTAAAATCGTTGCCAGGTAATTTGTTTCTTCGATACAGTAACTATTCAATGCAAAGCTGCTTCCGTTAGAAACACTACTAGGAACTGAAGACACTTCTTTGGTTTCTCAGAAGTTTGTTCAGAATTCTTTTCAACACAGTAGTCAAACGTCGGGCGTGCGCGAGTGGGTCTATTCTAGCCGGCCGTGCGACAATTTCCTGCGCAAAGTTTCAAAGTTAAACATAACAAAACAATCGCTGTCTGGCAAAATTAGCGAAAGAAAATTGAAAAATTCATAGAAATATGTACAGGAGACAAACGTAGGTAAAAGTAAAACTTGAGACTTTTCGATCTCAAAGCTTATTCAAGTACAGATATCCTGTTGGTTTACCGTTCTGTTTTTGCGCTTTGATATTATTATTATTGCCTTTCACAAAATTTATAATGTGTTGTCTGTATTTCTTCAACACACTTGACTATTTTCATTTTTATTTTGACCAACAGAAGTATCCCCCATTCTTCACATGTGCCACATGATGGGGACAGAGATGATTCATTTTATTCATCAGATGCAATATTATATCACATTTGAGGTACACAAATATGGCGCACTGTTATCCCTCCCCCTCTTTCCTCGTCCAATTGCTTTTCCCCCGCACCTAACCGATTAGCTAGTTGGGTTCAGTCAGAAGTCCAGCGAGGGGTCCGCGTTGCTCAAGTCATGAGACGGCCAGGAGAATTTCTACCTTTCCCCTCCCTGGATGGGAAGCCAGTCCTTCCCAGAGTTACCTTCACCCTCAGAATTTTGCTTGGTTTCGTTGACGGTTCGCCGGTGACCTGGTAGGCGAGGGAGCAATGAGAGATTAAAGTGTCTCGCCCAAGAACACAACACAATGACCTGGTTAGGTGTAGCACCGGAATCCAGCGCGCTAGCGATGTGTTTCCCTCTACCGTCTGGCCAACCTTTCACGTACTGTACATTAAGGGACAAAGACTGAAGTATGACATCTTTCTTGTCTATTGTATTCAGGTTTTGGAATGTTGCTGGGCAGACCTGAAGAAACAAGTAGCAGAAGCCAGTGATTTGGATCATATTATTGCTGCACATGAAACATTTCTGGACCAGGTTCTCAACCGCTGCCTTTTAGACGCCGAGTCAAGAGTAAGTTATTAAGTTCTTCGTGGATTGTATAGAGCACTTTTCGGTTGAGTGTTGTAAAACCAAAACCAAAGTTATCACAACAGCCAATCAGGATAAAGGTAAATACCTTCAAGAGCCAATGAGAACTGATCAAACCGACGAAGCTGTCAAAAGCGCGGGAAAACACGGCGCCCGAGTTTTGATTGGTTTTTGAAGTCATCTGTCCTCTATTGCAGAACAGGAAATCTATTTGTTAAAATGTCAACACCTTTCTTCATCTTGAGAATTTTACTATTTTGAACTATTTTCACCGTTTTCATTTCATGTGCTCAAGGTTTATCACCTTTCATTTCTCCACAGCCGATGTTGACCCAACTGCGGACAATCTTTGATTTAATCATCCAGTTCCAGAATGCTCAAGAGTCTTTCTTTTCTGCTGCAACCGCTGAACTACAGTCACGGCAGAGATTGGAAAAAGCTGTGGAACTGCGAACCGATGAGGTCAGATCGCGCTTTGTTTCCCTTAACTGCCAAACTTCCTGAAGAAATTAATATGTTAAGTTCTATGACAACATCGATGATTGATTCACTAAAAACGAATCCTGAAAATTAATTATGGATCAGTTAATCGACAAGAGGCTGCTGTCGTGAAAAAGTCAGATAAAATAATCATGAAATACCTCTCAATAAATTTGCAAGGAAACGTTAAATAGCGAAACTGAGAAAGAAGAAGTAGTAATCAGACCTTGGCCATAAAAGAATTGATGTGAGGACGGTTTATTCCTTTACCACCCCCCCCCCCCCACAGGATGGATATTCTCCGTACTGTTCTCTGTACTATTCCTATGTTACTGACAAGGAGAATTTGTTAAGCAATCGAGAGCGTCTTTAGTTGGTGGTCATTTCTCTTATTCTTTTGGCCTGAACGTTTGTTTCGGGGGTGGTAGTGTGAGTAGAAATAAAATCTTAGTATCTTAGGGATTAAACGGTTAACCCTTTAACTCCTAAGATGAGATTGTTAATTCTCCTCTCTAGCTGCTACGCATTTCCTTGTAAATCAGTTATGCGAACCTGGTGCTAGATCAAGATAGTAGCCTTTACGTGATAAATTTTAAAATTCTCATCACCTGTTTGCTGAATAATGTATGGTATCATAGGAAGAAGATTGATGTCAATCACTTTTGGGAGTTAAAAGGTTAAGGGATTGATGAAGGATAGCTTAATGATATAAGTTTTACTCAGTTATACAGGTAGAGTTTCTAAAGCGTATGTTTGATTTTCCTTCGAGCAGGGAGAGTGGGGTTTGACGGAATGGGACGAAGAAGAGGAGAGGAAGCGATCCGTGAAGTTTGTAGATAACATTATTCCAGATACTCGAGCTCAACTAAAAGTTCTGTCTAAGTCTTACCAGGTGAGGTTACGATTACTGTGAAAATATAGATTAGCGCCTATTTGAAACTGCGAGTCTTTTTTAATCCATAATGATAGTTCACTTCCTCCAGAGCAATTTTAAGACAAGTGTCAAAAGCGATACGGTACTGCAATAATTTTGCATTACTTCGCCCTGTGATTGGTGCAGAGAAAGGTAAGCATGCGCTCTAGACAGTTTTTTTTCTTTTTTTTTTACTTTTGGTTCTCATTGGCTCCTGGTAGAATTCTCCTTCGTTCTGATTGGCCAATAGAGCAGTAGTCAATTGGGTGTCGAAAAACTAAAACCAAAGTCATCCCAGCGACCAAAATCAGGGCAAAAGTTTACACCAACATTAACCAATGAGAGCTCAGAGTGAAAACAAACAAACTGCTTGGGGCGTGGGAAAGCGGTTTTGATTTTGCATCTGATTGGTGGAGAGAGTGGCACGATTTTTTCAGGACCAATCACAGAGCGAAGTAAAGCAAAAACAAACCAATCCCGGATTACTTCCAACTCTCAATTGAAAATTCCTCTGTGTGGAATGCGCCTATCTGAGATATTAACACTGATTGTAATATTCTTTTCTTCCAGGATATGGTTCAACAGTTTCTTATGATGCTCACTAGTCACCAAGATGTCAGCTTGAGGTTCCTCAGCTTTAGACTGGATTTCAACGAACATTACAAGAAGAGAGAACCCAAGCTGCGTAGTCCTCTCACGCACAGATATAGTAAACGTGTCAAGACGCCAATGCCCTAGAACTGCCTCTACCCCAAACTCGCTTCTAGAGCCTTCGTAACCTTTGTCCAGTGGAACGGGTGAAGGAGACTCTGGTCAAATCCAGAATTTCTCCTCAACTTTGATTAGCTGGTAAATCAAACAAAAACAGAAATGCAATGAGAAACGAGATTCTGCGCAAATTGAAAGTAACGGGTTTGACCAGAGCTTTATGGTTTGCAAACAAAGAGGATTGTGGATCAGGGAACGATATCACCTTCACATTTAATTTTCTTGACCTGTAGATTTTCCAGAGCAGTTTTATCCAAAAAAGATATGAAATGATCACGTCATGGTTTCGAACTAATTGTAATTTAAAGGTTAATGGGCAAAAGGAAACACAGATACTGTAAATGTCCTTGAAAGGAGAGGAGTGGAACCTCAGCGACTGCGAATTTAGAAAACGTACCACTCGTATTCGAGCGTGTTCTTAATGACACAATTAGATCGTGTATTAACAGTCAACTGCACGAGCGTGTTACAGTTTAACGTTGTGCAAGCTGATGAATTGTGTTAACATTGAAGTGAAGCAGAAGAAATTTCTCTTTAAAATATTTAAATACTGTGTTTAAAATGTTAAAACAATTGATTGATCAACTCGAAATGCTTGTCGTTGTTCTCGACCACGAGTAAAACTCCAAACTTTCCACGTGCTTTCAGATTTTGATATTCGCACGCTGATGCAGGATCACATCGGGAAATCAGTGACACTAGTGAGTTCGTGGAAATGCTGACTAGAAGATGTCTTATGTTGTAAAATACACTTAATATTTTATTTCTACCCTCTAAAAAATTAGCAAGTTCTTAGGGAGAATAGTCAGTGGTTCAAATTTTGATTAAAGGGCTTCGCCGCGAGACTTATCCGGCGCAGAATTAACCAGCATACGTTCTTTTTTTTTTTCCAACATGTCCTCTTTTTTCACATACTCATTCTCAGACTCCTCCCAAAAAAGGTAATTACACTCTATTCACCAGCTGTCTCGTTCAAGCGAAGAAGAATTTCTTTAGGAAGAAAAATTTAAACATATTTTAATGCTTGAAAAGTTCTTTCATCAGAAATTTCTTGGAACCAAAAAACAGTTGTAGTCTTTAATGCCAGAAAATTATTCCAGTTCGAAAAAAATTCTCTCCCAGCTGGAGGCAGATTGTTATTAATTTTTTTCCACCCAATTATAAAATATTTGACACACTTGAATGCATTAAAAAACTAAATAGTTTTCAGTTCAATTAGGAAAAATTATTACATCCATTTTGAAATAACCAGTGATTCCTGCAATCCGGTAAGCTCTCATTATTGCAGATTATTCCCGAATTGCATCTTTTTTTTTGCTCTAATTCACAATTTTTCCCAGCAAATGAGAAACCTTCACCATCACACAGAAACCAAGCTGATTTCCAGGCTTTTAGAGAAAAACCATTTACGTTAGGGAAAAATAAAAAACAACATTGCAACTTTTTTTCAACCAGCTCAGTACTAAATCATTAAACTATTTCTACACTCCAAAAATCCTGTATTTGAGCGACTGAATTTTGCGATTTCTAAATGGAAGTAATAAAGTGGTAACTGAACTTCGTACGCGTACCGTGCAATTGCGGTCTGAGATCATACTTGCGATTTGAAATTAAACTTACGCGGCGCACTCATTCAATGTTGAAATCACTCGTATGATTTCAAACCAAACTGCCCTCCACCCCAGTTCAATCACCATTATTAACCCTTTAAACCTGAAGAGTGACCAGCTTCTAATTTCTCCTTACAATATCACCTCTGAATCAAACATTAAGGTCACGAGAATAAAGGAAATGATCACCAACCAAAAAAGCTCTTGATTGTCAAACAAATTCTCCTTGTCAGCTCCTTAGGAATTAAACAGAGAACAGTATGGAGAAAGTGCTTACTGATGTTAGGGTGTAAAGGGTGAATAATTTCAGTGCACCTCACTCCCAGGCAATGCGCTAACATCATTTTTTTTTTCACTGACTTTTTTTTTCACACGCGTTACGGACCTCGCCGAAAAGAAGGACTGCTCGTAGTTTACGACTGACCTCGACGTTTAAAAATCATCTTCCAAGAGAGATTGATTATTTGCTTTTCTTAATTAACCTCGCTACCTTCTTTCTTTCTTTCTCCTTTTCTCTAATCCTTTATTGAGGGGAAAATCCGGTCAAAGGCCGGATTCGAGTTGAAGTCGAGTTGGAGTCAATTAGTGGGTATTGTTTGCCATAACAAATGTTTTTAAACATGTTTTTAATAAAGGTGATAAGGAAAAAAATCTTTATGGTAATTTCAAGGTTGCTGCTACAATTTATTGTAGCATTATCGTATCGTTACTTAAAAAACAATTTCTCAGTCACCCTTAAATATTTGATTTACGCAATATCCTGTTTTCCTTTTTACTAGCAGATAAATTTACCGATTCGTGGCTTAAGAGAGTGAAAGAAAATGTGTAAGACTTAAGAGTCAACCAGCTGGATAGTTCTCATCTTTAGTGTTTTTCATTTTCATTTTCATCATCGTTGGTGTTTTTTTATTTTCTTTTTGCGGGAAAGTTTCCAATCAAAATCTGTTTGTTTTTAAAACGGAAATTACCTCCTTGAAAAAGAGTTAACATCTTAAGCAAGAAAACATTAATTTTTTGACCATTCGTCAACAACCACAGATCATTCAACGTTAAAAAGTGCACGATCGTCAACATTTGGTGTTGATCGACATGAATGTGAGCGGCAACAACCAAGAATCTCTTGCGAATTCCTCCAAGTCAGTGTTCGTCAGTTGCCCGAACAATCCACTGTTCATCTGGGACCTAAAGCAAACACTTTCTCTGCAGCTTTCAATTGCGGTAACAACCATTGCCTGTCCAATTATCATTGTTTTGAATGCATTAGTAATCGTGACGGTCAAGAAATTCAAGAAATTACAAACAAACTCCAACATTTTACTTGCTAGTTTGGCGTGCGTTGATCTCATAGTGGGCACGGTTTCTCTGCCATTGACAATCTTCCTTGATGCACTGATCCTTCATGGAACTGTGTCGGAGGAAAAAATCTGTGCGATCGATCGCATTGCCGGCTTTGTACTTTATTCAACCTTCAACGTATCATTTTATCATTTGATTCTGATTGCAAAGGAGAGGTATGCAGCAGTGGTAAAATATGCGGAATATAAAGTTGTGGTTTCAAAGGTACGAATTAAGAACTACGTGGCATTTCCCTGGATAACAACTTTATCGACAGCTGCTATATTTGCCACATTAGTAGGCGCGGGTGTTCCCTACAGCGTCGTGCAAATCCTTGTTTTCATCCTAATTATCTTATGGATAATCGGCTTTTTGGTTATTGGGTACTGTTATCTTAGGATTAATGTCCAAATACAAAAACGGCTCCGAAGGCGTCACACTCGAGAAAATGTTTCAGTCCGTGCGGCAGCCGAAAATAAAATTTCATACACAATGCTTTTGCTAACAGTTGCCATTTTGATTTCTGGTGTTCCCTCTATTATTGTTTTTTTCTTCGCGTCATCGACGTCCTCTTTCCGAACAATTTCGGCAAACCGATGGGCTGAATTGATCCTCCAACTAAATTCCCTTCTAGATCCTGCACTTTACTTCTACAGAAACGTACGCTATAGAAAAGCTGCCCTGGAGCTGATGGGGTGCGCAATGTCACAGGAAACCCAAGAGGAATCTGGAGTGAAGCGTCGTGAAAGGAGACGGCGCAATTCTGTACCGTCTATAGTTCTAAATGAGTTGATGGAGTGCAAACCAAGTCCTAACCTTCCGGAACTAAGAAATGACGGGCTTAGAATGCCAGACATTCATGTGGAGTCAGCTCCGCCATCAACGTACTGTGACAACTTGCGTGATAAATTTCAATTCACGGAGCTAAAATTCGGTGATAACTTGCGTGCATCCGTCACGCGAAGCGGCCGTGACATCTTACATGATGCAAGAGGAAATAACACGCTAACTGTGATGGCAAAGATTGAAAGTGCACCATAAAGAAAAATGGTCAAAGATTAATAAGAACTTATGGAAAGATAACGGCAAGTTTCAGAAAACATGGAATTCCCTCAAAGAATCAAACAGGGGAATCGAAGGTTGCAATTGATTCTCAGCGAAGAAAGTCAGCGCCATTATTTTCAACGATCTCATAGCTCGGAAGTGTTAGAGAATCCACAAGAGTTCTAAGCTTCTTTTTGATCTGAATATACCCCAGGGTGACTGAAGCTTAGACTAGAACATATTGAACATATTTAACATAACCAAAGCGTAGAAGCAAGAGTCAAAAATAGGCCTGCAAGTCGTGTTTAGGCTTCGGTCCTAATAATATATACGAAATGACATAGGAAAGCGACCTCGAATGGTGTTGTAAGGGGATCAATTCGATAAACATGACTTACAACAACAACAAAAAAATAGATACCTGTGTAAATACACTTTTTCAGCGCAGTTTAAGGCAAAGGTATATTACCATACAAGAGAAGTTAACATATTTAAATAAGATATTTGAAAACCGCTCTTGCCCTATTTACATGAAGGGCTTTTTCAGTCGGGAGATTTTAGAGCTTCGAATCGTTGCTCTGTTGTTTTTCTCTTTAGGCTATTACAGTTGTATTAAAGTATATGGTCATTTATACCCATACTCTATCATTTGATCGATTTAAGAGTCGTTAACTCTAAAAAATAGTTATAGATAAGTAAGATTTTATCCACGTCAATGAAATTGTTTGCCACCTATGGGCTTTTTAACTACTTGTCTGACATCAATTTCTCAGTTGTCTTTAAATATTTCTAAGGCTTTTAGACTTCAGTTAAAAACATTTTCTTTGTTTCTTGAACTCAAAGTTTCAACTCCCCTATTATAAGTTTATTGATCTGTCTCTCCCCACCATCCACACGGAGAGACTATTGTCTGTTTGCCATCTCAACACGCAATAGGAGTGATCTCGTAATCTGTAGAAAGCTTGAGCGAAGACGTTTCTTTGGCACGAACGGCGACCGGTAGGCAAATGAAACTTTTGTCGAGATTAAAAAATCCATGTTACAGGAAAAAAAATCCAAGAACTTTATGCATAATGAAGTATCGGTGATAAATAGATTTCCTTTCCGGGGCATTTCGTAAAAGACTATGCCAAACTAGTATGATGATTATATGACGACTCCGTAATCATTCAAAACTTCCTGCAGGTTTTGAGCTTGCAATAAAATATATTAAAACTGCTTTACCATGTAATCTGTGATGTATCACAAAACCATAGAGTTAGAAATGTTATTAGCATGCAGCCTCTCCTCAACATTTGAATTAATTGAACACTAGCCTGAGGTGATGCAATAAGGCGAGTTTCTTGGGAGGGGGTTTATACCTCGATATAACTTTGAATTCGCTTTACTTATAACAAAGATATACGCAACATCAAGAGGGGAGGGTCTCTAATCAGATCATAAACGCTTCAGGGCTAAAAACATCGCCCATAAAATTGTTTTAAGGCTGTCCTTATTTCGCTATCTCGCCAACTGTAAAATAACGGATTTAGCGACGAGTTGAGAAAAACCAATGTCATTGTTGTGATATAAACATTTGACGCGGCATATCCTCTGTTGACAAAAATCAGTTGATGGTAAACTGCAAAAGGCATATAACAGCTCAAAAGCAAGATATATATTAGAAATATATTCACAGCAGATCTCACAAATCTTTTTACGCGCAATATGTTTTCGCCTTTGATGGCGTAGAACAATCAGGTAGATTTTCAAATGAACAGCAAAATTTCCAATTAGAATGCACATAATAACAATACTGATCATTTTGAAAACCAAGTAGAAATTCAATAACCAAAAAACTGAAAAAAGAGCTGCGTAAATCCAAATGATAATTACTACCACAGTGGCACGAAACGGTGTAACTTCTGCTTCATATCTCAAATGCAGTTGAACAGCAAGCAAACGGTCCACGGCTATTGCTGTAACGGAATAGAAAGACACTGTACAAGACACGCTACCCAAAATATTGAAGTAGAGTAAACCATCAGTCGTTGCTAAGTTTTCCAAATGAGCTACAAAAATAGGTTGGACAACCAAACCAATACTTAGGTCTGATACAGCGAGACTTGATAATAAAATATTCGACACTGAATGCAACGATGATGTCTTCCAAATGGTCAGTAGAATGCTCGAGTTTCCAAGCACCGCTGTACAGCAGAAAAAAAGATTTATATAACGTATGACGATCAAGTAATTTTCCGAAAACTCTTGCACAGAAATTCCTTCATCTTGTAAAGGGTTTTTTGTTGTTGTGTTATTAAACACCACTGCATCTTTTGAACTGTTCATTGCAACTCCGAGTATTTTACTGAAATATGAAGGTACGCCTATGATTTCTGCCTTAGATCTAATATTCATTCCGACTGAAATTCATTTATTATTTATATCATTGACTCTGACAATGTCAACAAGGATCAGTCATGTACTGATTAACCTTTTTGATCAGTACGTTCGATTTCAATAGGTTTTTTATCGAACAACCTGGCATGCCTTCGAGCTGTGATCTGATTGGCTAAGATGTGAGATAGCAAAGCAAATGTTCTCTTGCTAAATATGGGTAACCATAACAACCCTTGACGTTCATGTGAAGGGAAAATACGATATCCATTTATACTAAGAATAAAGAGGCTCTTGATGCACATATTTTAAAAATATAATAATAAATAATAAATATAATAAATATAATTTAAACTTAATCTTTCTTGCGTGATTAAACCGCGGAAAACATACGAACAGGTATTTCGACTTCTTTCCCGAGGTCAAAGTTCACAACAAATGTAGATAGAAATGTGATCGTTACTTGCTAAATATGACACAGCCTAAATTACACTTAAAAGTACATCATCCATAGTAAAGCTTGCATCCATAAATGCGGATAAACTCAACAAGGTGTAAGTTGTCGTAAGGTGACTTTTAAAAATTTTTTACACCAAACGGAAATTAGACTAGAAAGAGAGCGTTAGACTTGATTAGGCTCAACAATAAACCTTTAAGTGGCGAAAACATTCATGATTATTTTAAAAAAAAAATTTCTCGCTTGTGTCATGATTATGAGTAGGTCACTTACCGTTTGATTTTATTCAGGCGACTAGGTCGAATAGTTACGCATGCATGATGTCCCAATGTGATTGGCTTCTGGAGGCGAAGCTACATATGTCGTCGAGATGAGGGAGTGGGTGAGTGCAATAATAGAATTCTGATCTTGATCCAATTTGACTCGATGTTTCCCGGTGCTACATAATTTTTTTCGGGGTATCGTAGTAATTCGACATTCGCACTTGATACACAGTTGAGTTCTCTCCTTTTGTGATTTCTGGATTATCGACACTAGCACATTATATTTTCAGTCCTTGCCGTGACACTGACTCACGATCATTTCAGGATTGCGCGTGATTAATGAAAACCAAAAGTTTTCCTTGCAAAATGTCTTTATAGGTGTGATCGGCGCATCATGTAAGCTCTGAGGAAAATTTTTTATGCCTTGAAAAGATCAAGGCAAAAGGACATTATTTGGAGGAACTATTATTTCCACCTCCGAATTTTTATGATATTTACAGAGAGGTATAACACTGCGAGGGAGATTCCTGTGTATTAGCTTACTATAAAACTGTAAGTAAACTAACAGGTCGGCAGTTCGAGCATGATCTATGTTGTTAAAACGTGAAAAGGGAAGGCGGGATTTACATTCTTAAATACACACAAAATCAAACATGTTTCGACAAGTGCTAGAAAGCAGGTCTGTGTACACTGCGGGTGATTGCAAAAATAATTGATAGAAACAGATAAAACATGTAAAAGGTTTGACTTGTCTTGTAGGGTAAAATCACAATAATACCTATTACATATCTCCCTTCCTTTATAAATTTTTTTTAAGCAAGGGACGAAACTGCATCCTACTTCGTTTAACTAGACTTCTTGAAATTGTAAGTTTCTGTTTAAGTTCAGCGTCAGAGAACTTTTTCCTGCTCTTGGATTTTATCCTTTTATCTTTTCCGCTGAACTCTGCTCTTTCTCTGAAACTACAATAAATATTTGGCAAGGTTGTTCTATTTGGCGATATGCCATATTTAGATTTTTTTCCGACCTTTCCACTCCCTGTCTGCGTGTTACGCATTGGCTACTAACCTAAACGTCTTTATCTTAGTCAAGTTAATTTTGCCATAATTTCAATGGCAGGTTTAAACAGCACGTAGTATTTCAGATATTTCGGTTAACAATCCTTGCATCAAATCGCGTGACCGAAGCCCTCATGTGCTCGAAGCCCGCAAACTCTTAGAAGCTTCATATACCGAGGCCCACATGGACTCTTTGTAAAACTACAGTCTCGTTGCTCACAAAAGTAACCGAAATATTATCATCTGGCTTTTTCCATATTTGTGTATCAGTGAGTTTGAGCACGACCTACTGCACGTGGAAGGAAGTTACCGTGACAAGTGCTCGACATACGCTGACTAAGCATATTTTTTGCTTCATTTCACGAAGTATTATAACGATAGGCGTTTTCACAAAATAATGAAGACGTGCTCGCAAGACAGTTGATGTGAGGTTTACCTCTTTTGGATAATAACCTAAAATCAAAATAATTACGCTAATAACCCGGGCTTTCTCGCAGATTAGACAAGGCATGATATGTGTTTTCAAGGAAATAGTTCGAATAATATTGCTGCAAACCGGTTTTATCTCCGGTCTTGTTCAGGTTCCACAGGCTCGCAACACGTGGCAATCGATGTCAAATTTTTGTGTCAAATTTTCTTTTTGTCGACTACAAGTAAACGAAACGAAGAAGGTAGGGTATATATCAACAATATCATTATCCACTGTTTTGCTTTCTAAATCCAGGAGCCCCCTGGGCTCCTGATAAAACTAACTTAAATGTCCTGTTAGGCTTAAATTACCATTAAAGCCTTTTGCTTTTGGTATATAAAGGATTTTGTTGATCGGTAGTAAAAAAATTGTCGGTATGGATGCATATGTTTAGAGAATAACGAGATCGTTAACACAGTAGACTGCAACAACCAAATATCATATCAATATTTGAGCGAAAGTGTAGGGTGACAAAATCTCATGTAAGTCCAATTGTGTCACGAAAATGCTTAAGAAATTGCGCAGAATGTAAATTATGAAACGTGCTTTTGCGGTCTATTTTGAACATCTCTAAAAATACCCGGAACTGAACGACGCTAGAGTACTTTCGCTTTGCCAAATCGCGCTAGAAGTTTTAATGCACTTTACGATTGATCGAGACATTTGTTTTATTTGTATAAAATGAAATTCTTGATTAAGTTAGTAGATTTTTTATCATTGTTGTTATTATATTATGTTTGGTTGACCTTGAGTGACCGGGCAGGCACACGCACGTAACGTCGATTTGATTGCCTGCCCGGTCACTCAAGGTCAACCAAACATAATAAGAACAAAAATGATAAAAAAATCTAAAGGATACGAGAAAGGCGATAAGAGTGTTCGCTTCACACTGTAGCCGCTAAGACCTATTCTTGCAAAGGTAAATGAATACTTATGAATAGTATCGCCACTATAATGCCCTTGTCATAGTGCTACTGGTTAGAAAGATACTCAAGATGAAATTTTCTGTTGTCTCGTACCTCTAGCCGGTAGGACCTCTGATAAGGAGGCTTAGAAAATGCTACGGGCTAGAGGTACAGCTTACATATTTAGACAACTTTGCTCAATTGTTATTACGGTTTGCTTCACTTTTTATTTTTTCTGCACTCCAAATTAGTCTAACACTCCATTGAATCACCTTTTTTTAAGAATACTTATATACAGCTTATGTATGTAAAGTAAGCTTGAGATCATTAACATTGTTATGTTTTAAATTAATTTCAATTAATTTTAAACTAGCCTGATTTGTATTTTCTTCGGTTGTGGATTTATTTCTGTCAATACAAATATAACCAGTTTTAGATGAATTTGACTTGAAATTCATTTTAGACTTGAACATGTCAACCAGATTTACTGAAGTTTGTCATGTAATACTCTGCCTAAGTATGAGTGGAATTTCTTAGAAAGGAACAGTCTCTTTTGATCAATTAATTGAGATTATTGATTAGAAGTATTGTTAACAAGGCCAACCATTGTCTGAAGTACTAAAGTCAAGTCATCTTCAGGTAGTCATGGGATAACATGATTTAATTCACCAAATTATTGAATTGAAATTGAATCTCAATTCACCAAATTCCCTTTGTATTTTCAATGATATTTAACAGAATGTATGACTGCATGAAAACCTAAAGGCAAGTTATTCTTGAAAATATAGAATGGTCATCTACTATATGTATAGAATCTATACAATTATTTAAAAGAGATGAATCTGTGCCTGTGTTATTTATTGCATTTTTTAATAAAAATTGCAATAATTAAAAAGAAATCAAACCTTACTTATTCAAACACAACCAGAAACCCTTTGCTTGTTATGAAATAATGCTTGCTTTAGTTTAAGCTCATCCGTCATTTGATGCTCATAGCTTGTGAGCTGTGTTATCAAAAAAGCAGTGATAGGTACATGACCAAGGAGCGAGAAGATATTCTTGGAAGAAATGATTCTAATGTAGAATAAAACTAAAATGGGATGCCAAAAAGTAACATCCAAAGCAAACTAAAAATTGAGTAAAGTTGATTAAATATGCAAGCTGTACCTCTAGCTGGTAGTATTTTCTAAGCCTTTTAAAATCCTACCAGCTAGAGGTACAAGACCAAATAGAAAAATAAATGTAAATGTACTCTTGTAAAAAGTGATTCCAAGGAGTGTAAGACCACAACTTGGAGTGCAGAAAGTAAAATTTCGGGCAAACCAAAACAAAAAATGGGCCAAAGTCCACTAAGTATGTAAGGTGTACCTCAAGCTGGTAGTATTTTATAAGCCCCTTCAGATCCTACTAGCTAGAGGTTCAAGACCAAATAAAAATAAATTAGTGTATTCGTAATTCTTGAAAAAGGTGATTCAAAGTAGTTTAAGACTAATTTGGAGTGCAGAAAAAATAAAAAGTGAAGCAAACCGTAATAACAGTTGAGCAAAGTTGACTAAATATGTAAGCTGTACCTTTAGCCCGTAGCATTTTCTAAGCCTCCTGATCAGAGGTCCTACCGGCTAGAGGTACGAGACAATAGAAATTTCATCTTGGGGATCTTTCAAACCAGTAGCACTATGACAAGGGCATTCTAGTGGCGATACTATTCATAAGTTTAATTTACCTTTGCAAGCGTAGGTCTTAGCGGCTACAGTGTTAAGCGAACACTCTGCTGTACAGGAAACTTAAGATCGACGAGGGTGAAGGAAACAGCCGTACAAAATTTAGAAAAATTTTCTTTGATTTAAACTCAACAACAGTGTATTCTTCCATGTAAAGCATGTTATCATGTTCATGTCTGGTGCAATCGCGTCGCTTGACTGTTGGTAAATCGCAAATGGTGTTACTGAAATAGTCTGCCCCTGACTCGGAAACTTGTTGCTAATGCTCCTCGGGCGTACCTGCATACCCACATAGCATGGCACTGTACAAACCTGGTCCGCCATGTTGATCGGGGAAATAGAATGGTAGCCGGTAGGATTTAGGCACAACCTTTGCGGCAGACGTTCCCTCGCCTCCGTTTCACCTTGCGGGGGAGGTTACGGCCACACGTAGGCTATCTTATTTAGGGAATTCAGTTCTATAACTCATTCTAACTTTCAGTAAAATGTTCACATTTCGAAAAATTTATGGTTGTAAACCGACCATATTTCGTTCCCCATACTATTCCTTATAACGTGTTCAAATTTTCAACGGTTCCTCTCGTAACCTAACACCGAGTCACACAACAAGTGACGCGTTCAGGAATTAATCGTTGCCTTTTTCTCGAGACGTGAGTTTGGGCCGCTTGTGCTTCAACTTAACAAAATGCTACGAAATAATATTTTTAACAGTTTGCCTACCACCATGTTTCCTCAGATAAGCCTCCACGCTCTAAAAAATACCCCAACCCTTGCCTAAAACCCCTCTTGATTAAGCGCCCCTGCACTTTCCAATCGCTTTCTTGATGAACAAGAAAGAGTTCAAAGAAAAACTTTTTCTTACTCTATTTACACTCTCTCTTAGCCTTGCCACATCAGCTTCAGATCATGTTTCATTAGCACCCCCCCCCCCCTTAATTAAAAGTCCTCTATATAATAACTGTAGAACTGTGCCACTTTTTCGCAAAAATTTTAAACAAGAGCTTGAGCGCTTTATCCAAGTAAATACGGTATTTAAACATTTCATTAAACTTTCGCGCCAAAGAAAGTAGGATCTGTTGGCCATTAACCGTTTTAAACTGTGATAATGCGTTGCTGCTCAGTGTTTCAGATTCGTAACTCACGCCAGGATATCTTACTTTGCTTTACTCAGGTGATTTGCGATGCTGCAGGGTATACCATGCATCACCGTGACGATTTTTCTTTGGATGTCTGTCTCCGCCTCGCCAACATGCCCAGGTAACAACATAACCATCCGGAATCCAGTAACGGGGCATGTTCAGTGCCAGAAATGCCTCGTATGCCCAGCGGGGCAGGGACTCTCTGTGAACTGTGGTGATGTAATTACACCACAGACGGCCATAGTTTGCAAGCCGTGTGAACAAGGGATGACTTATTCATCCAAAAGCGAGGCTGGTGCATGCAAGACTTGTACGAATTGTGGAGAATATCGAGAGACCATAAAATCTTGTACTCTGACTTCTAATGCAGTGTGTGGGAAAAACTGCAAGCTTGGAGCTTACCCTGAAGGTATGGTAGGCATGTGTAGACCATGTTCAGCTTGTTGTAACGACGGGAACGATATCTTCGAGCCACAATGCCTAGTGCCAAGGGTGCCAAAAAATAAACAGTGCAGTGAGCTGAGATCAGAAAAGTGCAGCAAGAAGATAGCTTCTGTGAGAGTCAACACAACGGTGGAGGAGAATCACCCAGCGTCATCACCATCAACCCACACAGGATTACGAATGTCCCCCCCGGTCACAAGGCGCGCTGCACAGGATTCAGCCTTCACGAACGATGTCCCTCTATCAAATGGTGCCATAATTGGTATTGTAGTTGGCCTTGTATTTGTGGTTTTGATCCTGCCAACGGTTATCTTTATCGTAAAAACAAGGCGCAAATGGCAACCATGTGAAAAGGCTGATGATAAGGATCGGGAAATGCAACGTGCCACGGAGGCCAAAGAAGAAAGTGGTGAATGTAATAGAAAAGAAGAGCGTGACGAAGCAGGGTCTCCGGTGCCTCGCATAGGAGGGGTGGAGGAAACAGGACAACCGGGTCCACATAGCAGTTCAGGTGAAGTCTTAGAAGTAATATGTAAGGTCACTAGATTTACGGTGCCTGAACTAATTGAATAATGAAAGATAGAGGCGAAACGATCAGATGACAAAAATGTAGTGCCAACCTACAGTGTTAATCATTTGTGGTTCATTTCCATGTTTAATGACGTCAGAAGTTCTTAATAACGTCAGGGGTCAAAAACAGACTCGGTAACAACGTGCTGAAGTAAGTCATGTTGCCGAACGTTGGACGACATGGGAACTGTTCAACGAAGAGCATTTTATCGTCTAGATTATAAAGTAGTGCGACTAATTTTTAAAAAGATTTTCAGGTGGATTATGGATAAATAATGGTAGTCGTACCGAGTGGAGTGCAATTTGGTCCGAAATCATACGCGTTATTTCAAATGGAACAAGCGTGCACCGCGAGTTTGATTTGAAATCACAAGCATGATTTCAGAAAAAAATTGCGCGACACGAATTTCAGTCACCACTTTATTATATCCATTTTAGAATCGCAAAACTCAATCCCAACATGCAGGATTTTTGAGTCTGTACGAGTATTTATTGATCCAGTCCTGAGTTGGTTCGTAAAAGTTGTTAAAGTTCTTTCATTTTCGTGCAGTTTGATTGGTTACTTTACACAAGCCTTGAAATCTGATCGGTTGTTTTTTTTGGTGAAGCTTTCTCATTTGCTTGGAAAAATATGCGATTAAGAGCAAAAAATGGTGCAATTCGTGAATAATTCGCACTGATGAGAGCCAATCAGATTGTAAGGGTCATCAGTGATCTCAAAATGGATGTAATAAAGAGGATTACAATGGCTTTTTGATGGTCGATCACAAACGATATTGACATCTGAATCTCATATGGTTTTTATTCTGGTTCTTTAGCTTTAGACCGCAAGCCACTGGATTCCACTCAAGGATCACACCTGTAGCCTGAAGCCCAATGTCAACCAATGATTTGAGGAACTGGTCATTATTTATCGCCTGAGGAAGAGGGGTCGGGGGACTTTGGTTGTCGGTCGACATGAAGTTTACCTGATCCCCCCCAAAAATCCTCTGATCCCACTAACATTCAGGCGATGAAGAATGACTGGTCTGTAACGTCAAATGTCAATCACAGAGAGCCCAAATTGAGGTCCCTAATCTTTAGCACAGAGCGATGCAATGAAATGAAAATCCAATTAAAGGAAACGAAAGAAATTTGTTGTCCCCAAGGATCTAGAGTAGGTACTATGAAGTGTTTCCACGCAAAAATTGATTTTCTAGATTAATTATAAATTTTAATGTGTGTTAAGTGAGTTGTAATTCCGTTACCGTTAAAGAACAGAGTCAACGTTACAATTAAAAGTAACATGTAATTGGGAGCGGCATATGATAATCAAATTAGTTCTGCGGACAGTGATGTGAAATTAGGTATTTGCGGGGCGTTTTTTTTTTGTTTGTCAAGTAAAGCCATTTTTAATAGGAAATTAGTGCTCACGAATCGTTGAAGAACGTGAGTAAGTCTTGAATCCCGCACGAAATTACGTCCCTGAGTGTGGATTTCCTTAGCTAATAAATGTAACATTCTTGTAACTTTAAGATTAGATTGCAACAGAGTAGATAGATCGCAGAACGGAATGTGTAATGCTGAATTGTCGACAATAAATCCTGAATCAAGTGAAAGTATACAATCCAAGATTACTGAACCAGCGTGTGCGGAATTCTCAGTAACGCAAGTGAGAAATTCTGCGAAACCGGAATTATCAGATGCTTAATTATCGGCGTCGTAAGCGAAAGACTGTGTACACGGAGAGCCTGAGAGCTGGCATTGTGTTCGAGTGGTTCTTCTGCTTTTTCTTGCGACTCTGACAATCTAGTTTTCACTGGATCATACGTATCTAAGTCATAGTGGAATCAGAAGCAATTGAAACCGTTCTAATTCTTCTGACTCCGATTCCATCGTGAGTATAACTCTGCTCAAGACTCCGATTTCTGATTTTCACTTAAAAAATAGTCTACGACTCCGACCACGACTCAGTCGCCGGTGAAAACCAGCCTTAGCAGAGTGCCTTTCAACTGAATATTGTAAAATTTCAAAAAGGCAACATAATCACAGTGATCAATAAGGGGAAATTACAATATCACAATTAAGGGGCGCGAGTTATCCCGGCCATTGAATCAATTGAGGAACCAGAGCAGAACTAAGGCCATCCTGGATTTCAATTTGGACACTCAAATGAGCAATGTTTGCATCATTGCATAATTCTTATAGAGAATTAAAAGAAAGAAAATTAAATTGATTTTGTAATATTTGGTGTCCTTATGTTTTATTAAGGGGATCTTGGTTGGTTTTTTGATCCTTTCCCTAATATTTTGTTTTTTCTTCAGCGTCAAGGACTAACTAACTTAGCACAGAAGACCACATCCTTGCGTGCTCATTCGTGATTTGTCTAAGTTTCAAGCTATCTGGAAAATTTTCCGTTACATCAAAAAACAATATCCAATATTTCTCAGTGGTTTTCCCGCCATCTTGATCGCTTAGTTGTTGCCATGGCATCATCATCACACATATCACGTGACTTTTGCTGTGCAGCCATGACAGTACAAAACAGAACAAGGCCGTGGAGTGATAAATAAGTCTTGCGATACTTTAAGGTTTTCTGCGGATTCCTGAATTTTATACGTGTCAGATTTATTTCTTGGAATGACAATTGGTTCAAGGATGTCTTACGACGCCTCTTACGTGAAGGCTAGGAAGAAGTAAGTGGAATTTAATGCATAGGAGTACTCATATTAGCAGTGCTTTAATGTAATTAAAATCCCATAGCCTATGCTTACTAATGCACAGATTTGATCAAAAGTTTTTATTCCTGCAAGTTTACGAGGATTTTTAGGGGTCGTCTTTAAAAATACGAAATTTTTTATTTTAATATTTGGTTTGCAAACTTGATTTTAGTCAGCTTACTGTCGCTGATGTTTTCGTTTATCGATTTTACTTCAGATTTTCCGGTATTATTTTAACTCGATCTGACGAAATGTTTCATCGTCTTAAATGAACGGGAAGTGTATTAAACCTAGTCTTGAAATCTCTTTCTTGGAATTTTTGATGGCAACAACGATTTTCTGTTCACTGCGAGAAAAAAAAGAAGAAAAAAAAGGGGTTTGCAACAACAGTCATGCCAAAATTGAGGAATTAAGGAGGATTTAACTTCAGTCTTCCTTCTTCTCCTTCCAAGTGTCCGCCTACTTTAGAAATAATGCGTCCAATCATTTCAGAAGTCTCTAACATGGACTGTAAAGCTAACTGGAGCCAAAAAAGTCAAGAAACTTGACGTTTTTTTTATTTTTTGTCTAGTTCAACATATTCTCCATTGTCTTCCTCAAAAGCACCTGCGCTTAACAAGAGGGGCTACAATCCTTTAACTGCATTGCAGTTCCCATTGTAGTTTCATTGCTGTGAGTCCAAATGAAATCTGAAAAGATGGCAGTTATAGGCCTTATTAGCAGGAAGATGCCTGGTAACCAGCTTTTATAGAAACCTCAAAATTGCCCTTTATGCAGGGAGTGGATATGACAGTATAACATGGATCAGGGTTGTCCAGGGGTTTTATTAAATGCTGGTTACTGGAAGTCTATTGTTGCTTATAAGACCTCTTAACACCATCAATTTAGCTTGTGAGCAAGCTTTTGTCTTTGAATTTAGCTTTATGACCCTGTTCTGGTTACATCTGCCTATTACACCGTTGGCAATAGCTAATGGAAAAAGTTATGGAAACCCCTGGGTACTTCATTCTGGATTGAGGAGTTTCTCCTTTTAATGGTCTTGATACTATATGCTGAAGTTTCTTCTTTGATAATTAATTGTTATTGGTTTTTTTTATGGAAGGGCTGTGAAACAGCTTAAAAACAGCAATGCACAACAGTTGGAAATAGAAACACTGAAAATGGAAGAGAGGATACGTGCTTTGAAAGAACAAATGTTTAAAGAAAAAGAGGAAAGAGAGTGAGTTTTGACTGCTGATCATACATGGAGTACTGTTCAAGTCTTTAATCACACTGCCCATTACTTTCTGATAGGAAGATAACCACCCATTATTTTAGAGAAGAAACTAAGTGCCAACTTTTAGACAAGTAAATAATTGTGTATGATTTCTTCTCATTTTCATACTTGGCTGTAAAGCTTATCAATCATATTTGATTTCAGTGCTCAAATGTTTGGTTAAGCCACTCAGGCTACTTTGGAATTTGTTTAGAATCTTAGATTACCTAACTTGTCATCTTAAGGGAGTTCTACTGTTCAAAATTCTTGTTTCTTTTTTCTAATATTTACTTTTCAGGTTAAAAAAAAAACTTCTATTTCACCCCAAAGTAAACAATATACCAAATTTCCAACATGACTAAAATTCACACTTGTATATTTTATTTGCCCTTTATAATTCTCCCTCTAAAACAAAGATTTGGTGAATTCAAAGGAAAGAATAGATAAACCACAAGGTGCACTTAAATATTATTTGGTTGAGAAAAGAAATATACAGGCACTATAGAAGTTGTGCTATAGTTATTATAATAATTATAGTTATTTTGGCTGTTCTGTCCTTGTTGTAGATAAATTTAAAGATGTTCCTTTTCTTTTTTCTTTTGGTGCAGAAAGCAAGGTGGTATACGATGGGCATCTGGCAAATCAGGACCTCTTAATAGTCATGCACAAGATGTGCTAAAGAAAAAGAACTTGAAAACTGATAAAGTAGGTGATTAGAATCTCTCTGGAAACTGTTCTGAGCAAACTTTTGATTTATAGGGGTTGTGGTAGCATTTAATTTTTTTAGTGGATTCATTTGACACATGAATAAGTCTAGAATTTGTTACAGTATGGGCCTACATGTGATAGTGACAAGTCCCTTTACAACATGAATGACAATGGAGAGGTTGTGATGTAGATAGATAGGGGTGCAATATAATGAATATTTTTTTGAAGGGTTAAGAGTTTGAAATAAGATTGTATGGGGAATGTCTCCCTCTAGAAAGTTTTCGCCTGCTAGGGAAATGCCCATTGCAAAGGATTGTTGTTTTTGATTTCTTGTTTTATTTGTATGTTAACAGACTCCAAAGAAAATAAAGATTCTTGGGGATGAACCTTTGCGTAAGTATGGTCTAAAAATGACTTCTTAAGGATTCTGTTTATCAAAATCTCAATTGAATATGATGTAGCGATCTTCGCTGTGATGAACACTACCTAAACAGCAATGAAAGCAAGGCCAGGAAAGAATGCAGGCCTGTACCTGTGCAATACTGATACAGTACTCTACTCCACTCGCAGAGGTCATGGGTTCAAATCCAGTACAGGCCTGAATTTTTTCCAGGCCTTACTTTCACTACTGCTTAAGTAGTGTTCATCACTGAAATGATTGCTTTCATGCTCATTTCTTAATCAGCAGTTCTCATATATGATTTTCATATATTCACAGTCATTTAAAATCTCAATTATCAACAAAAGATTAAATGCTTAGACTTGCTCAAAAAAAAAAAGTATGTTTTTCTTTAAACTTCAGACTCTTACAAGAAGAAAGTAACTCCAAGAGTTCAGCAACAAGACAACTTTGGCACATCAGGATGTGGTCAGTGTGAGAGGACAAAGGCAACTTTGGTACATAAATTTCTTTTTTAAAACCTTCATTTTACCTCTCAGAAACTGTTTTCTGCTTTCATTAAGCACCTATTGTAGCAGTGTTTCCTATGAAAATATTACTTCATTTGCTGTACTTAAGTTCCTAGTTAGTTTTAAAGGGTTTTCAAGACTTATTTTATGTAACACTCGTTGAAAAAGCTATTGTAAGTGTAGTGGTTAGCTCATTGTGTTTGACTTATTTTTGCAGGTCTGCATTGAGTGCGAGGAAAAGTACTGTGTTAGTTGCTTTATGTCATTCCATCAGAAAGGTGCTCTTACCAAACACACCACACAGTCCCTTGAACAGGTACAGCACTATCTCTTTCACTATTTTTTATTTTTCACCGTTACAAGTTTATTCTATCGATAACAATAGAAATAAGTTTCATGTGACCGGCAGATGAAAATTCAGTCATAGAAACAGTCCAGGCTGGTGGACGGCAATTTTAGCAATTGCAGAAAGAAAGTGTGAAAAATTTAATTCTATAGGTAGCTTTGGAATTATTGATTTTTCAACTGCTTACTTTTTCAAAAGATATTTTAAATGGATGAATTTTTAATAATTTTTATTGTGCCTTGAATATTGTAATCTTTTATTGGATGATGTTTTATTTATTAAAAATACTTTGTTTATTATTGGTTTTGGTTTTATCCTTGTCCCAGTATGAAGCAGAGCTACAGATCGAAAGAGACAGTGATTATACGAAGCATGAAATAATATCTTCAATGAGTACTTCAAGGTACACAATATTCATATTCTATTCAATAATTTAGACACCTTAAGATCAAGGTTTACTGCACACTGCAAACCACAGTTTCAAGGTTGCCTTGTGCAAATTGGAATATAACAATTTTTTTGTCTTTTTTGTAGGTTTTCCAGCAGTGATCAGGCTAGATCTTCTCAGGTAGGTGGCATTAAATGTTCACAGTTTTAAACCCCAAATTACTTTTATAACATTATGTAAGCTTTGACTAGTTCTAATTCAGAAGCTAAATTTCGGCCTTAAATACACTCACACTCTCAAATTCAGGCCTGGTATAACAAATCTTTGTCTCTTTCAAGGATTAACACAGCACCAGTGTCTACATAATGATGGTTTTAAGAAATAAATTTGTTAAAAAACTTGCTGAAAATTTACTTGTCACCAGCATGGGACCAAGAAAAACTTAGAGTCCAAGTGAAGATTTGTACCCCAGCTAGTTTAAATCCAGCTTAGGTTTTTATCAACTGAGCTGAAGAGAACTGTTTGACAGGCTACTCTATATACTCGGTTCATACGTGAAAAATGTTTCGCAAACTACCTTGGTTCTGTTTTGCAGATGAATAATTCAAGAGGAAAGGGCGGGGGAGCATTATTACAAGGCTCATACAACGAAGAAGAAAGCGCACAATCGTTTGCACAGGCTCTCATGGAATGGAGAAATTCTGGAAAAGAGGAAAAAATGCAGAAGAATCCGACAAATGCAAAAAGTATGCGAATTTTGTTTGAGTCCTTTCTTCACCTTGTGATAGGTTGTAGCTGATAAGAATGGCTGGATAAGCTAATTAGCTTTAGGTCCAGCCTGATGAAACTCAAAATCGCTCGCCTACTTTACGAACAGATGTACAGTAGTAAAATGGGAGGGTTACAGATTAGATCATCGGTTTGAAAGGGGTGTAAGGAATGCATAAACTTTGATTTTCCGAGCGGCTTTCTTCGTAATTTATCAGGCAGAAGTAGTTATCTTGACTTAATATTTACATGGAAATGTATAGCAGTTACAGGAGAGAAATCACAATCAGATCTTGGGAGTTAAAGGGTTAACTGACTGACATGTTCACCCTAATGTGCTCTTAATTTCAGGTAGCTCTTGTGAGACAGGTACTACCCCACAACCAACCAGACACCAAGAAGTGAAGGTCAATTTTGGACCGAACAAGTCATTAAGTTATCTTGACCGCATGCTGCTCAAGAAACTCCAAGGCGATCAAACGTTTGGCGGTCCACAAGCACCTTCTAAAGGAAAGAAATACAACAGTTCAGAACTGTCATTAAATACGAACAGTGATACTAGTGAAAGTCCAAAGAATGAAAACCAGCTGGGAACGAATTACAGAGAAATTTTCCAAAGCCTTGGGGCTCCGGACAGGAAAGCTAGCCAAGAAAATTTTCAAATGCCACCCAAAAGTGTGATTTCTATTGAAGAAGTGAACGACGCTGATTTGAGCGGAGAGGAGACAACTGCCTGTATAGTCGAGGAAGAGGACTTTAACCCTCATCCCCAGCGTAGGCCTTTATCACGCACCGGTAGGGTCAGCGTTATGTGTATGACCCCCACGGGGAGGTTCGAAGCTAATACAGACGCGCTGGTGGTAGAGGATATAGCATCGGTACCCGCTCAAAGTCTCTCTTTGGGGCAGGCCACGCCCCGTTCAAAGCAGACATCACGTAGTACAAGTTCTCGTCAGGGACTCCATATGAGAACAAAATCACAACTTGATGGGTCGGTAGGGAGAGTGTGGAGTCCTCAGCCCCATCATGTTGGTTTGTCGGAGTTTTTCCTCGCTGGTGTCCGGGGTGAATCGGTTTCAGGGAGAACGTCTCGCGAAAGGAAGACCATTTTTGACCCAGTATTAGTGAAACCCGAAAGATTAAGCAAAGCTCTGTTATCACAACATGTATGGAAACCACAAGAAAGCGTGTTTTCTAGTAACGATATTGACAGGTCAAATAAGCAACAGCAACAACCACAACTGGGTAAAGATGGTGATAAGGAAGCCCGCACAGACAGCCCTCGCCCTGTTATACCTCTTTTACGAGCACCAGAGTTGCTGGAGACAAGAAACGATAGACCAGATTCACAGTCATCTACGATAGTCCCACCCACGGCAAGTGACTCCGGATTCACGAATGATACCATGATTCACGACTTTGGAATCGTAGATTTCCTCAGGGCTCCACCATACCTGCCCAAAGGCTTTGAAGATTATAGTCAAGTACATCGTGTTTCCACAGTTTCTCCACTGACTCTCAGCCCAAACCCTCCTAGTTTTCATTGGTCGGATGATAGCGATGACGACTTTCTCGCACAAGTCTGCTTCCAAGGAAATCAAGATGACCAGAGAGCGGACCAAGACGAGGATGACCGCGCCACCTTGACTAACCTGGCCTGGGAATTAGCCTCGACTACAGGCCGGTTGACGCAGTGTGAATTAGACGACAAGGAAGGGGAGGGTGAGGAGGAATTTGACGAGGACAGTATTGAGAGTAATGACTTTGGGTCTGGGTTGAGTTCAAGCGAAGAAGACAATACCTCAGCTGATACTTACAGTGCAAATATTGACAGTGTAAAACACAACGACGATAATACTCTAGCGGAAGAAGAAGTACATGCCTTGGAGTAAATTTCAAAGGTTTTCGTTTTCACGGTTTTTCGTTTTTCTCCTAGTAGATAGATACCACAACTCATGTTTTGACACACTCCATCATGCTTATCGATCAGCTTTTGACGAAAAAGGAAACATAAGAGGAAAAAAAATGATAAAAAGTAGAAAATTAGGGCGCTTTTCGATTGAGTGTCGGCCTTAGAAGGTTAGACTGAACCCGTAGTCACGTGAAACAAAATTTACCAATCACATCGTTGGAAACGAACACTAATAGAACTAAGGACCATTGCCAGCAAAGGTCACAATGAGTGTAGGAAAAATTTGTTGCTCTTTTCCTATTGGTATTGGCCAGTTTTGCGTAATTGACCCCGATAACGGAAGTTGCACTGTAAAATAGCCAATAAGACATGCAACAACAAATTTCATCTGATTGTTGGTTAGGCTTAACTAGCGGAATCACACACCATCTGAAACAAAACCACAGTTAATAAGTATTGTTTTCGACACTCATTTTTATCTAGCTCTGTTAAGCTCTTTACAGAGTTTTCTATCATTTGTTGAAGTGGCGGAGCAAAAATCTTAACGTGTGGGCAACTGTGGGCAGGGTTCAACTCTTTCATTCCCAAGATCACTTAAGTCATTCTCCTTACTGTCTACCATACGATTGTTGATGTAAGTGCGGAGAATTTGATATTAGATCAGTAATTAATCCCCTAATTTATACTTTTATTAATTTTCATCACTTGTCTGCGTCATATTATATTGATATTGTAAGGAAAAAAATCTGTCTTGATCACTCGTAGGAGTAAAAGAGTAACATTTACCTTTGAAATAAGGAGTCGTTGGAAGAAAAAACAAAGTTTTGGCTGATATGTTAGCTGGCGTTGTATGTTGTATTTATTTATTGTCACCTTTCGGTATACAGTCGAGTTAACTGTGTTGAAAAGATAACGTGCTTAACAGTTGCAGTCACGTTTTTGTTCCTTTTTTAAATTTCAAAATCATCGTGTCATCAAAGCGATATACCACTTTTGAAATAGCAGTCAAGCTTGTGTTTCTGTATTTCATTCTTTCTTGGGTTTTTTTTCAGTCAGCTTGCAACACAACCAACGACAGCATCTACATGCAAACCATATCGCAACGATAATTAATGTTACTATGGCAACAAGAAATGCCATGACGTCGAGTAAGTACCGTTTGTACCAAGGCATGTTAAACACTTGAGCTCTGAGGTGCTGAGCTCCTCCATGTCTGATTACATACTCCAGCCAATCACCGGTTTCTTCTAAAGGTGTTCGTCGACGATCCTTTAACAGGCTAGAGACGTGAAGCACTTTTGTTTTAAATCTAAGGAAAGGAAGGCAAACGATCACATTTTACTCAGACGTACCATAATGCATCATTCAAAGTACACCAAGGAGATCTGCGATACTTGGACTATTCCCGCGACAGTGGTCTCCTCCTTAGCCGCTCGTTACAAGGTCATGCAACATTGCGTGACTTTCTTTAAAGCGGCTGTGAAGAAGACCACGTGACAGCTGTTACATCGTTATTTCACGGTACATCAGTCATACCTGGGTTCACTAATAACGTGTTGAATTGTGTCAAAAAGCTCCTGAGCGTTACAGCCTTTAGGATCCACAGCCAAACCAATACCCAAATTTTCTGCTTGCTTGGCATTGTAATGTTGGTCTCCATATTGAGGGAAAGCTACTAAAGGAACTCCGTGGTATGCTGACTCATAAAGGCTGTTGTGTCCAACATGGGAGACAAAAGCTTTGATATTCTTGTGAGCCAATAGATCATTCTGAGGTAACCACTCCACGACTTTAATGTTAGATCCCAAGAACGATGGAATATAACCTGTGAGAGAAGATAACAGGTTATAGGAAACACAAGGAATAAAATTGTGTCAACAATCCGCAATAAAATAGTCGCAGACAGATTAGCGTTCGGATCTTTTTCTGTAAGGGAAAGCAGCGTGAGAGCAAACAACTAGTTATACGAAACACAAGGAATGAAATTGTGTCAACAATCCACAATGACAACCGAAAACAAATCGGCATGCGGATCTTCTCCGTTAGGGACAGCTGTGTATATAACGCTTAGGCTTCTCATGGGAGCTACGTTCGATTTTCCAAAGTTGTTATTTGCTAATCTATCCAATCTTCCCATCCCGATCAACCATCCTTCTGTTCTTGGCATATTGATTTTCATTCAGTGCGTATACGCGTGCGCGTGTTTGTTTTCTTCATCTTACCGCAGTGGTAGTTTTCTGTTCTCAGTAAGCCGAGGAATCGCAATGTCACGACCTAATGTAACTCACTGACATTACATTGTTATTTGGCATAGTAATTAAGGAATTTCAATACGTACGAAAACGAAATCGTGTCACTTAGGTAAAAGGAATAACCTTGATCATTTAACTTCCATGAGTGACCAAGACAGAATTTCTCCTTACAATATCAATACATAATCAAGCAGACAAGTGATGAGAAAAAAGAAGGAAATTCAATTAGAGGACTACAAGTGGATTCAATACCAAATTCTCCAAACTGACATCATGAGTATTTTATGGCAGACAGTAGGAAGAATTACTAATGAGATCTTGAGGGTGAAGGGGTGAAAGTAAACGTTTAAAGGAAAGTAGTGATAAAAATACTATTGATACCTTTAAGTCTCCAAACAACTCTCTGTTTCAACTTTCCAAATGCTGTTGCTAACATGTCCACAACTGTTCTTGGAAGAATCGAAGCCAAGTTTGATCCAAAGGAAACAATGATAAAACCATCCCCTCCTGGATTATCGACGAATTCTTCTAGATCAGGAGGGAGTGGTTTACCTTCTCTGACACTCAGTGGTCCAACCATAATATTCCCTTTTCAAAATAATACGAACAGAGATGAAACATTCACGAATGCGTTTTATTTACCAACAGAGACAGAAGAAGTTGAGATATTTTAAGGCTTTCCTTTCTTTTTCTTCTTTTCCTTATATTTTTTCCATTGCTATCCCCCCGCATTTTCACTCACCTTGGTTTCACTTTCACAGCTTGTTTTGGAGCGTCACGCAACAACCCTCGTGACATCCCCAAGAAAGGACATTATTACCCACCCTATTCTTTTTCTGTGATACACATGCCGCGCTAATCGACGGCGTAACGAGGAGAGGTCTTATGGCGCCCGTGTCCCCGCCCCAGCCCTTTGCGCGGGGGGGGGGAGGAGCTGTTTTAAGTCGACAACAAACAAACTTTACAATTGAGGTGGCAAAAGGGGACATAGCAGAAGAATCTACGCGGTATGCATCACTCATTGTTCATCCGAAAAATTCACTTTCGGTAAAACACAGAATGGATGTCGAAATGACAGTTAGGTAGATACCCTGGGTGTGATACTGTGTAACACCTCTCTCCACCCCCCCCCCTTCCTCCAACCCCCTTCCTCCACCCCCCCTTCCTCCACCCCCCCTTCCTTTGAAATAACTAAGTACACCCCTGTTGATACACCATTTTGCCCTTTAAACTTTAAACTTTAAACCAGGAGACATTCTGTTGCTTTAAACTGCGTACCATCCGGCATAATGAGGTTGAGAAAAACTTACCTGGCAAAAGAGGTTGGGCGAACTCTATGGCAAAATCTGCTCTGATTAAAACAAGTTCCACACCATCGACAGTCTCCTGGAAGCTCTTATCAGTTGTAATGTTGTATTTGAGTTTCAAGGCATTCATTGGCCTTGCCAATATCAGATCTTTACAGAAACTTAGTCCAATGTACACGACTACATTGGTAACTCGTTGCAAAAATGTCATTTTGTCCGTGAACCCCGGAAGAACCATCAAAGGGATGTAGGAAAGAGGTGTAGGTATCATATGATCAAAAGGGCTATTAGGACTCACAAAAATCTGTACCCTTGGAATGCCAAGGCGGTCACCAATAAGGGCACCACATACTCCAAGCACGTCGTACACAAGAAGATCATAGCCCCTAAGTTCCTCCATAATCTTTGTATCGTTTAAAACACTATCGCACACGGTGGATATTACCTCCATCAGTTTGGACACAAGCCGAAACTTGTCACCTTCCAGTTCGAGCTTTAGCATATCATTTTCCAAGAAGCCAGGCTTATACGGTACTTTGAAAATCTTGTGTTGTACTCGGTCACTAAGCTGAACTTTCTCAGTCGACGGAATGACCATTGTTACCTGGCATGAAACACAAAAAGTCAACTTTCTGGAAAAGAGGTACTCTGATCCCGAAGAAAAATAAATGTTGCGCTGGATATCTTATATCAGTGTGGGGTAAAAGACTACAGCGAAACAAGAAAAGGTATGAAGATTGATTGATCAAGACGCTATCCAGATAACAAGTGAAAAATCAACAAAAGACTTCTTGATTCTCTCTTAAAACTGTCTGTTTATTCTCTCTTAAAATTGTCTGTTTATTAGTCTGTATTTCGAAACGTTTGTGTGACAGGTGTACAAAGGAAAGTGAGAAAGTAGAGTTGAATTTGTGCCCAGTTTTAGCTGGGATTCCCTCTGCCCCCACATTGTGCGCTGGCCATGCAAGTTCTACTCTGAAGTCTGTAACTCGCACTGATTGAGTCCCTTCTATGAAGAGGTTGGACTAGCCCGCCATTAACAGTCCGCTGTCCGTAGTCTATACTGCGATGTCTATGTTCTATTATTTCTGAGTCTAAAGTCATTGGCAGAATACCTTTTAAAATAAAGTTTAAGAAGCTGACATGTACTCTCTCATTCCAAAGTTTATTCCATGCAATGAAAGAAAAACGCTTTCAAGTGAGAAACATCACTTGAGAAATATCATTTTGATTTTCGACATGACCAATCCAAGGGATTTTAAACTTCATAATCTCTTGGCCCAATCGCGTGCCAGCGAAAATTTCTCCCTATTTTTAAGAGAAAAGCACCCTGGGAACGAAGTTGCGAAAATGGTCTCCAGAGATGGGTTACTCCTCGACTATCTCGGTAAGGGAATGAATGAAGGGGGTAATTTCTAGAGAAACTGTGGCGTTGTGTCGGTGGGAGAGTATAACAGGGTAATTTTGTATTATCACCTGAGTTGATAATGTAAATTTGTCACCGTTAAGTTAAAGGGCTAAGTGTTTTAAAGCTAACGTTTCGAGCGTTAGCCCTTCGTCAGAGCAAAGGACGAAGGGCTAGTTAACGCTCGAAACGTCAGCTTTCAAACTCTCAATCCTTTAACTCCCAAGATCTCATTAGTAATTCTCCTTACTGTCTACCATAGAGATCTTGTGATGTTAGTTTGGAGAATTGTTTATTGAATCGACTTATAATCCCCTAACTGATATTTTTCTTTATTCTCATCACTTGTCTGCTTGATATTGTATTGATATTGTAAGGAGAAATTATGTCTTGGTCACTCATGAGAGTTGAAGGGTTAACGCTGGCCAATTTACGTTATCAACTCAGTTGACAATATCCAATTATCTTGGTAGGGGTTTGAAGCCGAGTTTTCTCAATTCTTACCCTAATTGTATCCGATTTAAGACCATAATAGTCAAAATCTAAACCCGTACGTTTTTGTAATCACAAAGCACAAAAATCAAATGCTTTAGGGCCGTACATGCCTCTGTCACTACTATCAGAAAAATCAACCCCCGCGAGGGTTTAATTGACAGCCAGTAGGCGACTATTTAAAGAAATCAGTCAATCGTGGAATAGACCTTAGTACCAAAATAATGGTTTTCTATACGTTTTTGTTATTCAAATTGTAAATTTCCACAAAAAACGTCTTTGTAATGCATGTTGTAGTAATCTCTGCCTCTTAAAATTCAATTATTCGCAAGATATTGCGCAGATCAGGGCTTGCTTGACTCCTAAATAAACACACAACCAGTTTTGATTTGCATGATATCGACGTCACGGGATGATTTGCTATTTAACATGACTTTGATCAATTTCACCTCTTCTTAGTTTTGCATCTTATGGACTATAAAGTGTCATGACGGTTCTCGCGGTAAATGTTATTAGCTTCTGTGTTTCACTGTATATCCAGATAAATCAAGTGAAGGTAAAGATAATGGTAATCCCCTACATCGAGCCATGTTGAGCCGTTAAATGTTGTTTTGCTATTTGTTCATCGCAACCTTAACACATTTCAGGCGAAAAAGAATGTGTAATCACTCTAAAGAAGGTTTATTAACCTTCCACCGCAGATTTTGATCAAAATTCTCCTACCTCGTGTCCTCGAGAAGCCAATTCTTCCAGAATACTCCTTAGGTTCATGTATTGTGATTTTCCTATCGTGCAAAAGGCAACAATTCGAGCTGAAAAAGCCGAATTGACCGTCAATGATAGTAAAAGCAAAGCAAGCAACGCCATCTTTGGGCTGAAACTCTTTCAATGCTAAGTTTGCTGCGTCAGTCGGATTACTTTGAGAAGTAGTCACGCAATCTGTTAGAACCAGATCTAATAAATAATGATGCAATAAAAGAAAAAACAATAGCATAATGCAATATTGACCCCAGATATATATTTCCGGCGATAACGTCACTACTCCACGGTCCATGTTGGGCAGGAGTTTCCCGGACAAGGACCTATCTTTTTCCCCGAAAAACCAAAGTAATTTGCAAGTGGATCTACGTAGAATACAGACCTTACCGGGGAGAATCGTATGGTAAATTGCTCGGCTCAAATTCATGACTTTAAAACTAAAAACCAAATAATTATCATTCGGCCCATTCTTACTCAATCAACAAGCAAGTTATTAAATGAACGCCGCGCTTTCTCTTCGTTTCTTTTTCCATTTTGGATCTCGTGGGGCCGTATGCTGGGTTAGGCAGCTTTTTCTGACCTTTCCTGAATGTGTTTAAGGGATTCTCCCCTTTTTTAAGAGATGATCGGAGGTTTTGTAGAAATTGTTTTCAGCAAGGACTGATTGTGTATCAGACTCCAATATTATGACAGAAGGCAATAAACGTTCGTGACCCTTTGGCTTTTGTACGTGTATGTTCAGGTCTCTTTAATGTTCCACATCGACGGCAGAATAGCTCATTGCTCACAAATTCTTTTCCACATTTGTTGTAGAACATCGCAATACACTTGGTACAGTTTAGTCCGCTCGCAAAGTGAGTCTAAGGCGACCTAATGCAACCTAGTGCGACACGATGTGCTGTATCGTGACAAAGTGCTGACTTCTGGCGCAAGTATCACGTGACTATTTTCCTCGATTTGCGAAATTTTCTGGATTTTGGAAAGATTCTTGGATTGAGAACTATTTTCGATTTTCGCGAATGTTATTTGTGGATCTATTAATTAAACCAGGATTTAAAATTGTTTTCTCGATTTGACAAACTTTTTAAAAGCGATATGTCTAAAAGATATTGATTCCGAATATTTTTTCGGTTTTACAAAATATTTTTGGATTGTCCCTTTTCGGCTTCCATATTATTCAGTAATGTTCACTGAGCCTGAGGTGAATAATTGTTTTTGTGTAATTGCTCAGGTACTTTCGAGTTCTGTTGTAAATCGTTTTGTTGTTGAAACCATTCTGTTACAACTAGAATTTAACAGGTTTAAATAGTTCGATCAGCAGAAACTTCATATCTTTCTTTTGAAAAGTGTTACCCCAAACTTAGAAGTATCTTTCGTGCTCTTCAGAACTATATTTTCTTTTATCTCATTGATTACTCCCTGAGTAACATTGACAAAACGCGAGGCAGTTGTTTTGAAATTTAGCATCCCTACGATAATCACCTCGCGCGAGATGATTATAGCGAGATATGACACACTTCTCGACCAATCAGAGCGTGTGCATCCCTCTGGTCACCGCAGCAGTTATACCAGTTTTATTTCCCAGATAGCCGTTTCGACATCCAGATGTCGTAAAAAGCGACAGTAGAAGAAATTATATTTTGATTGGTGCATAAATCAAACGTTTCAATCTTTGCTAGAAAAGTAACAATGAGTCGTATGTCCTAATTAATGATACACTCATTATCACTTTTGAAATAGCAGTCAAGCCGGTGTTTCCGTATTTTATTCTTTCTTAGGTCTGCTTTCAGTCAGTTTGCAACACAACCGACGACAGAATCTACATGCAAACCATATTGCAACGATAATCAATGTTACTATGGCAACAAGAAATGCCATGACGTCGAGTAAGTAGTGTTGGTACCAAGGCATGTTAAACACTTGAGCTCTGAGGTGCTGAGCTCCTCCATGTCTGATTACATACTCCAGCCAATCACCGGTTTCTTCTAAAGATGTTCGTCGACGATCCTTTAACAGGCTAGAGACATGTAGCACTTTTGTTTTAAATCTAAGGAAAGGAAGGCAAATGATCACATTTTACTGAGACGTACCATAATGCCGCTATTCAAAGTAAACCAAGGAGATCTGCTGATACTTGGATTATTTCCACGACAATGGTCTCCTCCTTGGTCGCTCGTTACAAGGTCATGCAACATTGCGTGACTTCCTAAAAAGCGGCCGTGAAGAAGATTACGTGACAGTTGTTACATCGTTATTTCGTCGTTATTTCATCGTTATTTCATCACTAAGGTACTGTACATCAGCCATACCTGGGTTCACTAATAACGCGTTGAATTGTGTCAAAAAGCTCCTGAGCGTTACAGCCTTTAGGATCCACAGCTAAACCAATACCCAGATTTTCTGCTTTTTTGGCATTGAAATGTTGGTCTGCAAATTGAGGGAAAGCCACTAAAGGAACTCCGTGGTATGCTGACTCATAAAGGCTGTCGTGTCCAACATGGGAGACGAAAGCTTTGATATTCTTGTGAGCCAACAGATCATTCTGAGGTAACCACTCCACTACTTTAATATTAGATCCCAAGAATGATGGAATATAACCTGTGAGAGCAGACAACTAGTTATAGTAAAGACAAGGAATAAAATTTTGTCAACAATCCACAATAAAATAGCCGCAGACGGATTAGCGTTCGGATCTTTTTCTGTAGGAGAAAGCAGCGTGTATGCACGCCTCACACATTCGTCAACAAACATTTATTTTAAGTGCAAGGCTTAATTAGGCTTTTCATGGCAGCAACGGACGATTTTCAAAGTTGCTTTTTTTCTCGAGAGAAAGTTTAAGTCGTTCCAGTCTTTTCATCCTTATCAACCATCCATAATGTAGTGATAGTTTTCTGTTTCCTTCAAACTGAGAAACGATTGGAAATTCTGAAAGTCACGACCTAATGTAAATCTTTAATTGTTATTTGGTAGAGTGAGGAATTTCCATCAGTGCGAAAACAAAACTGTGTCATTTAGGTAAAATAATTATTTTAAAGTAAACGTCTAAAGGAAAGTAAAATATCATTGATACCTTTTAGTCTCCAAACAACTCTCTGTTTCAGCTTTCCAAATGCTGTCGCTAACATGTCCACAACTGTTCTTGGAAGAATCGAAGCCAAGTTTGATCCAAAAGAAACAATGATAAAACCATCCCCTCCCGAATCATTAACGAATTCTTCTAGATCAGGAGGGAGTGGTTTACCTTCTTTGACATTCAGTGGTCCAACCATGACATTCCCTTTTGAAAGTAACGCGGACAAAGATGCAATATTTAGGAATGTATTTTGTTTTACAACAGAAACAAATTGAGGAAGTGCAAATCTTAAAGGCTTTCCTTTCTTTCCTCTCCTTTCCTCTTAATTTTTCAACTTCCTTCCCCAGGTTTCTTCACTCACGTCGGTTCCACTTTCGCAGCTTGTTTTATAATGTCACGCAACACTCCCCATGACAACCCCAAGAAAAGAAGACTATTTCACACCCCGTTCCTATTCTGTGCTACACCTCACTAATCGGGAGCGTAACGGGAAGGGAGCCCTGGATTGCCCATGCTCTCCCCGCCTCTGTTAGAGGACTATTTTAAGTCCCCAACCAAAAAAACGTTATAATCCAGGTGGTGGGAAAGGATAAAGCAGAAGAATCAACTCAGCATGCATTAGTCGTTGTTCAATCAAAAATAAATGTCACTGTAAGTTCTAAGTGCGAAAACTTTTTCGTGTTGGATTCTTTGCGTGTTTGAAATTCATTATATAAGTCTTTTCAACCCGTGACTTGCGAAAGTTTATACTTACTGTTTCATTAACGCCCTTTTATCATTTTACTTCCACCTCATTGCCGCCTTATTGCTACTTCGCATAATTTATCGATGTACATATAGCAGTAATATGCCTGTTTTCTCGTTTTTTCGCACTAAGCGCAGTTCAGTAGCGTACCGCTGTTTTTGCTCGTCCTTCTCTTTTTCTTTTTTTTTTTTTTTTGACCTGAGCAGTTTCACAATTGCAGTATCAATCTTGGTCTTTTCTGTGGCCGTAACAATGCAAGTGTTTTATATTCCTCTTTCTGTCGCGTTGTTTATTTCTTTATATCATGTATTGTGTAACTTTTGAAATCGTTTGTTATTTGAGTTTCAACCTACGTCATTTACGCCGTTGAGGAATTAAAGTGAGTTGTATTTATTTCTACACGACGTGGAGTTGTTTATTCCGTGGCCAAAAATTTCGCGTAGTGCAGTTTCAGTCACTTTCAGTAAAAAAAGCGAGCGTGAATGTCAAAATGTCAGTTAGGTAGGTATCGTTGGTGTGGCAAGATAAAACCAAATAGAAAACCCCCAGCTACGTCCCCATTGGTACACAATTTCGTTCTAGCTTAGACTGAGTACCATCCGGCATAATGAGGTCAGGGAAAAATTACCTGGCAAAAGAGGTTGAGCGTACTCTATCGCAAAATCTGCCCTGATTAAAACAAGTTCCACACCGTCAACAGTCTCCTGGTAGCTTCTTTCAGTTGTGATGTTGTATTTGAGTTTCAAGGCATCCATTGGTCTTGCAAATAGCAGATCTTTGAACAAGCCTAGTCCAATGTACGCGACTACGTTGGTAACTCGTTGCAAAAATGTCATTTTGTCCGTGAATCCTGGAAGCACCATCATGGGGATGTAAGAAAGAGGAGTGGGTATCATATGGTCAAAAGGGTTATTAGGAGTCACCAACATTTGTACCCTCCGAACACCAAGGCGGTCACCGATAAGGGCACCACATACTCCAAGTACATCGTACACAAGAAGATCATAGCCTCTAAGTTCCTCCATAATCTTTGTATCGTTCAAAACACTTTCACACACGGTGGATAGCACCTCCATCATTTTGGATAGAAGCCGAAACTTGTCACCTTCTAATTCGAGCTTCAGCAATTCATTTTCCATGAAGCCAGGCTCGTATGGTATTTTGAAAATCTTGTGTTGTACTCGGTCACTGAGCTGAACTTTCTCAGTCGACGGAATGACCATAGTTACCTGGAAAGAACACAAAAATTCAACTCTCTGGGAGAAAAAAAAGGTACTCTGACCACAAAGAAAAAAAATACATCAGTATGGAACTCCTATAGGAGAGCATGGCGAGAGACTTCAGCGAAGCAAAAATAGGTTCGACAAATAATTTATCCAGAGTCTATCGAAACAACAAGAGATAAAAACTAAGAACAAACGAAATTTTGAAAATACTACGGATGAGCTGCTCCCCAAGTATCTATTATTTTGAATTCTTTCTGAATTCTGACTTTAAACTTTGTCCGATTTAAGACCACGATTGTCAAAATCTAAACCAGTTTTCCTTCTTAAAGACGTGAGCGATACCTTTGTCTCCTGCTGAAGTAAGGAATTACCACCCACAAGGATTGGATTGATAGACAGCTGCAGTAGGCGTGTAATTACGTTATTTGTGCGACCAAAGTAACACGCACCCAAATACCAAAATTCAAATTGTAAATTTTCGTAAAATCCGCCTTTTGTAACGCATGCAGTAGAAATCTCTGGCTCTTGATTTTCAATGCTTCGCAAGATATTGCGCAAATAAGGGCTTGCTCGACTCTTGAATAAACACTCAACCAATCTCTATTTGCATAATATCGATGTCACGGGAGGATTCTATTAATTTATTTTTTTTAATATTGAATCTAAGAAGGTATTGATCCATATCACCCCTGTTCAGTTGCATCAACCAAACTGATGGAAGGATTTTTGTATGTTATGAGGTAGCTGTTAAGTTTCGTAACGACTGACGTGGTTGATGCTAGCAGCTTTAATGTGTATCGAGATAAATCAAGCGAAGTTATCGGTAAAGGTAATCTTCTATGTTGAGCCAGCTGTAGGTGTCTCAGGTTTTTAGCATTTGTTCATCACTAGCTTAACAAATTTCAGACGAGACGGTATATGAAGCCACTTGAAAGAAGTTTCAGGTTTTTTAACCCACCAGCGCAGACTCAGCCTATTTGACAATGACCAAAATCGTCTCTTACCTCATGTCCTCGAGAAGCCAATTCTTCCAGAATACCCCTTAAGTTCATATACTGTGATTTTCCTATCGTGCAAAAGGCAGCAATCCGTGCTGAAAAAGCCGAATTGACTGTCAATGACAGCAAAAGCATTGTCAACAACGCCATCTTTGAGCTGGTCCATATGCTTGATTTGCTGTGTTAGTCGGAGTACATAGTCACGCAATCATTACCTCTTTATGAAAGATGATGCAAAGATAACATCATCCGATATTAATCCCTGAAATATTTTTGGCTATGACGTCACTGCTCCACAGTCCACGGACTGCGAGAGCCGAACTGTCCCCGTCTCCAGTAAAGGTTTTCTATACCAAAACAAAATAACATAGTGGGTGGAAGTCTCTACGAGACTTTACCCACAAAAAAGCATTTGCTCAATCCTTTGTATTTTGACGAGAAAGAGGGAAGGTGGGGGGGGGGGGGGGGGTTGGGCGTCGATAAGGCGGTTGAAAACCCGTCCAAACAAAAGAGACAACATAGAAAACTAATGTAAGATATACTTTATTCATCTGAATTTCGATTAAACGGATTTGGGATTTGGGATTTGGAGGATTAAAGGTTATAATCTGCAGTATTCGTGAAATATTTCCGTTTCTCAGTGTTATTATTATTTTCTTCTACAATTCTACAATCTTTCTAAAATAATATTGGGTTCTAACGAGCCTCATCTTCATGTTTGAGCGGGAGTTTCCCGGAAAAGAACTTTTTTTTTTTCCCCTGAAAAACGAAAGCACTTATCCGGTATAAATCTACGTAGTGCACAGACCTCTGTGATTCTCTTTCGGTAATTAATTCAGGAATTGATAAAAACGCAGTCTTTGCAATTGTTCTCTTCTAATATGAGTTATTCGAGAACATACAGGAATTCAAACGGTGTCGGTGCCTACAGGACAAACTTAAACGAAGGACAAAATGAACGCCAAGGTGCTACCGGAAGCCAAGCGGAACAACCACAACAAGAAGAAACGGCCGCGCCGAGCCTAGAAAGGCGAGTTCTTACCCAAAAAAAAAAAAGGATTGAAACCCCCTTGCATTACAGTGTATCGATCTTAGCATCACTCGTGGAATTAGTAGAATATTTTACCGAAGTTCTCGTTTAGTTATCAACGCCGCGAATCCACCGAATAGAATTTACCTTATATTTCCAAAAATATTATTTGACATGTTTGAATTGGTCAAACCATTATTCTGGGGTGTATAAATCACTTATGTTCCGTTGAATCTTGTAGTTGAATTTAATCATGGGGGATTTCACGCTTAAATTGAGTTTAGTAACGATGATACGCGCTTTGAAATCAGTTGCCGTTTAGTAATTACTTTCATCGATTGCTTGAGACTGCAAGTTTACATGCTGACAAATTTCTATAATCACCCTAGAGTTAACAGGAGAGATGGATTCACCATGTTTAGACCAGACGAAAAGAAGAGGGCTCATTTGACGGAAAGTATGCTTTTTTAATCAATTACCCCTAAAATATCTGTTGTCAAATACTGCTGTGTTAAATTAAGAACTGTTTGTATCATGTAGTTCTCATTCATTTCGATCAGGGACTTAATTTGTCAACTGCTTATTCTTTAAATTTTGGTGGAGAAAAATGAAGTTCTCGGATACACATCCTCAGACTAACCTATGAAGCTCAACAGCGGCGAGACATAGGCGAAGGACTTAGTGAAGAAGTGGATTGGTTTTTTTCGTTTGTTTGGGGGCAAACAGGTTTCCCCGTGCACGTGATTTTAAGCATTGTCCTTTAGTCTGAGATGCTCAAAACAACAGTTTTTTCGAAGAACATTCACTATTATTAGCCTGCTGTCCTTTAAAAACACCTCACTCCCTAGCCTGTTATATTTGTAAGAACTGCAGTTGTCAGTATAGGTTTAAGTTTGATTCAGTCAAGAGCAGTCCACTACAACTCAGCATAGACCAGTCCAGCAAATGTGGAAAATGTAAACATCAGTCCATTATAAACTGGGTTTACAACTTTTAATGCAGTGGCTAGGAGGGAAGAAGAAGATGCAAGGGCTCACAGAGAGGCCAGACGTGTACGACATGTTCATGAAAGACCTGCCAGAGTGGGTGGTACAACTGGGTACTCCACAGTCGTGAAGCAGAAACAGAAGGCTGTTACATCAGCAAGCAAAGGGCTAGAAATGCAGGTGATCACCTCTTATATATGAGTTGTGGTTACTAGAATGATGTGCATAACTGGTGCAGCCTATCACATCCCAGTTTTTTAAAACAGTTTGACCACAGGTATTCCATCTCCTCTTGATTGAGAAGCTGATCCATGAGAGGTTACCTTCAGTCTTTAAACGATTTTTCTGTGTACCCATGAGTAACATTTGGGTGGAGTGAGGACTGAGAGAGCAAGTCCCCCCCCCTCCCCAGATAACCCAAAAATGCAGTAACCCTCAGAAAGGCTCAATCTCTGACCTGTGGAGGCCCAGCCTCAGGAGGTCTTGCCAACCACCTCTCCTACATAGAGGTGTAGTGAGGGATATTTGATTTCCATTGCTTCCCATGGAGATGCTAACTCAGGGCTCAGGGGATTAGGACATTTGTGATGTCTTGCTTGTTCAAGCTTGCAGTGGGCATTTTGGAGGGGAAAAATGGTTGGCACTGACTTCAGAAGAACAGGGAAACATGAACAGGAGTATTTTAAATATTTTTGCTATCGGTGGCTTGGTCTGTTTGCCAGTGACAGTTTTATCATAGTTGTGTTTGTTATGTTTAGAAAAAACGAGAACAATGGCAGAGAGAGAAGAGGGAAAGAGAGGAGAAAGAACTTCAAGAAAAGAAGGCAAAAGCAAGGGCTCAGGTAGGAATACTTCCCTTAACCCTTCAACTCCCAAGATCTGATTGTTAATTCTCCCCTATAGCTACTACACATTTCCTTGTAAATTAGTTATGAGAGCTTGGAGCTAGATCAAGATAGCAGCTTCTACCTGATAAGTTTGAATATTCTCATTACCTGTTTGCTGAATAATGTATGGATATTATAGGGAGAAGTTTCATGTTAATCACTTCTGGGTGTTAAAGGGTTGACCCTTTACATCCTTACGTCAGTATGCATATTCTTCATTCTGTTCTCTGTACATTTCCTAAGGTGCTGACGAGGAGAAATTGTTTTGCAATCAAAAGCTTCTTAATTTGGTGCTCATCTCCATTTTTCTTGTCACCTAAGTATGATTTATTAGAGTAATGAGAAATTAGATTCTAGTCACTCTTAGGGGTTTAACGGTCAACAATGTATGTAACTGTAGGTTACAGTGTTCAGACACCAACACACAGTGAATACCCTACTTGCAATGCATCCTTAATTTCAAGTGATTTCATTTACAAAATAACTTTGTTTGTTCTTTCTTGTTCTTTACTTCATTTATGTTTATCTTGCATTTGACAGACTACAATATTAACTAAGTTGCATTTAACAGAGTTGTAAATATCATTGTTGTTCAATACTGAATCCATTTTTAATCTCCTTTACTAAAGTCAGAGAGGAATGAAGCTCTGAGGGCTGTTAGAGCTCAGGAAGCCATGGAGCGACACAGGAATGACCACAGATCGTAAGCAATTATCTAGTTTACGATGATAAAAATGTAAGAAACACATTATATATGCATTCTGTTTGATTTATACTTAAGCCTTTTTTTTTATTTTATCGTTCACAGGAAGAATCAAGAATTTCTGGATAGACTTGAGAGAGGAAGTGATAGATACAATTATTATTAATGAAAAGGTACAAAAATCAATTGATTAATGAGGTGTGTAGATTTCAAATATAAATGAAGTGCAAAATTGATATGGTTTGTGTCAGGCTGCTTAACTGTGAAAGGATTATGGTGAAAGTTTGACACGAGTCCCATTTAAGTATCCAAACTCATGACCAGTTTCATGGTTAGATGCCCCATCTAGCTCTGATGACAAGTGTCTTGTATTCTGTTGTTAAGCATTTGATCCCCAAGAGTGATAAGTATCTAATTTCTCCTTTCTTTATCAGCCCCAAATCACATTAATAGGTCACAAAAATAATCACTAACTTAAGGAGTTCTTGATTTTTTAAAACAAATTCTCCTAGTCAGTACCTTAAGAAATGTATTGGGAACTGTGGGGAGAATATGCAAACTGACATTTTTTGTGTTAAAGGTTCATGTCATGATCCACATCAACAATGACTGCATCCTGATAATACTGGACATTATTAGAGTTATATCAATCCACTTTGTAACACTGATAATGTTCTTTTATGGATCTTGCAGGGTGTGTATTGACTCTCCTGTGGACCTTGTTTAGCTTCTTCTCAGCATGTTTTTTTTGGGAAATTTGGTTTGAAACATTGAACACCAGACAGGACCATGTTTGAAATTTTTTATTATTATTTCTAAACATATTTACTTGAGTTATTCATATCCCTCCCACCCTAAATGCATTGTGGCATAGCACTTCTTACTGCCAGACAAATCAGATTACCAGTAGTTCAAATGGTGAATCCTGATTAAACAAGTTATATGTATGCACAGAAAGGTAAATAATTTTGTTAAAGAAAAAGAACAGTGTACTACATTAGACTAGCTACTTAATTTACACAATTGCTTTCTGATGGTCTATCAAAGGATCAATTCAAAAAGAAATTACAATTTTTTCCCATTGTTGTGTGAATTAAATACTATACAGCATATATATTTACTCCTGGTCATCAAACATTGACTTCCAAAAGAATGATTTTTCCCAGAGGGGGTCAGTTTGGAGCCAGTGGCACAACCACTTTTTGCTCCAAACGTCATAATCAGGGAGTCCTCATCTTGAAAGCCAAAGATCTGGAAAGAAAAGTGGAAAAGAAAAATTAACAAAGAATGTCAAATTTGAGAGAACCTTCCCCCTATGTTCCTTCCTGTCCCAAACAGCATGGCAGTCACAGATATCAGTTTTCAGAGTAATTCCCTGTTCTTTTGCATGATGAAAGTAAAATTTCTGTAGCTTAGTGCTACATGCAGTAGAGGCTCCTGGCCTCCAATTACAGACATCCTTTCTTTTCATCAATACATTTTCAACACAAGACAAGAATTAGTTTACCCTTGGCAAAACAATAAGGACAGGAGAAAAAGATAACTCTGTGTGCTACAATCTTGGTGAAAATGACTTGTTTTTTTCCAGTAACTTCATCTCAATGACCAGGAGCAGGATGGTGAGACAGTTTAGTTTTCACCTCCCTTTTCATGAAGTTTTAATTAATTGTATGCTAGAGTATAATTATAATTCACCAGCAAAATCTCTTTTAAAATATGAAGTCAAAGACATAGATAGCAACTACACTACATGTAGAGAGAAGGAAAAAGAAAAGTTTGTTAGAACAGGTTCATTAGCTGTAATTAGAATCCTAAAGATATTGCAAGTATGGCAATGCAATTAAAGCATATTAAAAAAAAGGGGAAAAACTTTGTACTTCTGGTAATTACAAAAGACTTACTTAATGTATAGGACTAAACTTGAGCTGATTTTCAATGATCTGATGAAGCTCACTGGGGTTTGGAAGGCGACCAGACTCAAGTTTGGACCAAATTGGCATATCTGAAAACAAATGAATAAATGGGGTAAGTTTCTAAAGAAACTGTGGTGCTGTATTAGTGGGAGAGTATAACAGGGTAATTTAGACTTATCAATTGAGTCGATGACTTAAATTAGCCACTGTAAAGAGTTTCAAAACTGACATTTAGAGTGTTAGCCCTTTGTCAGAGTAAATGTTGAAGGGCTGATGCTCAAAATGTCAGCTATTTACCATGGCCAATTTACATAATCAACTCAGTTGATAGCACTAAATATCTGAAATCAGAATGGGAATGAACTTTACATCTAGAGCTAAATTACATAACAACTGCAATTTTCTGAGGCAAAATTGTCAAAATGAACATACCATTAAGTGACACTTCAAAAGCTCCAGTGGATATTAACTGCCCTTCAATCATGTTTGTGACAAAAAATATCAGAATACAGGCATACATCTGTGTAATAAAACAAAAAGAACCCTCATGACTTTTAGCTTCCTACAGTCCTTGTTGAAGACTTTGTGCTAAAAAATTAGTTATTTTAGGTAAGTGTATGTTTTCTGAGCAGAGGATTGCAGGTTAAGCTTTAAATTAGCCTGATTGATCATCCCTGCTGTAAGTCCACACAAGGGGCATGATGGTGGTATTGAAAGAAAAAAAACTCTTGATAACTAGAATGTAACCAGTTGTATCTGTGATCAAATTTTACAGTTGCTTTCTACAAAAGGCTCCAAGAAGCCTGAAAATCATGATCAGTGGTGAAAGATCAATCAAATAGTCAAGAGTATTTTCTGAAGAATTTTTTTATAGGCACAACAAATACTAGCCCACAGATGGTTTAAATTGAGATCAAGACATTTTAAATGTAGAACTCTGACGTAAATAGCAAATGAATGAAAAACAAGTTGCAGAAACCAATGAAAATGCTGGTTGCTGGTGATTCCCCAGAATACTGGGCTAAGCATGTTGTGCAGTGTTCCAAGAAGACCAGTGGTTTGCCCAGTAAAGAACACTAGTTGTTGACAGAGATTGGTTTGTAAACCTCCAAAAGGGTTTCTGACAGATTAAATACAAAACATCTTAAATACCTTGTTCTGTGTGGCCCAAATATAAACTTGAGGTGGGTCAACATTAAGACTTTCCCATATCTGTAACCGCTCACCAAGAAGAACAATTGCCATGACTGCCAATTTGGCAAGACTGAGAACACTAGCCAACATCTGACGGGGACGGGGTGGGGGATAATTGTCGCCTTCTATGCGAACTTTGGGAAAGTTTTGGTGAATGAATTGTGCATACTCTTCAAACACCTTTCTGTATCCTCAGGAATAACTAGAGAGCATGAGACAAGAGCAAACTAAGAATACAATGCCACAAAGTTTTATCCAGGCAACAGGAGTCAAATTTATTCTGCTTTTGTTCACACAAATGGCATTTAGCTTAGATGAAGCATGTTCCCACCTATAATGAACATATTGTTGAGTGCAGCAGCTGGAGATTGGAGTTCCTACTTTAACCATTTTAGTATTCTCCATTATTTTAAGCACAACAGGTAAAAGAAATTTTCAAGCCAGTAGAGTAATCTTTATACCTGTTAAATTTTCAGGAATTCCAGCTGATTTTAGGCAGTGATATAGGGTGCTACAGGCGGTAAATTTTACTGGTTACCGCCTGAAATGGAAGTAATTGTGTTTGAATAATAAATCCAACATTGAAATCAAATTGACATAACTAAGGTAAGCTGCAACATAATTTGAACCTGAGCTAAAAATTATTTTCTGCTATCAATATTTTCGCATAATATCAAATAAAGTATTTTTTAACACATGGCATGAACAATCGATACACGCGAACACGTGTCCTGCTTTGTCAGATCTTGTCAAGTGTTCAAGGCTACATGCATGTCCTAAAAAGTTCATCAACCAAGTATTATGTCCGTATTATCGTTAATGGCAAAGAAAGTTCCTTCGAACTTTAAAATTAAACAATAACTTCCTTCTACTAAGATCTCAACAGACTACCCTTTTAAAAAATTCGATCCTAAGGAAATTAATATTAGACCTTGCTAATACTTCACTAAAACTCAGTGAGACTTCTTATACTTAATAAGCGTCGTACACTTCAATACTGTTTTTGCTAAGCTTTTGCTGATAGACATTTGGTAGATCTTAACAAAAGAGAAACATAAGAAAACATTTAAAATAATCGTTATTTACACACAAAGATGAAGACTGTGATATTTCTGTGAACTGTAGAATCAATCTTAGTTACGTAAATCAATTTTCTCGGAATTCGAGGAACTCGATTGTTATAGTGAACCACTTACCAATACAAAAATTTGATCGTTGGTCCTGTAAATACAGCCGCTTTTTGTAATCTGTCCATTTTGTCTGGATTTGAAGCTTGAACATTGGTGGGAAATATGATTTCTTTCACGGTCATGAGAGAGAAAACCGACAATACGGCCGCAACGAGGTATACACTCGACGCCATCTTGAAGACGGCTTCCTTCGTGACTTGCGCATTGTAAAACTCTGACGTAAGCGAGATGAAACTTGCACGCTATGATCACGAAGGGAGGACTGAGTACAGCCCTTACTGTGCCGTCCTTGCCGACTGTTTCGGGGGCTTTGTTGTACTAGCCGTGGAACGTAAAATTTGAGTGTGATCGTGTCTTTTTATTTTAAATAGGGAATTTTTTTTTGTGCCCTTCATATGTGGTATTTTTAAACAGTTCCTAAAAATAACATTTTAAAAATTATATTTGAAAATGTTACGCGTAGTTCCCGAAGCCTTTGTTACACGACTTACGAGTTCGGAAAATTTCTGTTTTCCAGGATTTTTATAACTTTGGGACTTCATATGGTCATGTGATTTACACATGTATTCTTACCTTTGCATATGCCCAAAGAAAGTAACTTCGCGAATGATTGCGTTACATAATCCTACTTCCGGTATGTGCACTTTTAGGTCCAAAATGTATGTTTTATGATCGTCTTTCAAAGCTTTAGTTTCAGAATCATAAATACGTTTTAAAAGAGATATTCAAAAGTTAAGAATTTGAAATATGCATACTGATATTTTGAAAAAATAACCACAGCCGTTTCTAAGGCATCATAAATCAGAGCCCACGATGTTTTGTGAGACGAAACAATTCTGTTGACTGCTGCTACAGCATGCGCAGAGAAGCGTTCGCGAAAAAATCACTGGGTTTCTCGTTTTGCCCCCGAATTTCAAAACTGTTCAATGTTTCCCATACGTTTAATTCCGATTTTACCGGAAACTGGCCACCGTTATCTTTGAAATTTCCTGGATGTGACAGAATTTTTGCGTTAAAACGATGAGTTATCCAAATGAAGATCGACATGAACGTGATGTTGTTGGCGGCCAGTCTCGGAATCCTTCCCAAGACGGAGAAAAACACGACAAATCTAAAGTTTTGAACGCCAATCCAGGAGGTATTCTGCTTTTTCGTCCTTCCTGTGTTGTGTGGTTTTTTTAAATGTCTTATAGCTGGAGAATTGCTGTCAAATTTAATCGTTTCAGCGAATATGTAGTTATCATGAAATCGAACAGACTCCATTTAATACCTTTTTAACCATGTGTGAAATTTGTAATAAGATTTGATATGGTCGAATTCTCTAATTGTTCAAGATCCTCTTCGGCATTTAAACATCCCGTTCGATTTTGAGCATGCCTGTGTGTTTATGTGGTATTCATGGTTTTATCTAAGAACAATTTCCTGTAACCCTTGATGTATTAGTCATGCAATAATTAACGGTACATTTGTTAGTAAGTATCGCTCAATAATTTCCACAATCAAACCGACACATACATGTGGCTCCTTTGGTAAAATATGTCTGCATTTATCACTTGAATGCCGATTAGAATATATCTCCTCCATATTCTAGAAATTGTAATGAACAGTGTTAAGCAATTTTCAGTCCACTTTATCAAATTCGTGTTCCTGTAACGTGACGAACTGTTTTATTTCCTTGCCTTTTAATCTTAATATTTCAATCTAAATGTTTATTAACTGGTCACTGCATAAATATTTAGAATTAAATAATTATTTTGGAAGCATTAAAATGTTGCCAAGGTGGCTGTTTTTTTAAATTTATGAATGTTGTTCAAATCAATCACATATTCTAGGTGAATTTGAACCTCTCCTCCCAAAACATGAGAATTAATTCTACTAACTGATGATAATACAAATATTTGCTGTCTATTCCCTGAGAATGTGGTGTACATTAAAAGTGCATGCTTCCTTAATATTAATTTTATGAATCACCATTCCCTGTCTTTAGATATATCATTTACCATTTTATCACCCCTTGGGAGTCAAAGGTTTAATACTTTTACCCACCATCATGACCAATGAGTTATTTCTCATTACAGTAACAATTCATTTTCAAGCAGAAAAGTGATAAGAAAATAAGAAAATTATCTCCAGAGGGTGTTGATATTCTTATAACTAAAACTGTAAGAACTGTGTGGCACCTATCCATAATGGTTCACTGGGACAGAGTCCCCTGAAGCTCCTGGTGGGTAGAGGCACTGTGAGAGGAAGGGGTCTTTCTTAAGAGCCTTTCTTTATGGTTTGAACTTAAGGTATTTTTTTAAACTGAATTCTGCCAACTCAGCTAAAAGGACACTGCATTTTCACATATTATTTTTTGCAATACATGCTCTTAAAGATAATTGCTGGTTATGCATGATGCACCACCATTTTTAAGGTGTCAAGGACACCCATCCCACTGTAAGGTTAATATTTCCTTTAAATGATATCCTTTTCAGAACTTTTTTTGCATTATGCATTAATCTAATGCTGGACATTCTTTTTTTGAATTAAGTCCCAATGGCAGGCCCAGAGAGTGGAACTTATCATAGAGCGCATGTTGATCAAGCAAGTATCAAGGTTTGCTGGAAGGAGTTAATGAATCCTTTGTTAAAGTAACAGTTTCAATTGTTATCAGCCTCTCCTATTTATTATAGTAGGCCTTCAGACAGGGCCATTCTACCTCTAAAATTTTGTGACAAACAGATTTGTGGAAAACTTTTTTTGTAGCTTACAGCTCTTTTGCTGCACGTCTGTGTTATTGGCAGAGTTTCCAGAACTGAGTGACATTCAAACCCTCACAGAGGACTTTGAATTTTTCTCTGTCCCTTGGATTTGATAAATGATAGATATCTATTTTTATTAACCAACTGCAAAAAGTAGAGTGCAAATATCCAGTAATATTGAACAGTTATTTGGACAGCCAGTTATTTTGTACTGTAAAAAAACCTGTTAAATCAATTGGCTATGTGTACTACACTTCTCCATCCACCTTGCTTTTCCCACCTTATGAAAAATGAGCTGAAAGACTCAAAAAAGAAAGAAAAAAAAAGCAGTTGGATAATAAATAATTTATTAGATGTTTTGGTGTGTAGTATCACTGAGTATTTTTACCTGTTGTTTGTATTTTGACAAGCCCATAGGGCTCGTCAAATTACAGCACAACTTGGAAAAATACTAAGCAATACTAAACAACAAAACATCCAATAAGATATAATTACTTATGTGCAGACTGTCTTTCTTTATTTTTAAAATTTTTTTTCTTATAGATGGGAAAACCTCTTCAGAATCGCCCAATAGCTCCAGCTTCAGGCTCTATTGGAATGATCCCTAGTCACCTTGCACCTGGTCTTGTTGCTGGCACCATGCAAGGATTTAATGCTGGCCATCCTTTGATTGCTTCAATGATGAGGATGCCTCAGCCAGCCTTCTCACATGTCCCTGTAGGAGCTGCTGCAGGGGCACTTGCTGGGGTGACACCCAGGAATACTTCTTTACGTACCCCAACAATGCCAGCTGCTGTGAAACCTATGGGACACACCAGTCAAACTCATAACAGTGGTCAGTCACAGTCACAGGCTCCCATAACAACAGGCACCTCTTGTCCTTCATCCCCTGGCCCATCTTCTTCTTCTCATCTTGCTACTGTCGCAGTCTCTTCATCTTTGCATCAGCCCATAGCAGACCACAAGTCAAGTGAAATGCGAGAGGCAAGACCAGGTTTGATGACTGATTTGGCAAGAAGAGGTGCATCACCCACAGTTCAGGCAGTGGCACCAGCCCATCCACCAGCTTCTACCAGTAACAAAGTCATCTCTATTGTACCATCAGCACCTCTCTCACAGAGTCATCAAGTACCAAAACAGTCTGTTCCCACAGTGTCATCACACCATCCCATTTCTGCACATGGTAGTGGACCAGTTACAGGTACAGGGACATCTGTCAGTAGCACCATTTCTCACATGCCATCAGCTGCTGTTGGCATGTCTGGTCATTCTCAAACGTCAAAAATAGTCTCATCAAACACAGTCAGTGTGACACCAGCTGTGCTGACAACAACAGCAAGAATCTATACTCCACCTCACATTGCATTCACGGCTCCAAGGCAGCCACCTATCTCAAGCTTGGAATCCACCACGGTATGTACAGCATTTCACTCAAGGCAGTAGGTTGTTGAAAGAATGGCAATATTAATACATACATGCCTTGTTTCTTGGGGAGCCAGTTAGTATATGAATACCTTGTAAATGTTGTGTAATTTCAGGCCCTCACCAGATTAAGCTAGCTAAAGGAAATATGCCAAAATGTAATTTAGATGAGGTTAATTGAGAGGGTGATATGTGATCTGCATGTACTTGAACATTGGGAAAGTACTAAGGGGAAGGCCTTAGGCTTTCCTTGTGTACATTGCATTCTACATTTACTGTTCTGCTTGTCTTGTCAAGTCTTTCAGGCTGATAATTCCAGATCATTTGCAGCTTTCTCCAAGCAAATCTTTGATTATTCTTTACCCAACCTGCTTATACGGGTTGGCTCGTTATGTATATGTATGTGTCCACCAAAATCCCTTGACTTGTTTCGGTGCCAGCTTTAAAATGGTTTTTCTGCCATTACAGTTTCCGTGAGATTCCACTGCACTGTTCCTGAATTACTGAAGGTTCCCTGCCAATTTTCAGGGCAGCAGGAAGGCCATCTAGGTTCAGAAACCCAGTACAGTCCTCTCACCAGTTTAAAGCTCAAAACTTCTTCAGACATTTCTTGTGCATACCAACTTGCATTCATGGTGTGCTACTGGTAAATAATTTTTTCAAAATCATTTCCCCTTAGAATCCAGCAGCAGATCATGCAAGGTTGAGCAAACCAAGTGGGACGGCATCTCCAGCAACAGTGTCATCTCATCATACCAGCACTATTTCCACTGTTCCTCACATGGCTGGGCCTTCTCTCAACTCAGGTACCACATTTCTTGAGCTTGTTTTGGCTATTTTTTTCATATGGTTTTCATGCTGCTGAAATCTTGGTTTAAATCATTTTGACTGTGTATTCGTGAGTGCAAGACTTTCCTCATTCATGAAACTCACAAACAGTTATATGATAGTTGTTTTTTGGTTGTTTTCAGTTGTTGGAAATGAAAGCCGAATGGACAGGTACTGTAAGGAACTTGGTCTTTTTGTAAATTTAGCAGGGATGGTTAAATTTCAGCTGTATTTGCCTTGCTGATTCTTTGAAAAACTAATCCTGGGCAAGACTGTTTCACAAGTGTGAAGGGTTTTAATTAGTAGCAGGTTGCCTGTAGCCTACCACCATCAGTAAGACCTCTGAATAGCCATACAGCAGGCTTGTATGGTTGAGTTTCACTTCAGCCCCCTTTCCAGGCACAGCTTTCTGTTACAACTTTGACAGCTGTTATGGATAAAGTTATTAAAACTCCTGAAGACTAATAAATTTTAGATTAGACATTGGACATGTTTCTCTTTTTGCATGATATGTGGTGTGACAGTCACACTGGAGATTTAAGATTCTTTTTGTTGACCCAGTAATGTAGTGTTTTTATCTTCTTAGGGGAATTGCTAGGTATTGTAAATATTTAGTTATTTTTAACTATATATAAATGTTCATCAGCTGTATTTACTAACAAAAATTTTAAGTCTGTGTAAAGCGCATTTGATAATGCACTTATTTAATTTGCACCATATAAATGTTAATCATTATTTTTTTAGATATTGCCATGAGGCTGTCACCTCTAATCATCATTTTCAACCACCAGAACACTCTGGTTTGTTAACTAAATCCATAGCACTAGTTATTTACACAAGATGTAACACAAACCACAGTTTTACCCAAGCAGTGGGTCTTATGTATTCTATACAAGAGGGTTATTTTCATCAAATAAATGTCCTTCCACTGCTAGCTTTGGGCCCTCTCAACACTGTTTACAAAAATAAATGTTTGGATAAAAGATTCAGCTAAATGTAGGATAGTTTTGACATGGTTTTGTTAAAGAGCATTTACTATTTATTATTACAGCATTTATTATTATCATTATTATTATTGTTATTATTACAATTTATATATTTATTTATTTTTTACTCCAGAGCACATCAGGCCTTGCCCCAGTTCCCTTACCACCCTATGGCTAGTATGGCAGGTCTATTTTATCAAGATGCTATATCTGGTGAGTATGCACTTTGCTCCTTTAATCATCTGATCAAATTCAAACGTCTCCTTATCATTTATAGCTTGTTTGTTTAAATTTCATTCTCTTGTCTGTTTGGTTGTGGTATTTTAGTTTATGGTATGGAGTTTGGAACAAAAGAGAACTAAAACCATGGTTGAAATTAAACCACAACATGAACATTTGTGAACTAATTAGCAAAAGTATTCTAACAACAACATTTACCATATAGCAGTGCACCCAGGGCTTCATCCGCAGTATCACCAACCAGCCTTTGGCCCAATGCCGTCTCTTGCCAGATCACAGGGTGTGGTCACTTCTGCTGCGGCTGCTGCTGCAGCTGCTGGAGTGAACCCTATGCAGATTATGGATCATTCAAGGCTGATTTTCCAACCATCTGCAGCACTTGGTGTTGGAGGTGAGTAGTCTATGTTTTTGAAGACCTTAGGTAGGTAGCCTGTGGGTGCACTTTCTTTTCCACACCGTATCACTCCTAAAGATGGCAGCGGTAAAAAAGCACAAAAACAGAAATAGAGAGCTTGCGGAAGGTAATTGTGAGATTTTGGGACAGTTTGAAATGTTGGCAGTTTTAGAAAGGTTTACATGCTAGACTAGAGGGTGAAGTCTGCCATCCAACGGCCGTCTCTCTGACATGTCCTATTAAGGACGGTGCCTGCGCACCACGCCATGGCCACGCGTGCTCGTGCGTGGGTGGAAAACCCGGTTCCTGCAATGATCACGCGAAAGATCAACCGTGATAGTAGCGGAAGTGTGAAATAGCGAGGAAGGTTTGGCTTTACGCGACCCGACCCAATCCTTCCTCGTTTACTCTGTACTGCTACTATTGCACCGTCATCAGGCCTGGTTTCGTGGTATTTTGACCTTGCAGTTCAGCCTGTGTAAGGAAACTTTTTACGGACTTCTGCACCAACCCATAAATTGGAAATTGGTTTTTGATCAAATTTTGTACCTTTTGGGATATCTACAGTAATTTTCATATTCCCACACAGATCAATGATCTCGTCGGCCATCGTGGAAAGTTAAAAGGTTTGCAAACATACTTTTTTCAAATAATTTGCGAGGCTGCATCTCACACAACAACAAAAAATATCGAGGCCGCGCGAAACATCATCCTCCTTGAGGGACCAAGGTTGGCCAATCCCAGCATTCATTTGGATGCAGTATCAGCAAAGTTGCGTTTTGAAAATTGCTCTTATTAAAAATCCTTATTTATAATCATTCAGCTTCAAGTATAGCGAACTTAACTGGGACAGACACGCCGGCTAGTGCTGGTATTATGGACATCAGTGGTGCAATTGCTGGTACATACAGTGTTCCAATCTTCAATGTCCCACCGTCAGCCGGAATCCAGGCCACACAGCTGACAGCTCCAAATCCCAATGCGACATCTCCGCGGCCAAGCATTCTACGAAAGAGAACTTCAGAAGGGTAGGTGAAAAAAGAGGAGCCATCACTTTGATGTTTTTTTTTTTTTTTTTGCCATAGATCGTTTAGTGTCATCTACCATGTGATATCAGTTGTGAAATGGAGTGTTGTTAGGGGAGGAGACAGACCTTTCGATAAACTGAGGATCGCTTTTGCTGCAATGTTATTGGCTGCGCGATCAGATTTGTCGCATTTGTCAATTGTGATTGGTTACTTTGACTTCCGCTCAAGTTTTCGGTTGCCGAGATTAAATATAAAGGGCATTCCGACTGGTTTTTGTTGAACAAATAGCAGGGAAATCATAACGATTGATTAGAAAGGAACAACAAGAAAACTGCTTGAAGCGCGAAAAATCGCGAGTGACCCGAGTGGTTTCGGGTTTTGTTTGGTTCTAAGGGTGGCGAAACTTTTCTAGAGCAAGGGTAGAGCAAATAAAAGCGGAAATAATACTATCTCAGGTTAATTTCGATAATCGATAGAGAATTGCTCTCTGAAATTTTTTTTTCAGGGTGCGTAAACCTCCAAGCCAACTGCCGTTTGCCGCTGAGATGCTGGTATCAAATCAGACGGAGGCCGCAGCCAGCCCGAGATCGGACAGTACACTGTCTGCACCACACTCCACACAGAACTCGCCTAAACCCGCAAGGTATGCATTGACAACACTGCAATATTTTATGAGGCCTGCTGGAAAGAAAATTACGCTTTTTTAATATTTTAATAAGTAATTTTTTGCAGTTACACTGAGTTGCCGTTACCTGTCTCGTAGGTTTTTAGCGCTGCTGCTTAACAAACAGACCTCATTTTTTCTTTTCAAGGAAGGTTGAATGTTGCATTCACATTATCGTGCTTTTCCGGTTGATCTCCGCAGACGTTTGATTTATTTATTATTTTTTTTTTTTGCTAACAAAGAGAGTTAAATGTATAGTTCATTATAATATGAAATTTGTTGCCTCAGTGATTCCGGAAGTCAATCGAACGAAACTGCAGCCGTAACAACAGCCAGTGTTACAACAACAGAACAACCAGTTGTCAATCAAACCGCTCCCGTGTCACCGAGTAAAGTCAAGAGAGAACCGTCCAGCGAGGCGGCACCTACCCCAAATGTGGCTACCACTGCTGTGTTGAACGGAAACACTCCTGCCGCCCCTGCCACGCCCTTACTCGCAAATGCTACAACTACGAGCAGCGAGGCGGCTTCACCGAGGAAAAAACCACGAAAGCAAAATGTGTAAGTATGCGTATAACCAAAGGTCAGGGCTCAGTGGTTCAAAGGGCAGACAATGCTATCAAACGGCTAAACCGCCAGATAAGTGTAAAAGAAGCCTACTTTTTTGTTGTAATTGTTTTATTATCATTTTTGTTTTCTTTTTTGCAACCCAAGAGTGTTTAAACTATGAAAACCTCATATTTGCAGTGTCGCTACGGAAGACAAGTTCGGTAGTAACGTTAACATGGAACCTGATTCGCCAACAGATGAAGACAAGAAACCAAAACAGGAGGAAGGTAAGAACTATCTCCACATTAGTTTGCTGTGTCGGCGTATTTCAGTGAGGAAAGGCAGGGACATATTCAAATCTTCAAAACAGAGCAAAGTTTTGTGGAACACAATTAAACCCCTACTACCAAAGGGGGGGGGGGGAAGTGTTCGATACACAAAAGAAGGAAGGAAGGGTATGGATTAGGGAATTACTCCCCCCTTGTGTCAATATATTTAGTTTTGCATATTTCTTTGCTTCTCTCATTCTCAACAGCAGATGAAGATTTGAAGTTCATACTACTAAAGAGGCCAAAAATCTCCATCGTTGCGAATTACAAGATCAACACAAAAGCAGCTCATAACCATTTCCAGCGGTATTCTGATGTCAAGGCAAAAGGTCAGTGTAAATTACCTCACGACTTCTGCGAGTCTTCTTCGCAGCCGTTCTTTGTGATGTTACGCAACCTGTAAGAGTAAACCAGAGCGGGTTTTCTATTAATTGTTGTTAAACCAGAACCGAAGTAATCACAATGGCCAATTAGAACCAGAGACAAAAATCACGAGGAGCGAATCATAGTTTAGATTTCAAACAAGCAAACTGCTCAGAAGACGGGAAAACGCAAGCGACCAGGTGGTGGTTGGATTTTTCTAGTTATCTGATTGGTTGAGAATGTGGCACGAGTTTTCTGGACCAATCACAAAATGTGCCGAAGCAAAACCATTGTAATCTCAGATTACTTTCGACACTCCATCGAAAATTGTTTTACAAAGGAATAGGGATGGCGGAAGAAACTTAGGCTAAAGGTAACATTAGTCTGGGTCTGTTTATTCATCGTCTGTCTTTTGTTTCTCAGAAGAAAGAAAACCCTCCATACAAGAAATTGCCAGTCAGAAGGGGATTATACAGAGAGCAAACGGCTGGCGGGTCCAGCACATCGCTGGACAAATGGACGAGCTGGTGAGGAAGAAACTGGAGTGAATCTCACACATTAACTTATCCACAGGGTTTCTTGTTCCCTGAGTCTTTGGGGCGAGGAGTTGTCCTCAGTGACCTGTCAAACTTTTCATTCGGCCCTGAAATAAATTGCGTCTTTTTTTCAGATCGCTGCTGAACAGGAAGTGTTGAAAAAGATGGGAGAGATCAGAGAAAAGATTCCTAAGGTGAAACCGGGTCAGAAAACCAAATTCCAGGACGATTTAGTGATGTTAAATGAGTTACTTCAGGTGAGACAACATTCCGCTGACATCAAAGCTCCTATAAAACAGATATTGACATATGTCTCGTATTTTAAATTTAGCTGAACTCGATCAAAGCGATAAAAACGCAAAGAAACAAACTCCCACCAAACTATATCGCATCAGGTTTTTGTCTAGTGGGTTACAGAAAAGCCTTCCTGCTTCCCCAATATTTCAGCTTTGCAAACAAGCTACCTAACGCACAGATAAACTGCATCTTAAATGGTCTTTTCTCTTCCTTTTTTTTTCTGTCAGGGTAACATTCAAAGATCGCAGCTGGTTGTTGAACAGCTTGGAGATTCGCGAAAATCTATGATCAAGGTGGGAGTTATTAAGTCTCGGTACCTAGAGATCTTTTAGTGAGCAAGAGATCACTACATTATATGAGGAATCATCGCAGTCAATTATATTTTCGTCCAAGTTTATTCATCGCTTGCAAATCTCCCGGAAGATTAATTTTTGGATTAAAACGGGCTTTCCTTGGGCTCGTTTGAGGGGAGAAACACCCTGTAGACAATTCTTTGAATGATGATAATCGTTTTGAAAATTGTTAAAAGCAGTGTATGATGATAATATTTTTCATAATGATATTACAATCGCGAGTATTTGCTTGATTCACTATACCGACAACATTAATGTTACATTACAGATGATAAGTTACTAATTTCAGGCAAAGCAAGCAAAATAATAGATCACTGTTGTCACTCACTCGAAAAGAAAAAAAAAAGGTTTTTTTTATCTCCGGTTTTAAAGAAGAAGCCGCTGGGATGAGCCGTACAGTGCTAAGGAATCAACTTAATCAGGATCTGAAAAGTTATTAACTTTTAACTTCTCCGTACAATATCAATACATCATACGGCAGGCGGGTGTTGAGAATACACAAGCTTATCAGCGAGAGGGTGTTATCTTGATAGAACACTAGGTTCTCGTAACGTATTTACAAGGAAATTTTCAGAAGGTAGATGGGAGAATTGTGGATTACATCTTAGGGACTAATGAGTTCGTCCTCGTTTTCCTCAGGTTTTGGATCACAGGCCGCGTGTAATGGATATAATTCAAAAACAGATGAGTAAGCGAAATCCCAAGAAGAAGAGCCAATAACTTGATAGAAGGCCAGGACATCTTAAGACTGAGGATATTTTAATACACTGTACAATTCTCAAGCGATGGTTTCATGCCGGGCCAACTGTCATGAAATCTCTTCGGATATACATATGAAAAAGAGACTTATTCTCATTATTTAACTCGTGGATCTTCTTATTTTACTTCTCTTTCAACATCCATCCAAGCCTTCTTACTTGACAATTCAGTATGCGCTTTGAAGCTTCAATGGGAAGGCTTTATTACAAGCCACTGTTCGTGAAACGAGCCCGCGCTCCTCCCAAACCATCTCGAAAAGATCGAAGACCGCACTCGAGTAAACGGCGGAAATTCAGTCAAGTGGAGGCGCCGTGAAAAGATGCAGCCAGGCCGTGAGAGGTGTAGGACAGCAAATAATGGTAAAGCCCGAACCTAACGTCCGCTGACTACTTTCGCGCCTCGACGTCTCTATTCCAACAAACGCCCCGAAAGCTGCCAGCTACACAGGTTAGCTCTTTGAATGTCTGTTTTTTGCGAGGTGGCTAATGCCAAGATGGTTACGGACACTTCTTTGGTTGGTCACGCAACGTTTCTTTGAAAACTTGCTTGGATTATTGTCGTCACGTTAGCACGTGAACCAGGAAATCTGGGTCGGGAACAGGCGGTTGAGGCTCCTTGGTAATCTTCCCGAGACAGGAATCAAAAAGAGAAAATGTAAAATGTAATTTTGAACAGCTGAGTTTGTCGCATTAATTGAAACTAATTCTTAAGAATCGTAAGAAAAGAAAAAAAAAAAGAAAAGGAAAGCCGTACGAAGCAAGTCACATCACGATTCAGAACTTTGTTTGCTTTCTTCTTCTTTTTCTAGATCAATATCAGCATCTGAGCAACTCGCACCTTACCAATCCCTTCCCTATCCCAACAGCAGTCAACTAATAACAAGTTAGGGCTAGTGTGGGGTTGGGGGAGGAGGGGGTGGGGGGATAGGTACGTAGTTGCTCACTTTGATCAATTTTTCCAGGGAAGTTTTCCTGTAAGTTTTCCATCCAGTTCTCCCGAGTTGCCCAAAGATTCCAAAACTAGTGTTGTACCAAATCAAGAGGAGTCCATGATAGAAGTAGCTTAAGTTGTAAAAGGTTTCTCTTATTCTTTTTTTTTTTTTTTTAATGAAAAGTAACTTCTTATCTTGCGCGTCTATATTAACATAGTGACTTGTATATATTACGTGTTGTCTGCTTGAGTTAAGTAAGAGACTGAGATTGGAGAAAAGTGGAAAAGTGTAAACTTACGTTTTTTATCTGATTAAAACAAAATATCACAAGTGCAAATTCTTAATTGAATGAATGAAGCTTATAAACACTTATTTTTCTTGAGTTATTTGAAATCTCATGCCACTCAAATTTTCCTGTCCGATCTTGTGCAATGACATCAGGTATTGGCTAATACATGGGAGCAGAGGGTAGGTAAGGTTCAACTATTCATAAAATTGTAAGACCATTGTGTAACAGGAAGAAAAAGATAATCTAAGCTCAGGCTAGATCTGGTAAATCTACGTAGGTTCTCGTGCTTTGTGAGAATAAAATATGTCCTCAAATCCTCCAAATCCAAGGGGCGGTGTGACTTCTCACCAGCACAATTCAGTCAATCCAGTGGACTAAAGTTCACCGCGGGAATATTATGATCTTGATATAGTAAAAGATAATTCTTCGTTCCCAGAGGGTAGGTCTGGCTGCGAGATTAAGAATCTGATTTGCCGATAAAACTAACAACAAAATAAAACAAATTGGTCACGGCTCCAAGGACGATATTTGTGCTGAATCCTTTCATGTTTGGAACTCTTTATCAAGCTTTCTTATTGGGTGTGGGTTGCTGTTTTGGGCAGGGCTCCTCACATGTGTTGTCACGGTTACCAGGAAAGCAAGGCTTGCACACTGCTGCATGTGATTGCAGCTCTGACTCCTGTAGAATGACAAGGAAAAATGAACAGGCCTTGATTAGATCTGCGATAACTGCGTGCGGCAAATTTTTTTCATATTTTACTCAGCTTGATGTTTGGAATATATCTTCATCAACGTTTCTCTCTTACCTCATCTTGTGTTAGTCTGAAATATCCACCGCCTCGCTGGTTAACACTCTCTTCCAGCGGAGATTGGCAATTCGTTCCTGATGATGTGTCAAACTTCAGTAACCTGAACAAACGGGATCTACAAAAGCAAAAACATATTCACGTATCATTGGAGCCATGTTAATCACAAACAAAGGGTTTTTGCTACTTGTATGACCGCAAAGATAGCAACGACAAGATCGCATATTACTAACCAACTGGGTGATTTTATTTGTGCATGTGCGTACAAATGCGATTTACTGGGGTGGAGGAGTTGATCAAGAAGGAATTCTGAACCCTCCCCTTGCTCGATATAATATTTCTGACCCACCCCTGTTTAACCCCACTCCAAAAGTACTGACGAGACTCTTACTTGAGACACGAGACAAATCTGTTGAGTATCAGAGACAAAACAGCGACAAGGACTTCATAAAGCAGTACATTTTCAAGCGATGAATTCACGTAATAGAGGAAGAAGAAGAACGTCGGCGCTGTAAACCACACCTGCAATAAAGAACAATCAGCACATAAATATCAACAAAAGCAGATTCAGATTAGTCGGGAATTGTGTCAAATAGCTTGGTACTCTTCCTTCGTTCTTTACGCCGAACGAATAAAGCCAATTCCATTTGTGAAGTCCGATTATACCAGTTAAATCCGATGTAGAATCCATATCACACTCGACTTTGCGTAAAACCCGTATTGGAGTTACATCCGGGCCCAAGTCAAACCCGAGTCAAACCCGAGTTCACGTCGAATCCAAACCAAGGTTAACTCCAAGAGAGAGAAGGAGCGTCGGAAGGTTCGATTCCTCAAGAAGACTCCTATTTCTTTTCTTTTTCTTACGCTCGTGACAAGACGAAAAACATCTTTACATACTCCAAGGGAGACTTTTACCAGAACTCGATTAAAATCTGAGTTAACTTGCATCGGAGTCAAAAGTAAATTCCGGATCAACTCCGAGGGCAAGTCACATCCAATCTTGACCCGGGTCAAATCCGAAGTCGACTCCAGGCTCAGGTCAAAGTTAGGCTATAAGACTTGCTATGGAATATCGTGACAAAAACCAACGTGATAAGATATCGGCTTTCTCCATTGCTATTAGACCACCTAATAAATATAGAATATAAAAAAATTTCATCCCTCCAATCAGGCAAACGACAGTAATTCTTACCAGCCATTCTGTGTAGCTATAGAATGTATCAGCATAGTAATAGTAGTTTTCTCGTTGAAGTCTTAACATCACTATTGTAACAATGAATGAAGCGAAAATAAAACCATAGACTCCGACCATAAAGCGATCAGCCAAAGTTAACTCCTGCCAATGAAACAAAACAAAAATTACATATGGGTAATTCATAGAAGAACGCACCAGAACAAGGGACGAAATTGCAATTATTTCTGTAGTAGAATTCTTAATATTTCCAAATGTTACCGGTGTATCAGGTGTTTGTTCACTGACAGTGGCATGAAACATAACAGCAGACACCAAAAGTGAACTGTGAATAAAGAAGGAAAAGAAAGAAATAAAGAAACACAAATTTTAGATAAAAAGTTGTTCTCAAGACAGCCGCTAAACTAAGAAAATTTAGCGCAAACACTTTTAAATGGTGATATTTTTACTTGTTTGGTCTAGCGCACACCGCAGAATCTTCTCTCGAAAAGGAACTGTGGTTGTTCGAGAAAAAAAACAAATATAGATAGCAAACTTCTCTTCCAGATCGAATTAAATTTTTTTTTTCAGAAGATAAACGTTTATTACTTGCTGAATTTCGCCAGCAGAATAGACCGTGGTCTTTTTTTCTTTTCATCAAAAATCCCCTACGTAAGGCAGTAGTTCTTCTTTAAGGCTTGCTCACTAAAAAACTAGATCGACATGTAATTAGTCTCAGAAACACATGCATTTAATACACTTACCCATCGATCCACAATCGCATTGAGGCGTCATTTGGTGGAATAGAAAATGAAAAACAGACCTGAGGAGGAGAGGAAAAAAGTACATTTTATATGTCACGTTCACTCAGTGGTAGTTTTAACTAACGCCTTAACAATTCTAAAACAGTAGCTCTCGCCTCGCAATCGGAAATAACTTTGCCAAGTCAAGAGAGAGACCAGTGGTGACAGTATTTTAACTGTAAGTGCATTCTACTTGGTCGCTGAGAATTGACGGGGGCTAATTGACAGCATCATATCTCAGACTCTGTCCACCTGCAATGCACGTTCGACTCTGGTACGGCAAAAGTATGATAAAAATGTTGTACGTGAGGTTGTCGCACCAAAAGAACGTACTAAAATGCATTTAACTCTACATGACGGGTTACGCATATAGCTCAGCTCACAGGATGCAAATTGAAATGGGTTGGAAAAGGCAGCGAGAACTTGTAAACACTTCAGCTTTTCCTTCGCTTTCTCTCCACGTATTGCACCAGTGCAATAATATATCGTGCGACGAGATGGATGTGACAATTACATAATTCCACTACACTTTTATTTACATTTTCAAGTAACTTTTCTCGGTATTCAGATACTTACTACAAGCACTATAAAAAGAGGAGGTAAAAATATCTTGAAAAACGCTGCACGCTTGTGTCTCCTCATGTGAAATAAAAATTCATAGCGAGACACTCCTTGGTCCAAAAACGGGTTGTACCTGAAAAATAAAATGTTTTAAAACAAATCCCATCTCAATCACCAGTATCAATAATATATCTAAGAGAGTTACTTTTAGTTGGGTATTGAGAGTAGGGCAATTTTCAATTAACCCTAACTCCCATAAGTGACCAAGAAAGAATTTCTCCTTACAATATCTATACAATATCAACCAGATAAGTGATGAGAATAAAGGAAAAGATCAATTTGGGGATAATTAGTTGATCCAATACCAAATTCTTAGAACTAACGGTATAAGAATTGTATGGTTGAGAGTAGGGAGAATTACAAATTTGATCTTGGAGTTAAAGGGTTAAGTGTTGAAAGTAATGCAGGAATGCATTGGTTTTCCTCTACTTTGCTCAGTGATTGGTCCAGAAAACTTGCGCCACACACTCTAAAAACTAACACCAATCACAACCTGGTTGCCAGCTTTTTCTTGCACTTTATGGGGTTGTCTTGTTTTTACTTTGAGTTCTTATTGGCTCTTCAAAAAGTTCACTAATCTAGGGTATTGTTTTGGGTTTATTATGCATTGTGATTGGATCAGAAATCTGGTGTCACCCTTGTAACGAATAAGATATAAAACCAGTCACAGATTAGAACTAAGTCCCAGTTTTATTACAGTTTAGCATCTGGTTGGTTGAGAAGTTTGCACATGTTTTTGGGACCAATCAAATAGATTGGAGAAGCAAAACCACTGCAAAATCCCAAATTATTTATGATGACACTGATATACTGGTAACATACCTTTCATAAACCATCTGTGACCAAGAGTTGGTATCAAATAACCAGCCAGTATAGTTTAGTGTTGGTGAAACTCCACCCCGGAATTTGAAATCACTGTCATCTGATCCCTACAAACACATTTTAAAAAGGAAGCAAACTTAGGTTGATTTTTGATAACCAATGAAATTTAAAGAGAAATCAACCAAGAGCGCATTGACAGAGTGTCTTCACCCCATGTGACCAGTATAGCCCTGTGAGTGCTTTTATTGAAAAACATTGCCAACAAAAAAATACCCTGAAAAACCCTGGCCTCAGAGGGCTGGAACCCTCCCATTATTTAGTTGGGTGAGCCACCACCAAATGAACTAGGAAGTCATTTTGGGAATTGAAAGGGTTCTTCATCTTCATAGAGGAATCTGATCGTAATCAAATAAAGTGCTGTAAGTAATAATTTGGCCTGCTGTCTACAGGTCAAAGTATTACATTCACTTGAACAAGTTGGATGAAATGGAGATTGGAAAACTAATCAAAAATAGGTAGCTACATGCCTATCATATTGGAAATTAGTAAACCCTTTACACCCTAACATCAATATGCATATTCTCCATACTGTTCCCCATACATTTCCAAAGAGGCTGACAGGGAGAATTTGTTTCACAATCAAGAGCTGCTTTAGTTGGTGATCATCTCATCTACTTTCATGAATTTCATGCTTGATTCAGGGGTAATATAGGGGCTAAAAGATTAATAGTGCATTTAAGATTTTTGAAATTCTGTACCTGCATAACTTTCCATCTAAGCTCCTTTGCAGTCATTTCCATATCTTGTATTACAATTTTCAGTGTTTGATTGTCATAGCTGTACAAGAAAAAACAAAACAAATTCAAGATCTTTCATTACAAAGTATTGGAACAATTGTTGTAAGCACAAATAGTCAATTAGTAAATTTACCACACTTACGGATAGTCCTGAAGATCTGCTGCAAAGTTAAAAGCTGATTTCACTCTGAAATACTTTCCTTCATGGCTGGAGACCTGCAAAGATTTCATGTGTATGTTGGAATGTTTTTTGTTTTTGTTTTTTTTTAATGTCATTATGAGTGGGAAAAATTTACCACTTTACGTAACACCTTGTTTTACACATCCTCCCATTTTCCCATTCACCTCATTTTACCCATCTCCTTTGTATTTCACTTAGATTTATGACCCACCTACTTCACACTTAGTTGGGCCATAAATCTAAGAAGAAGAAAACAAAGTTAAACTTTGTAACTTGCAGCTTGGACCTCAGACTCAAATGTTAAGAGGTATTGATTTTTTTCTGAGGAAAAGTGAGCAAAACTAGTTTGAAATTTTGCAGTTACCTGTGGCATCATAAATGTCATAATTGATCTAATTCAGTTTAGAGGTAACATCATGGAATATCTCTCTCTCTCTAAGGGATTAGTTATAAAAAGATACTGATGGTTCTACTGACCTCTGCTTGACCAGCAGCATTTACAAGCTCAAAGCAAGCTCCTCTAAGACCATCTTTACATTTCTGTTTTGTATACATTGTCTGTCCTTCAGGTACTGTATTATATACAAAAGAAAATGTTCCTGACTTATTTCATACATATTTCTTATTTATAGCAATATTCTAATGTTCAGAAAGTCCAGTGTTGCCTAATGAATGGCCAGCCTTCTATTCCCCTTCTATTTAGTAACTTAGTTAAAAATCTCATTTTTGCTCATACTTAAACCCTTTATATACCCAAACATCAGTATGCATTTTCTCCACACTGTCCTCTATACTTTTCCTGTGGTGCTAACAAGGAGAATTTGTTCAACAGTCAAGAGCTTATTTAGCCGGAGATCATTTCCCTTATTCTCACCAACTTCATGTGTGATTCAGGGGTAATTTTTTCAGGAGAAATTAGATGCTAGTCACCCTTTAGGATCAAAGGGTTGAAGTGTCAACTAGGGGCAGAGGCAGGAGCTAGAGCAAACAGGTACTGGCCTGAGGATCAGAAAATTATATACTATCATTGCCATCGTAATAATCATTCTTACTGTTTTTGTTAACATTCTCTCTTCCTTGATTAAAAATCTTTATCATTATAAGTACTAATTTATATATTGTTGTTTCTGTTTTGATTATCATCTGCATATCACTATAATCATATTTTGTGATTTTAAACTCCTGATATAGCATGAGAAGGTACAATAATTAAACAGCTATTTGTTTCTTGATAGCATCATCTGTCAGTGACATAACAGGCATACAGATTTCACCTAGAGTTTGAGCTAACTCTTGTGTGTGGGAATCTTTTAATGCACCTGAGAGGATGTCATTGAAACAAAAAAATCTGAATGTAGTCCACACCTTTGAAGTACAGATAGAAATCAGCATGAAAGGTTCCAGCCTTTAAATCCACAGAATGGAGATTTATAAGATAAAGAGCAATCTCAACATACACAGTCTTCTGCTCACTAACAACCTCTGGGCATTTCTCATAATAATACCTGACGAGATAATGTAAAGATATGTAAACAGATTTTATAGTAGATACACTTAACATCTTACACACCAAAAAACCTTAAAACATTTGATTTAATTCAAAACTTAAGCAAAGATCATGTGACAAGAAAGGGTACGTTTTGTGAAATTTAGATGCGGTTTCCCTTTGGGATCTTCGTAGGACAAAATCTAAATTTTGTCCGAGGGTGCATTTCAAAAAATTTCATTCTGAGGTATGTCAAGTGTTTCATAACGCCATGCAAATATTTCAAACCAATTTCAAAGATATTCAGTAAAACCTTTTCAGTAAAACCTTTAACTCAGCTTTCATTTTTGTCCATTCCAAACGGCAAAGCTTCTTCAATAACCTTTAATTCCATGTAAAGAAGATATCATATTCCAAGTAACATTTTATTGCGTGCAAGTGCTTCATATAACAAAAAAAAATTGAAAAAGGGTAATAGAAGAAATCAGCAATATTTTATGGAGAAAATGACGCGAAAAATTGATGAATAGCACTAAAAAGATCAGGCTCAAATGAACTAAAAGTAACCACGTGAGTTGAAGAGGATTTTAACTTAAAACCGGTCATTCAGTTCACTGAACTTTATAACTGCCTGAAAAGTAAACAGCGTTAAAATCGAGAACCTTACAGGAAAAATTTTTACACCGTGTACACCAATCTATTTATCGAAGTCGTGAGAGGTGAAATAACGCCATTATTGTACTAACAGACGGCCATACAGGATGATAGCATCATTACTTTCATTTCCTGATAACAATGTTCTAAAGAACTCCAAACATGGCTAATTGCAAAAATTTGAGTATGAGGCTGACATAAATTGTCATGTCCGCTGTGGAACACAAGACTAGCGTGGTTGTCGAAGCGAGAAAGTGTTTACTGTGATGTGATCGTGAATTAATAGCTTTCCATCGTGAATTAATAAGCTTACCATTCTGCTCTGCAATCGTAACCTTTCTTTGAACCCGCAAGATTGCCAGGAATACACGAAGCACAGTTTGTACAGTTCTCTAAAGAATGGATCGCCCCAGGTTTGTGGCAATGATCACCGCATTTGTCGCAAAATCCGCAGTTTCCATCGTTCAGACACCAGGTGCAGTTTCGTCCTCGCGATAAGCAATCGTCATCGTCAATATAGGCAACGGACGAACAGAGTTTTAACGATATCACAAGTCCAACTATAACACAGAAACTGTTTACAATCCAACTTGAACACATCCTGCGTCAAATTCAACGGACACAAACGTTTCCCATAAATTTCCACTAAGACATAAAATTCCAGCTGAAAACTTAGAATTTGGGGGTTTTAAAATTCGCAACTACGCATGTCTGGTAGTTTTAATGACGTTATCTAAAACATGTGATTGGTTGCACCATTCCCGCCAAATAAAGTGGTTTTTCCCTGAGAAGAGAAACAATTATTCTTGTAACTTTCGAGAAATCGTCCATTTTTATTTTGTTTCATAAGATCACTCAACTTAACGAATTAAATAATTGCTCAAATGAAATCAAAATTAAACTTTGGTCAGGTTCTGCATAATTTATGAAGAGAAATGAAAAACAAATGATAATAGTTTGCCACCAGCGACCAGATGCTTTTGCGAGCATTCATCGGGAACTGTTCGATGTAATCAGTCCAAAGTGTTTACCATGGACGCGAAATATTATGTAGAGTTCAGGAATTGCAATGAATTCTATCCGAACAATGATTTATGCGGATAGATAACTATATAACTATATACAACTAGGGTAAATAACTCAACCTAAAAATCTGAGAATTTAACACATATTGGACTACTTTTGAGTAGACTTTTATTCTTGGAAAAAGGAAAAACAACATGAAAATAAAAAAAACATCTATCGGCAGCCAGAATCTCCCACCCCTCCCCCATTCTTAAAAGCGAGGAGGCGTTCTCAATCAGATTGGCCAGCGGACGAATAGGGACACAACAATAACCATAAATGAACAGCCGAATACGAATTGTTCTCCTTGAAACAAAATGGCGGAGCTTAGTGCATATCGGGATCAACATTTTAGGGTAGGTATTCATTCCAGAGGTTTCTTTTCTCACCATGATTCAGGTGTTACGCTTTCCAATAAATTAAAATTTCTTCTCTGTCTCGTTGTTGTCATAGGGCACTCGCGGAGAGCTGGAAAATCTGCTAGAAACCAGTTCGACATTGTATGTCGGGAATCTGTCCTTTTACACTACGGAAGAACAGATTTATGAGTTATTCGCTCGCGCAGGAGACTTAAAAAGGATTATAATGGGATTGGACAAAGTGAAAAAGACCCCTTGCGGATTTTGCTTCATAGAGTATCCTTTTACATTAATAAAGCTTTGAATGACAATCTTTTCTTTCATGCGCTTGAAAACGTGATAGCGAAATGTGGTTGCAAATTGATTTACCATTAAATAAAAAGTTATGAAAGAAATTGATGTCGTCGCCATAAACTTGTCGCCATTCTCTAGTTAACAGTTTTGTTCCAAACCTTCGGCGTTTTTTTATTTGTAATTGCCATAATCCAGAGGGATTTCGGTCACAAACTGGTATTCTGGAAATTAACCCTTTACAACCCAGCATCTGTATACATGTTCTCCATATATTTACAGTGGTACTGATCAGGAGAATTTGTTCGTTAATCAAGAGGTTCTTTAGTTGGTGGTCATTGCTTTTCTTCTTATCACTTTAATGTTTGGCTTAAAGCCGTGATTCTGTAAAGAGAAATTAGATATTAGTCACTCTTAGGAGTTAAAGGGTTTACGTGGCTGTACAGAAGAGGTCATCAAGATGTAAGATTTAGTTGTGCAACAATTGTCTTGTTTTAGTCATGATGATTTCACTTCCTTAGCTTTCCACAAGATATTACACACGTGAGGATGCACAAAATGCCATGTGGTACATCAATGGAACAAGACTAGATGATCGTATTATACGAACAGACTGGGATGCAGGTTTCATAGAAGGACGTCAATATGGTCGTGGGAAAAGTGGGGGGCAGGTAGGACACTTAATGGTTCATACACGTAGAACCATATGATATACCTTGGAAATTTTGCAGGTTTAATGTTTCCAGATTTTGCAGAATATCCTTCATCAACAATAAAAATAGTTGCCTGCACAACAAAATATGGGATAACTTAATGCCTCAAAAATGACTTCCTTGAGGTTACTGTCAACAAAATATGGTACCTTCTGGAAAAAAAATCATCCAATATGTGCTACTTTTAAAGAAACCATAGAAAACTATACATCACTGTAAAGCTTATAGAGTATAGATTATGAAAATAAAATGTTTCACAGTTTTTGTTTTGGTAGGTGAGTGTAAGCCTTTAAATACAGCACTAACAATGTTTGCTTGACTGAATTACGGGTCTCTTTGTTACTGTGAACCTCAAAACAAACTAGAAGGAATCACTCAGCAGATAATAGGGTAACAAAGAGTGGGAAGCTTTTTTGATATTTGATAGTCAGGGAGAATTTGCCTGCACATCACTCAACTAAGTTTTGGTCACCATCAGCCAATCATAGTCTACAAATATGTCAATGAAGAGGGATGTGCAACATTATTGTGGTTAAGCAGCCAAAAAAACATTTCTCTCTCCTTCATTTTCAGGTGCGAGATGAGTATAGAACTGATTTTGACCCTGGCAGAGGGGGTTTTGGTAAACAAGGGCAGCAGAGCTCAGGAGTTATAAGCGGTCCTCCAGTTGCTTACTCAAAGCGGTGACACATGCTTTGTATGCAGAGTTCTTTGACATTGAAACAAAAATGTGTTCTTTCTTTAGCTTCTCAGCTTGTGAAAAATACTAGTGATTCTAAAGGACAACAATAATAGGCTACAAGTGCAAATGTACATGTAGTATTATTTGATGTGGCTCTCACAAGGATTCTATGTGCAAGTGTCATATAACTAAAGAAATATCAAAAAGCAAAAGGAATTAGTTTGGTTCAGGCCTTATGAAAAACACCATGTTTCCTCAGATCTCTCCTTAAGTAGAAGGCCAACAATTTTTGAGTTAAGTACAGTTACTGTGTGATTTCCTTAAGCACCCAAGCTGTTGCAGTAATAGTGAAGAGCACTGCTCAGTATCATTTTAAGTTTAAATGAAGTGCTGTTAAGGAACATCAATTTCTCCACATGTGCTATATGGATACAAGACTGAATTGGAAGAGGATCAAGCAATCTATCAACTTTAATGAGGAAATTAGCAGTGTACAGGTGTGGTCACCATACAAAGTGTTGGAATTTTTTTCCTACTAGGCAGTAACCAGTGCATAAAAATATTTTTAACTGAAGTTGCTTTTAAGTTGTAATAATTTTTTTACCTAGCATGTTAAGTTAATGCCATACCAATTGATTAAGTTAATTATCAATGATGTTTCTTCAATCTTACAAAAAACAGTCCATAAAAGTATGTACATGTACCAGTGTGTTTTCAATTATAATTTATTTTTACATCACAATTTCATTTATTGACTACATCCTCTGAAACACTTGTATCTCCTTCCTTAAAAAAAAAATGTTCTTTCACAATGTATTGCAAACACTGTAGGATTACGTTTCTTTCATGTCAAACATCTGGTGCCAACAGCTGTTGTTGTTTTTACCTAGGATGTTAAGTTAATGCCATATCACCTGATTAAGTTAATTATCAATGATGTTTCTTCGATCTCACAAAAAAACACAGTCCATAAAAGTATGTACATGTACCAGTATGTTTTCAATTATAATTTATTTTTACACTCATCACAATTTCATTTATTGACAACATCCTCTGGAACACTTGTATCTCCTACTCCAAAAAAATGTTTTTTTACAATGTATCGCAAACATTGTAGAATTACATTTCTTTCATGTCGAATATCTGGTGCCAACAGCTGTGGGGAAAAAAAAGAAATTTGTTTTAATAACTTCCAATTTGATCATAAAACACTTGGCAACAATATGAATCTATAAACAGCACATACTCTTTTCAGATCTTGTTTTAATCTCACCTTTTCAAGTAAAGTTGACTTCCTTACTCCTACACAGTTGGAGTTTCCCTGGATGAACAATTTAAACACAGAAATGAACTCTAAGACAATGTGGGCAGGTTATTTAAACAAAGTTTAGCTGTTATTTGACAAGATTGTATCCTCTATTAAGCTAAATCTTTTATCTGAACATATATTTTTGCAAACAGTGTTAAGAGGGCCGAAAGCTAACAGTGGCAGGACATTTATTTAATTAAATCAACCTTTTTTTTTAGAGAAAGCCTGAGGCCCATGGATTGTGTAAATACCATGGTTTAAGTCATACTCCCTGCATATAATAATTTGTGCAAAAGTATGCTCGGACAGTTGTCAATGGGTACATAAAAGCGTATTATTGTCTAAAATGGAGGCTAATATGTTTATTAACCTTGAAATATTTATGCAATGTCCCCATTCCCTGTCCACCTTGTCCATCAAAGCCACAGCAAGATTACAGAAAAAGAACAGGAGATATAATGTCTGTAATTAAAATACTTACCTTTGAGAACGTTTTTCTTGATTTTCTGTGACGTCTTTTGGTTGCTTTACGTTGTTCTTTTTTCACATTTGTATCAGCAGATGTACATTTAACAGCAGCTCCCTCTTCTGTTTTTGTTGCTTGTGGAAGGCTAGCAGTGTTTATGTTGTTGTTTATTTCCTCTGGAAAAAATTATCTTGAATGTCAATGATTTCTGATGAATGAATTGATTGAGTACATATACAAAATTACTCATTTTTTAACAGATAAGAATTGTATGGCAGACAAGAATGACTCTTGGGAGCAAAAGGGTGAACAGTGGTACACTGAACTCTAAATTGGTACCTGATGGTTTGTCATCTTCTGAGTCACTGGCATATGCTGTGCAGAGTGAACTTAGGGCTGAAATCCCAGATGTTCCACTACAAAGTGCAGGGTCAGAGTTATCTGATGTTTCCTTCAACAATCTTTCTTGAGATAAACTCTCCCACATTTGATTTCCTGCATGAAAAAAGTACATTTCATTGACTTTGAATGTAAAAATGGGTTAAGCAATACAATACTAACTTAACACTCTTTTTTCTTTTGCATTCTTATCAACCGAGTGAAGTCAGAGTCTGTAAGAATTTGGGGGAAATAGGGAAGGAAGGGGTGTTGGTTCTGTGGTAAATAAGTAGGCAGTCCCAGGTGGGCAAAGAAGGTCTTATTTAGTCTATAACTAATCGTATCACCCCATTCACTATATCTTGCTCCCTTTTAGCAAGAATTGGTTGAGATATGTATCTGTCACTACAACTTACCTGGCTCATTTTCAAAGCAGTCATCAAGAACCAATGAAAGTGGATCTTCAACATTGTGTAATCTATTAGAAGGTTGTGCTACCTTCTCCTGGTTCACATCTCTGAATTGTTGTTTTGCTTGGTCACCAGCTGTGTGATCTAATCCATTCAGTTCCTTTGGAAATCTCTTTGGATGACGTCTGTTGTTAAAATGGTTCTGACCACCTCGCTGAAATGATCTTCCTCTACCCTGGCCTCTGCGGTATCTTTAAATTTTGAAAATTGTAGAGTCACGCTCAGAATTTTCATACCAATACATAATAGTGGAGTTTGCGTAGCCCCATAATCATACAAAATAGTAGTAACCCATCAAGCTGAAAAAATTTGGATGTACGACCATACGACCGTACAAAGTGCTACTTTTAACATGCCTGGTCAATTGTACCATGGGCACACCAACTTCACGGCTTTGTTCAGTAGTCCAGTGGTCAGTGCACTGGGCTCCGAGTTGGACGACCCAGGTTCTAGTCCTGGCCGAGGCAAGGCGTTGTGCCCTTGAGATGTGCGGAAAAAAAAAAATGTGAGCTCTGCTTTTAGGCTTGGCGAAATCTATATATTACAAGTGCAGTGGGGCTCTGGGTCACATACATTCAAACTTACATTTACCTAAAATTCTTGGTTTTCAAAACTTGCCCTGATGCTTTCCTCTTTGCATCTTCTTCCATTTTCTTCTGCACATTAGCCAGAGTGGGATACTTCCTATATCAGATGAACAAGAAAAATAAAATCAAAAAATTACTTTTGGTGAAATAATGCCAAAAAAAAAAATTAAAATCCTCAGAAATTATCATTCATTATAAATATTGACCACAAAAACTCTCAATCAACATTTAAGGTGACTAAAACAGACTTTGCAGTATGTCTTTAATTCAGAATAGCCACAACATTTTAATTGATATATCCTCAAGCCAATCTCAAAGCATTTCCTAAAAATCCATTAATAACATTTTGTCTTTAAGATCCCCAAGGACTAATTTAGACTTAGAAAGATTATTTTGAAAAAAATCTTAAAAATCATGAACCAAAAATAAAAGGTCCTGTCCACTTTCTTTGCTTGAGCCTTACTAATGGCTCTGACTAAGTTGGAATCCTAGATTACTTTAAAAGAATTTTTTTCAAACTGGTTAAATGAAAAATGCTATCACAAACACCTTTTTCTTTCTTCTCTCCACTTTGCTATTTCCTCTGGGGTATCCAACTTAATCCTCATTCTGCCAGTTTCATGAGTCTAAAAAACAAATTATTGTCAATTGATAATCATTTGTTAGTTTTTTTTTTTTTTTTTGATTTGTCCATCCTTTTTCTCCCCAAGATTTTACAATAAAATCTTCTCAATTCCAGCAAAATATTTCTCTCAATGTAAGCCTAATGAATCTGGTATTTATCCCAACAATATGCCCTTTTAACTCTCGTCACCTGTATTATCATAAAGAAGGAAGAAATTAGTTACTGAACACTCCTTGGAGTGGAATGGTTACCTTTCTCTACTAAATGCATCAGACAACCAAATGTTCCCCAGTTAAAACTGGTGAATATCCAAGGATAATGAAGACAATAGCCTCCATTAGGAGTGTTAATATGTTTGTAGATTTGCCCTTGGATATAACCTGTTCTTCTAAGCTCAAAGTTTCCCTTGAGCTTTGCTCTCAAATGACTGTTTGCATCTTGAGCACCTCACTCATGGAGCTCCTGCAGCACATCAACATCACTCGAAGAGCACCCTGCAGCATGCTAACATCAATTTTGTTTTCACTGATTTGTTTTGACTCACTCAACAGACCTTGCCAGAAAAAGGGGCTGCTCATACTTTTATATATTGTATTAATGATACTTTTTAAGTTTGATTACAATAAACAATAAAGAAGTTAAAAATAATAATAATAAAATATGGGCAACAAATGACCTGTATCCAATGAAGTTTTACAACTTTCCTTCCAGCCTTGAATGTGCACCCTTCATAACTACACTGTTTAAAAAAGAAAGCATGAAAAATATTAATAAATAAATCAAAATCAATAATATTTTAATTCATTGTTATCATGAGCAGAAAGATCAATGGTTGGAAAAATTATGTAAGGATAATTTTATTAATCAGAGACCAAGCCTATGATTTAAAAAAAGACTGAATTTTAACACATTTTAAGTTAATTAAACTTCTTTGCAGATCTTTACTCTTAATAAATAAATAAATTTGAGAAATACATTCCAATGACATTTGCAAATTGTTGCTAGACGGTAAAGTGTTCTCAAATTAAGATAATAAACCATAAGCTCTATCGCTCATATCTTCTCTGCACTCTGATACTGAACTAGGCCAACCTGTTTTAATATTGCAAACAAACAAATTGATTACAATAATAAACCTCAGCAACCTTCAAATATCATACCTGAATGTGGGATCCCAAATGTGCAGTCAGAGTCTCTTTACTTGAAAAATCTTTCTGACAAGCATCACAACTGAATTCTTTCCTCAAAGAGACATTTTCCCTATCTTCTGTTGTTTTGCTTGCTGATCCCTTCATGAAACAAAGAGTAGGGCATCATTAACTATAACCACATTTTACAAAAATATAGGCAGACTTATTTCTTAAAACACAAGTGTAAATGACAGTAATCTTTAGCAAAATCAGAAATTAAATTTTTCATTATTTTTCCTAAAAAAACAAGCACAAACTAAGTGATGTATATGACCTGAGGGATACACTTATTGCACTGATCCATCACTAGGAAAAATTTCATTAAATTTTTTCTCAGTCATGATTTGCACCAACAGAGTTGTGTTGTGAAAAATGAGGGGAGGGAATGGAAAAAGTCTCAAACTGTCATCTGATAGACTGCAGGGTTTCCCTTCCAAATTGTCTTTTATTCACTTGAAAAACACAGGAAAAGTTGATGTTGGACAAAAAGTCACTGGAGGCTTTCACTGAATATTCAATTTTCCCATAAATGATGTTCGCGTTAATTCCTGCATGTAAGGAATAAGACACAAGGAACGTAGAAAAAGAGGTCCTTTAAAGGTTTCTTCACCTGTGCAAATAACTATAGATATTATTGGTCATAATTATCAGAATGTTGTAATATTCTTGATAGCTAACTTGCAAAGTATATATCACACATGTATATATATATATATATATAGCAGCCATTATCCTTCATATCACAAATCAAAAGTCGTTCTCATTCTCACAAAATCAACAAGTCAGAGCTAAGAATCTTGTAACGATTGTCTAACGACGCAAATTTACCTGGACATTGGTAGCCTGTGGTTGTTGGAACGATGGGTTCCTTTCCTGGGAAACCACGTGGCTAGAGGGAGGTCGTAATAACGGTATGTTCGGCCGTATTCCAGGCGTGATGTGACACCCAGGGTAGCCAGGAAAAGAGTGAACAGACAGTAAGGGTGAAAAACTCATCGAAGAACTATGTGGTCTTCCAAAAATCGACGGTGCAGTTTGCATCGGCCACCCTGAATTTCCACCAGTGTTAAAAGCTGGCCGAAAGTTTCCAAAATTTGGAAGAGGTAGCTGTGACATCCTCAATTCAAATATTCTCTATCAAGGAAAACACAACGACGTGGAAAGAAGACCGAGCTTATATCACACACACACTTGTTAACGTTCATCAACGATTTCTTCACGTGGATGTATGTTTCTTCAGAAGTTGGGGTTTCCGGCGCCTCCGTGGAGTCTTCGGTAATCTCTCGGATATTTCCGATGGAACACATATGTCAAGTAAAGAAAGTGAATTATCCTCCCATATCAATAATTCATGCACTGTGGGCTCAACTATGGCGGACATTTCGACTTTCATAAAAAGACAACTTTTTCGAAGGAATGAAACTTTTCTGCTACTTCTTCTATTTGTTGCGTTAATATTCATATTCAAACTCAACCAGAAAGTCGGCTGTGATGTGAAGAATGACTCGCTTCCCCAGAAGGCCATCAAAACAAATGAACAGTCAATACCAGTGGAATTAGAAACGTTTCTATTTATTATGATTTTAACAGCTCCTAATGGCAAAGAAAGACGAGATGCTATGCGGAAAACATGGCTTTCTAATCTAGAAACTCTTCATTCATCGGTAGTTCCAAGATTTGTGATTGGAATAAAGGAATTATCTCTAGAGGACATGAAAAATGTGGAAGAAGAAAACACTCAACATCGCGATATTATATTTCTTCCAGAACTTAAAGATGCGTACAAGGACCTACCCAGCAAAGTTTTGCAAGCACTCAAATGGATCGATCAGCATGCGAATTTTTCATATCTTCTTAAGGTTGATGATGATAGTTTTGTACGGTTGAATGTTATCCTCAATGAGCTCCAAAGCACATATTCAATGAAAAGATTGTACTGGGGTTTCTTTCGTGGAGATGCACATGTGAAATTTGCAGGTCCGTGGGCTGAAAAAAATTGGAATCTCTGCGACAGATACTTGCCTTATGCGCAAGGGGGTGGTTATGTACTTTCTAGAGATCTGGTCAATTTTATTGCTCGAAACTCAGATTTCTTGCAAAAATTTAACAGTGAAGATGTATCTGTAGGTAAGTGAAGCATGTTTAGAGATGGTAAGTAAAGTAGGTTTTTTTCATTTTGGCATCATAAAACAGGCTAGTATGGCCTAAGATCCTTCCTAAGCACTTTTTCCTATGAGCATTAAAAGGGATGTTCATCTGGGAAGTTGGTTCAGTCAGGTTTACAAGATTCTGTATTTCGTTGTTGAGATCCAAGTAAACAGGGTATTATAAGTCTAAAAACTTTGGAATACTTCAGGTAAGACCATGAAATATCCCACCTGGCTCATCTCTCTAACAGAGCTGAAATTTCCCTTGTAAGCAGTACATCTCAGTTGCTAAACAAGCATTTCCTGTATGAACAAAACACAGAATTTTGCTTGTGTGCTGGACCCAACTGCTGTAACCGGAAATCACAGAATGAAAGAAAAGCAAAACTATTGCAATCAGAGATTACTTACAATGCTCAATTGGTAATTGTTCTAATATACAGGCTAAGGAAAAATCTGCAGTTGGATGTTTTGGGTATCATCTGATGTAATGATGATCATAGTTATTCCAAAGGAAATTACAAATGGTTGAATGACAGTGGTGATTATGTTATTACTGACAAGGTGTGATACTATATTATTCAAGGTTATTCTCAGAGTAATCCACCTTGATTTTAGGAACATGGCTGGCTCCTCTCCAAGTTAATAGAGTCCATGACTACAGATTTGACACTGAATATCGTTCAAGAGGTTGCAATAACCTTCACATTGTTAGTCATAAACAGTCTGTTTCTGATATGTACCAAAAACATCGCCAATTGCAAAAGGATGGAAAGCTTTGTCATCAAGAAACTCATCTCATGAACTCATTCATTTATAATTGGAGTGTGCCACCAACAAAATGTTGTAAAAGAATGGGAGGTATACCCTGAGACTGATTTTTGACAGGGTAAGGGACAAAAAATAATTTATAGTTATGATTATTATACAAGTCATGGCTGTCTCTATCTCATTCTTAGCTGGCTACAAGCTTGCAGCTGACAATCATTATCTTCCTTTTTTTCACTGGTTATCTTTACAGGCAATAGTTTTATTCTATTTTTGTCAAAGTAAGGTTAAAATAGCTTCAAAAAACATATAGTTTTCAACCAATCATGTTGCAAAAATTCTTGGATTCAGTTTTGGCAAGAATTATCATGGCCACGGGTTGTTTTGTTCTCATCCTTGTTCACTCTGACAGGTATTTATTTATTAACTAATGACATTAGTATTATTCTGTATTTACCAGTAAGGTTCATAAATTAACAAAAATGGTAAAATTTGCCATAAAAATGTTGGAAACAAGAGATTTCAATGCTAAAAGAGCAATATTTATCATAAATGTAATTATAATGATGAAAGGAAATATTTTTCTCATCTGTAGGTGGATGATGCCTTGGAAAAGTGAGGCTACAGTTTAAGACATTAGTGCAATAAAAGAAAGAAACTTTCTTCTCATTGACTAGTGTTACTTGCTTTTTGCTTTGTAAATGTCTCTGTTCAGATAAATTTCATGTTTATTTAAGAGATTTGTCATTTTCATTTTTTTAAAAAATCTTGACTTTTTGATAGAGACCTTTATTATTGGAAATTCTTTTTCCAACAGATAACCAAAGTTTGAGTCTCATCTTTATGCACATGGGTTTTTGTTATGCTCAGCCATTGATTATTGGCCTCTTCATCCTTGACAGAAACTCAAAATTTAAAATGAGGAAGAAGTAAATGCGAAAAAAAGATGTATTCTCGGCAAATTTTATATTTTGGTTCTGATTTCATGTCAGTCAAGCTCTAAAAGCCTCGTTATCAAATCATGAGAACGAGGCTTGCGCGTGTTTTCCTGGAGACTGGACCTGACTCAGTCATTTTCAACCTGAAGCAGATTAATCGTGTGAAAGGGACCTAGAAGGTGAAAACCATGCCGAATAAAAAGAAAAACAATCAAGCAAGGAACCCTTTTTACTTCTTTATGGTTTCTTTGCGGCCCCAACTAGAAAGGCAGGGGGTAGTTTTAGAAAATGGCATGAGATCATTGGCAGAAATTGCTGGCCCTCGATGGAAGGTAAGTTGGCTGATGGTGTCATTTAAGAGATTCCAGGTCCGAATAATACCAGGAGGTTTAAAGGTTCATTGTTTTTCATCTCAAAATCAATACACATATGACTGAAACTTTGTACCTAGAAAGAGCTTTCTACGAAAGTGAAAGGATTTTTGAGAATTTCCTGTAGCATCGCGTGCCGAGGAATGCTTAAACGATCTGACAGTAACTCGAACACTGGTAAAAATATGGGTTTATTCTGCCATGTGTTTTTGAGTTGTACACTGTCTAATTGCGAAATGAATTTTTCCTCTTGCATACGAGATGCAGCAGTGATGGGGTAGGCTTTAACAGAGAGGTTTTTTAGCCAAAGCTATGCCTTTACTAAGAATTGTTTTTGAAAATGGAGCGAAAACAGGGGCATCTATTACCTAAGAAGAACAACAAACTGTGGCTACTAACTGTACGGCTGTATTTTTCAAAATAAGCAGCTGTGGAAACAAAACTACGCTTGTCAAATCAAAACATGAATACAATGTTTTTGTATTGTGTTTTGCATTGTCTAAGTAAACACTAAAAGGCTGATGTGCAAACGATTATAACCGTTGTCATTTAACTTTGAACTTCAAGGAGTGACATGCACATAAGTTTTCCCAGCATTGCTTAATACAGCCTTGCACAGACAAGTAATGAGAATGGAGAATATTGTCTGCCAGGCAGCATGATCTTGATAAACAATATTCTCAGATACTTCCTCAAGAAATGTTGCTTGGAGAAACAAACAGTTTTCCAAGAGTAAAGAAAAAGAGAAATAAGGGAGATAATGTCCAGCAACAAATATATATGCAGTATTGACCAAGGGTGGGGTAAAGATGGCAGGATATTGGCAGAGTCTTTTTTTTTTTTGCACTATTATGGACCTTGACTTTATCTCAGTCCATAAAAAAAACAAAAAGGGAATGAGGGCAATATCCAGCTATCTTGACAGAAACAAGCTTGATCAACAAAGGATTAATTATAAAACAGTGATGTTCTCTATTTCAACTCTATGAATAGACAAATATAATCATTTATCTGTAACAACAGCAAAACGATCTTTTTAAAATTAGATCAGAATCAGAGGTGTTTGAATTTATAAACAATAGCCTCAATTTGGCCCATAAACATGCTTGCACATTTGGCAGCAGATATGATCTGTTTTCTGAGAACAAGCTCAAGGAGAACTGTGAGCCTACAAGAACAGATAAATTCCAAGGACAAATTTACAAGCATATTTTCGCGCCTTTTTGTAACACTTGGGAAAAAATGGTTTCAAATTGTTCGCTGTTTACTGTATGTGGGATGTTTTCTTTCCATTATTTTCTTGTATGACTTCATGGGAAATAAATGTCCCTTCAGTAACAATAGCTAATAAAATGCTCTTTCATCTTGAATTAAATTTTGAAGGAAAGCCTTTATTATAGTGGATATAAGGTTTGACAATGGTGGAGTATATCACTAGGGGTATATCCTCGAATATTCTCCAGTTTTCAGTTGGGGCATATCCAATCATGATTATGATGCTAGATATTCCCCAATTTTACCTGGTGCATATTCTGTAATATGATACGTATAAGACCAAGGATGCATGAACAAGGAGATTAGATGGATTACAATATTATTTTAAACTTGTCTTGTCTTGTTGAATTTTTTTACTCCACCTGATATTTTAAGCCTAGATGGTTTTAATTGCTTTTGCCTTTGGACTGAAAACTGTTTAGAAATTAAGGTTACTGTAGAATATTTTCTCTTGTGTGACGACAGGAACTACCTGAGCATGAGAAAGAGGTATATCAAGAAATGGCTCGGCAAGACAAAGCAAATAAGAAATATCGCCCTGGCCGAAATGATAAAATGGACTGCACTGGAGAGTATATATCTGTAAGTTAGTCACAGCAACTCTGAAATAATGCTACTTTAGGGCAAGAAGCTTCAGACCTTCTTTAGAGTCACCAAAAATCATAATTAGATTAAACCGTTAACAGGGCCTCAAGCTCAGATTTTTTTCAAAGTTGCCTTTTGGCGAATTAAAATGTAAGTTGAACCTGTATGAACCCTTTAGCCCCTAAGAGTGACCAGCATCTAATTTCTCTGTACTATATCACCCCTGAATGAAACATGAAAGTTATGAGAATAGAGAAGATGATCACCAACTAAAGCAGCTCTTGATTGTAAAACAAATTCTCCTTGTCAGCCTCTTTGCAAATGTATGGAGAACAGTATGGAGAATATGCATACTGATGTTAGGGTGTAAAGGGTTAAGTAGTCACCCACAAGGAGTGGCAGGGTTACCACTTCATACAGGTTCCACAGAATAGGGGTTTCATACAAAAAAAAGATTAAAAATACCCTTTTATACTATAATTGACCACTTAATGTATTCAAACTCTCTTAAAAATACTACCAACATTGGTTTTGGGAGAGGAATATGGATTAAATTTTACCTAAAAGATTATTCATAGTTGTACTTGGGTGGTTCCCCTTAAGTGACTGTTCAATGCATGTGGAAGACAATGCAAACAAGCTGGTGGAACTCAGTAAAGGATGACCACAACTTCTTTACCCTTTCACTCCCACAAGTGACCAAGACAGAATTTCTCCTTACAATATCAATACAATATCAAGCAGGCAGGTGATGAGAATAGAGAAGAATATCAATCATGGGATTATTAGTTGATCTAATACCAAATTCTCTGAACTAACAGAGTGGGAGTGAAAGGGTTGATAGAGATGACCACCTCATTGAGATGAAAATTACAGTGATTAGGGGAAAAAATTTGGGACTTCGAAAACCGACTGCTAAAACCCTAAAACATACTGAAAACCCTTTAACTCCCAAGAACTGATTGTCTATTCTCCCCTCTAGCTGCTACATATTTCCTTGTAAATTAGTAATGAGAATTTGGTGTTAGATCAAGACAACAACTTCTTCCTAATAGGTTTGTGTATTCTCTTCACCTGTTTGTTGGATAATATATGGATACTCTAAGGAGAAGTCACATATTGATCACTTTGGGGATTTAAAGGGTTAATGCAGTGTGACTGCTTAATTCAGTGTGACTGCTTAATTCAGTGCCACTTAACGCTAGTGTGACTGTATTTACATATCATACTTTAAACCAATGAAGAGATCTACTGTAGCATCCATTTTACATGACAGTATATTTTTTTATTTGTCTGTTTAGTCAGATATGATACTAAACAATTTTGCAGGATATTTACCTCACTGTTCTGCAGTCTGGTAGATATCTGACACTTACATTAACTTTGAGGTGAATAATTGTTTTAGTATACACCACATAGATACCCCAAAATCAGTTTATTTCTTTCAATATACTGCAAAATAATCAGAAATTGAACTTTTGACATAAGGTTTTGTCTGTTTGGCTGCTTAGAAGTGAATAGTACCAGCTATTCACTTTCCAACTGGCTAATCAGAGCACGCAAAGACCACTATTCACTTGTGTGGTATATATGCTAATATGTGTTCTTTTAATTGCAGAGACGTGTAGATACTGTAAGTTTGAATGAAAAACGAAGGAAAGAAGAAAGAGAAGAAGTAAAGAGAGGTTGGTTACCGGGAAGAGGTGAGAGGATAAAATGCTGTGTCAACAATACTGCTATTTCTAGAATCATATTTGTGAACTGTGGTTTAAGGAATGAATATGAAAGCAGTCTATGCAGTAATGATCACTACTTGCATGTAAGCAGTAGTGAAAATAAGGCCTGAAAAAAATTCAGGCCTGCATGGGATTTGAACTCATGACCTCTGTGATACTGTATAGTGCTCTACCAACTGAGCTAACAAGGCAACTGGGAGCTGGTCAATAGGTTGGTTCATTGTAAACCTGTGAAGTGATGAATGCATGTGATTGTGACTGTATGAAAACCATGTATGTGAATTGTGGTTTAAGAAATTAATATGAAAGGGACCTTTGCAGTGATGAACACTACTTGAGCAGTAGTGAAAAAGCTCCCAGCTCACATTGTTAGCTCAGCTGGTAGAGCACTGTACTGGTATCACAGAGGTCATGGGTTCAACTCCCATACAGGCCTGAATTTATTTTCACTACTGCTTATATAAGTAGTGTTCCTTACTGTGAAGATCACTTTCATTTTCACTACTATTTCTCTCTTACTGGTATTTGTCATGCCAGTAACTCCAAAGCACTATTTTCCAATTTCTCTGACAACTGCTAAGGCCTTAATACTTGTAGAATACTATGATCTCTGTCTTCCATTGCTACTTTGAGTAATCATCTCCCACTGTTTAAATGATGGTGTTATTTTTTTTTTGTTAACTGAACTATACAATTAAACCATTCACAGCCTTGAATCAATTTACCAATCTTAACTGCTTGTAGAGTTTCTCAAATCATTAAAAATTTAACCTCACTTGGTTGTCTTTTGGTCTTTCAGCCATATGTGATGAAAAGTTCTATATGATTGGGTTCATGTCCCTGTATGATCTTCCCGATGAAGGATTCCTTCCTTGTGAGTTAGGTGTAGTGGAATATTCGCTGAATGGAGGAATAATGCGGAAGATGCACTATTTTATCAAACCTGGTATGTACTTTCTTACTTTCATCCCATCAGAAATTTCGCTGAAAATTTAATATGCAAGCAAGCAGCAACTCACATAAGCTATGCCTTCATTACATAATTAGCCTGCAGAGTCTGCATGATTTTGGCTCAGGGAGTGCTCAGCGTTCTTGTGTGTGCTTTGAGCATGAACTTGCAGCATTGTAAGGAGTGGCTGCTCATCACTCAGGCAGTTTTCCCCTCCCCTTCCCTCCCTCTTTCCACTGTTTATTCAGTGTGATGGGTGCCTGTTACCCTTTCCTGTGTGGGGGCTTATGGATGGGTTGCCAGGATTTGCCAGCCATGGGAGAAGTCTCCATCTAAGAGCTGTCTCCATCTAGGAGCTGACTGCCAGTAGTGGAAGGTCCTCAATGTTTCAGGTACCCGACCTCCACTTAGCAATGCATTTGTTAATTAGCAAAAGTTATAGCTGCATCTTTGATTCGTATAGCAGCAGAAGGCTGGAGAGTAAAAACAATTTGTACTAACAAATTTGAAAGAAAGAAGAAGGAAGGGACGGAGGAAATAGAAATTTCTTTTCACCTTTTCCTGCCCCTTCTCCAAACATCTAATCTAACTCTGAATGAATCATGAGCTTTTTTTCTTCAAAGTGCAAAATCAAATTATGATGATTTCGGTTTTTACAGGAGAAATAAGAGTAGGCCTTCGGTACACAGCTGTGAGTACAAGTAAGTACAAACTATTAAGGTAGGAAAAAGATCTTTAACCTGCTACAAAGTGGACACTAGGATGGAGGATATACAACGTTCAAGCTCACTTACATCCTAAATCCAAGATGGCGTCTAGCTATTGATCAAGATGCATGTGCTATGTTTTGTAAACAAACTTAATGAGGAAGTTTGCTGCGGATTTATCTTTTGCAAATCTTTTTAATTCACCATATCTCTAAGTAAGGTTATGATGAAACATTCTAGTCGCCAATTTGGCAACTAATTTTTAGGATTTGGTCAACAAAGTAAAAAATTTAATCGCATTGGTGCCTGTATAAACCGCAATTTCACACCCTGGCCCTAGGGTCAAAAGGTTAAATATGCTGAAGCTACACTGGACCAACTAGAAGGATCAGCTTGCCAATGGTGGCATACACTTAATATACTGTAACATTTGCCACTTTTAAAAATTGACTAATTAAGCTGGTTTACCTCTGACCACTTGTAATGTTTGCTTTTTATCCTTAAACATTTAACACAGAACTGTAAGGTTATGATGAAACATTCTAGTTGCCAATTTGGCAACTAATTTTGTAATGGCCTTCACCGTGAGCACTATTAAATTTCTTCTAAGCATAAGGTGAATATTGGTGACCTTTTCAAAACAAAAGTGATGTTTAAAGTATACAACAGAATAATGGTTGATATTTATGATTTTTAGTAAGGAGTAAAAAGAACTTAATTGATTTTTATCTCTCACTTTTCAGATATCAGAAACAAAACAAACTGAGTATTGCCTTCAGTGGTTGGCTAGAAAAGCAGGTAAGACAACAAGAAACAGAATAGATTTGTTTGGAAAATTCCTTATTTACTCAGAAGGGTAGTTTCACCTTATCCTTTTATCTCCCAATAGTGATAGACCTGCAATTTCCAACTTCTCCCTAGACTATGAGCTGTCCCTTATTTTTTTTGGCAAAGTCTGTCGAAAAAAATCAGTAAAAAAATATTAATGTTAGCGTACTTCAGCATTCTTTCCAAATAAACGTAAAGTGCAGTACAGCTGTAAGCATGTCATTATTTGATTATAAATAATTTATCTCATTTTGCACTAGTTTAGCACACATGCATAGTGCAGACCTAATTTTTACTGTTGGAGAAGGATAATAGGGAATAAAACAATGAAAGCATTTTGATAATTTTAAAACAAAGAAAAATTGAACCACAACATGTGTTTTCTTGACACTGCATTACATGCAATCTCTAGGATCTTAGTAGAAAAAAAATAAATGTATATTTTAAGATTCTTAAAGGGAACATCATATTAATTGCAACAATAATATCAATTTGTTGCCAGTTAATCAGAATTAATCAGACAAAATTTGAATTAATTATTATAGAATCAGTAGTTATATAATGTAGTTGTTGAATAATACAATGTTGTACCCTTGAAGAGTTCGAAAGTTCTTATAATGTTAGGTTGGAGAATTTGATATTGGATCAACTAATAATCCCCTTATTGTTATCTTTTCTCATCACTTGTCTGCTTGATATTGTATCGACATTGTATGGAGAAATTCTGTCTTAGTCACTCATGGGTTACCAGTAAAGTAAAAGAGTCAATTGTAATTGCTGAAAATTTTCTTAAACCCATCTCTGGAATCAAAAGGCCAGGATCTGCTTGACCCAGTTTCACTGAGATGAAAGTACAGGTAAATTTTCCATAGCCTCCTTCTTTGCAGAGTGTTTACCAACCCCATCTACCAACCAGGTGAAGAACTTACTGATCATGTGACTGTGGGGTTTGCTGTCTTTATTTCAGAAATGCCAAACAAATTGAAGAAAGTGTACGAGTTAGAGGGAGTAATATGTGACTTACACTCACATTTCACGGCTGAATCTGGTAGTACCATGGGGATTTCCAAGTCAAAGGCAACAGAGCTTATCTCCAGTACTATTTTTGATTATGAACCAAATTCAAGGTATTTGTTTGTCACTTTGTCTTGCAAATGTTTCTTTTCCTTTCCATTTTTTTTCTAATTCCGTCATACTTCCTTGAGACTCCTCTTCAAAAATTTTGGATTATGAAGCTAATTTCAAAATATATTTTGGCACATACAGTATCCTATTTCCCATGCCCCATCTTCCTTTTTTCCTTCCCTTTTTTTAAAATTATTTTATCCTTTGCCCAGACCCAAAGAAAAGGGAAAGAAAAATGTAAATCTTTATGCTACAGTTATAACTGGCTGATCCAGTTGTTGTGTACAAAATGATGTATAAGCCAGAGGCCTTTGCTAAATCATTTAGAACTAAATTGTTCAAATCAAACAAAACTTGGTTTAAAGCTCTTACTACCTAGCAGGAAGTGAAAGCAGTTGGCTATTTTCAGCATGAAATGGTTCTTCTCAGGACTATGAAGAAACAAACTCAAGCTAGAAGAGCTGAACTGGGCAAACTAATGCCTTTCCCATGTGTCTTGGAAATTTAAATTATTATGCCCTCAGACAGTCCTCATCGAAGCCTGCAATACAATACATTGTTGTACGATTGTTGTTGTTGTTTTTTATTAAATCTCTTTTTTCTCAATGCATAAAAGGAAAACTGACAATTTTTTTTAATGTTCCAGGTGTGACTGGCACGAAAAACAGGAAGTAAAGTTCTGTGCTTTGGGAACAGTCTTGCGATACTGGTAAATAAAAATTGAAGAATTAAGATGGGTTGCACTTGCTGCCTTTGTAACTATTGTTTTACAAAGTTTATCCTGTTCTGTATGGATAAGTGAGAGCCTCCTGGTTAGCATGTGGGACAAGCCAGGTTTAAGCCCTGGCAAGATCACTTTTGTTGGATACTTGGGCAGACACTTAACACTTGACCCATCCAGTTGTCTAATTTGGTAAAAAAAATGGTGTAGATGGGTAAGGTAACCACATGATGGACTGGCTTTTTATCTAAGGAGGAATAGCATTACTGGTAGTTGCTTCATGCTACTGAAACTGGGCCAAGCTTTCAACTAGTAGTATGGGCTGTGCGACTCATAAGCTGAAGACCTTTTGTTTTCATTTTTTTTTCCAAGCTACTGCATATCAGATTTCTTGTGCTCAGTTTATGGAATCCCACTGACTCCAAACCATGTACCAGAAAGACCAGATGGAGTCTTCTGTACTGTGATTAAGCCTGCAGATAGCAAAGGATCATCCTCTCGAGAAGAAGCACAGCCCAGATATTCAAATAGACCTGTGGAAGATAATAGGCCTTTTGCCTCAAGAGATTATCGCTATTTTAATGGTGGAGCCAGAAGTAAAGGTAAGGTAGTTTTCGTTTTCATCTGCCTCACTATACAGAATATCCACTGAGGCTCTTTACCTTTATGTCCAACAGGCATAATAT